AGCACCTCTCTGTGAGCACCCCACTGTGAGCACCTCTCTGTGAGCAGCCCACTGCAATTTTGCCAAGTCTGTCCCCGAGGAGCTGCTGGCTCCTGCTGGTGTCAGACTGGGCCGCACCCTCACCAGGTCCTTGTCAGGACCCTGGTCTCATCAAACCACCGTGCGGTCACCTCCCTCTTTACAGGCAAATCTGGGCCCCTCTTGTCTCAAGTGGCAGCTGGGATTGGAGGTCAGGTCAAAGTCTGCAGGATTCCTGGTGTCACCAGGTGATGCCTATGTGGCTCAGCTGCCATCTCAGGCGGCGAGCCCTGGCACCACCTGCATTTGCACACATGGGAAGCGCCAGTGCTCTGCTATTCTGAGGTGATTTCAACCATCGGATGGCTTCAGCCATCTGTGGTCACACACACACGCGCACACGCACATGCTGAGCTCTGAGTATTCACAATGCCTCCATCTGAGCTGCAACAGTCCCACATAACAAAGGCCCATCCCTGGTCACTGCGGTGATAGATGTCATGCAATCAGGTTCTGGTGACCCATGAGACACACCTGAAGAGACCTGCAAGTTTCTTTCTATCCCTGGGAAAACCCTAGAATGGTTGGTTGGTTGGTTACCCTGAGTACTTAGAAGAAAGTAGAAGGGTCATCGGAAACCAGAGTGCATTCACTCAGGGCTGGAGACAGCTGGGGGTGGAGGGCTCGCCGTGTGCACCCGTGCGGGGTCCCTGGTTCTGTCCCCAGCACTGACAAGAGTTCCCTAAGAATTCAGCTGCCCAAGGCCTTTCATTTTCCTTTCTTGGAGTCTGGGACTAGCTTTACTGAGGACATCGGTCCACGCCTGGGGACATCTCAAGTCTCCTGGAGGGCGGAGGCTTCATGGAGCCGGTATGCACCCAAGGGCCCGACGCATGAGCAGTCTTGGCCAATGCGCTGGGTGCGAGGAGGCGCGGGGCTGAGGGAGCCAAGGCATCCCTCGTGCCCCCTCCTCCACACACATGGCCTCGGCCCCTCTGAGCCAACAATGGCCTTCGGAGACAAAGAGGCGCTAAACAAAACCAGGAGCTTCCAGTGACCAGGGGTGGGCTGCTAGAGCCTGGCCCCAGAGCTGGGACCCAGGCTGGGGTCAGAGGTAGGAGGCAGCCAGCTTCGGGCCCAGGAAGGCTGGTGGGCAGAGGACAGAAGGTGAGCATGATGGCTGGGGCAGAGCAGCAGGAGACAGACCAGGTCACGCAGAGCGTCACAGGCTGCTGTGGTTCACAGGGTGAACCCACAAGATTGGCCCCGTGTGAAGCCACTGGGATGGGGTGGGAACTTTGGGGAGGCCCTGGGGTCACTTGGGAACCGTGGATCCCAGCCCTCCTCGCACTCTTGGCCTCCTGGCATGAGGTGGCTGCTTTTGCTCCCCCTCGCCCTGGCAGCACATGGGCTATCTCCCCACAGGCCCAAAGTCATGGGCCGACTGATACCGAAGAGGACCTCGGAAACTGTGAGCTGAGACAAACCTTTTCCTTTGATAAGCAGATTCTCTCAGGTGTTGTGTTACAGGCACAGAAAGCTTGCTCACACAGAGGCCTGCATGGCAGGCAGTGTTCCTCCCCGTGGAGGCCCTCCCCTCGAGTGTAAGTGGACCTGTGAGAATGATGGGCTGTCACCCTGTTCTTAGGTTACATTCATGTCAAGGTAGAGGATTTTGCAGATGTAATTACGACCTAAGTTGACTCTAAGTTGATCAGGAGGGAGTCATGGTGGGCACGGTCACTAGGCCCAGATAGGTGAGCTCTTTAAGGAAGGGTCTATATGCCAGTCACAGAAGGGAAACCCCTGAGATTCCACTGAGGTGAGGTCCTGCAGAGACTGAGGTCACAGAGACAGAGAGCAAATGGCTGGGTGCCCAGGGCTGGGGGAGGGGCACAGGAACTGGTATTCAGTGCTGCGGGGGTCCTTTCTCAGGATGGGGGGTCTGGAGGTCGATGGTGGTGACGGTCACACACCAGCCTGTGCTTGCTTAATGTTGCTGTACCCCTGAAAATGGCTGAGATGGTTGATTGTAAAACCAGGTGGACTTCCTCACAGTAAAGGCAGTCTAGAGGCAGAGACGGCAGTGGCAGGCGCTCTCTTCCTAGCCAACTGCCGCACTGGGAGAGGACCCCGTGCCAGGAACATCAGGCGCCTGCAGGGGCCGAGGGTTGGTCCTGCACCTCAGGGACCTGCCAGAGGGGACCACAGCCCCAAGCGACTCCGCCAGCAGTCTGCAGGGCTCTGGAGCAGGCACGTTTGCTGCGGCTGCTCAGTCCGTCCTGATCTGTCACAGTAGGACATGGACACACCACAGGGCAGCTGAAGGGCCCCGGGGGAACCACAGGCAGCTTTCAGGCTCTGTGACAGCTGGCATCCCCCCACCCCTCAGCCTCCTGGGGTGGCGGGTGGCCTTGAAAGCTGTGACAGTGACTGTGGCACAACTCTCACAGCACCTGAGGCTCTTCTGGGTGTGACCGTGTCCTACTGCCATGTGACCAATCACCACAGACTGAGCAGTGGCAGACACAGATGAGTGTGGCCGGGAGGGTGGGGGGCAAAGCCCAGAGCAGGGGGCTGAACCCTTCTTCGAAGCGCATGAAGGGGGTCGATGACGTGCCCAGGCGCTAGGCAGGAGTAGCTGCGACAGGAGGTCCCACGAGAGCCCTGGAATCCTCAGGAGAAGTCCCTGTGCTGTGGGAAGTGCATTCAGCTGCAGGTGACAGGAACCCAGAGGAAGCTGTTGACCTGTTCCAGGCATCAGAGGCCTGGAGGGGGTGTTCCAAGTTCGCCCTGTCTTCTCAAGTTACGGAAGAGGAGCGTGCTGGCTCTTAGTGAGGGACATGGTAAAAGGCACAAGTGAGGCCAACATCCTGACTTTAAGATCTGATGCAGAATCCAAGTGGGCCCCAACAGGCTGACCATGCAGGAACGGAAGGATGTGTAAGAACGCGTTTTCCCAGATGTGGGGAGCAGTGACAGTGAATGGGAGACCAAGTGTCTGAGATTGGGGTTCTTGATGACTTCATGGCTGTGGCATGCATGGTGCCTGGGAAAGTTTCTGTGCACAGATGCAAGTTGCTATGGTAAAGTCCTCCACGAGGAGGCTCTGTGCTGGAGTCTTGTCGGCCTCGACCTTGCTCTCAGGCCCACAGCTCCTGGGAAGGAGGGAAATCCCTGTTAGACCACCACAGCGTCTCCCCAGCTCTGCTGCTCTTGGACTCTCGAGAGCTGCACAAAGCTCCTAACACTGCACATTGCAACTGCAGAACGTAACTGGGGAAACAGTCGCATCCTGTTGCTGACTCTAACTTTCATGAAAGAATGATGCTTGCATAGTCTTTAATCTGATTTAGAGACATATATATATATAAAGATTGCTGGTGTGATTCCGGAGACCTGCTTCTCCACCAAAGCAGCACTCCACCAATCCCAGATGTTGTCTTCACAACCTGTCTCTATTTCTCTAACCTCCCATTGCCCCTCGCAGGAACCTGCTAGTCTGGCCATGCTGGTCGTGGCACCCAGAGGCTACCTGTGGGCCACTGGCCAGGGCTGGAGGGTCAGAGCAAAGATGCGGGGGCTGCTGGGATCATTGAGGGCCCATTATGGCCAGCCATGCTGTAGCCTGGTTGAGACTAGACTTCTGTTGGCAAGAGAGGCAGCGTGGGCAGGAGGTCTGTATGGAGTGGGGTGATGCTTCCACGAGCTGCCTTGCTGTAGGTCCCTGGGGGGGGCCACTCAGCCCTGGTCCCCCTCCTGGAGCCCCCTGTTGACGATACATGACGGGCAGGAAGAGATGTGAAAAACCTCGTTGTTTATAATGCAGGAGACAGAAGAGACACCTGGGACCCTCAGAGGCCTGGCCACTTCCCAGACACCTCCCAGGGGGTGTCCCTGAGCACAGCACCTGGGCAGTGCCGAGGAAGGCTCGCCTACCTAGTCTGCACCTCCGCTCCTGGGCAGCTCTCTCCTGGCTGGCCAGGGGCTTTCAGGAAGACACAGGGAGTGTAGAGGCCAGCACCCTCCAGGTGATCTCCTGTGGGGAGTGATGGGATGTACTGAAGAAGTCCTTTGAGTCTGGTACAGCCACACCCAGGTCCTGAGACCTTGAATAACACCTAGTTGCCAAGCCTTGTGACATTTTCTCAAATCTCAAATGACACTTCTTCCCTGATTGTGGTTTTGGCCATAGCCTCAGGCTCCTCATTCCTCAAGGTGATAGTCACTGATTTCCCCTGGGAGCTGCCAGCCCCCACACCTCACCTGCAGCTCCCAGAGGCACTCCTGGGCCTGCCGGGCTGCATGCAGGGCAGCCGCTGACCAGGACAGCAAAGGAGCAGGCCCAGGGAGACTGGAGCTGCCCGGGCCTGTGGCCTGGTCTTGGACCCGCACTCCATGGCACACTTGTGACTATGTTCTTGAGTGGCTGCTGCTGGGGAGGGACGACCTTGGCTGGGTCCCAAAGACAGGGTGAGTGGCAGCTGTCCAGCAGGTGTGGCGAGCTTCCAGTGAGGTAAGTGACCCAGCTCAGCAGGAGGCAGAGCAGGCAGGGGTGGTGACATGGCTCCTGCCTTCTGGTCATCTTCCACTTTCCCAATGTCCTGTGGCACGCCTGAATACATCGTCACAAGGGCAGTCTTTTGTTAGTCCCTCAATGGGTAGTTTGCTATTTTGGCCTATCTCAGAAAATGAGATCACCTCAGAAAAATGCTTTAGCTGCCGTAATTCCAGTCTAAGGGTGACCACTGCTGGGGTGTTGGACAGGACCTTCCTTGTTTTGTTATTATTATTTTTGAGTCAGAGTCTTGCTAGGTTGCCCAGGCTGGTCTCAAACTCCTGAGCTCCTCCTGCCTCTGCCTCCCAAGCAGCGATACCACTGGCATGGCCCTCCATGCCAGCCCAGGGCCGGCCTCCCTCCTAAAGGCTGTACCACAGTGTGGTTCCGGGCCGAACTCTTCACGTGCATCATCTCACTCATTTCATGGTTTGAGAGAAACGTTTGTAATACAGATTAACAGAGATGGCTTTATCTACCAAAATAACAGGTCCTTAAAATTGACAGTAAGAGCAACAGGAACACTTTGGCGGAGAAATGGGCAGAGGATGTAAACAGGCAGTTCTCAGCAGTACAAATCAGAACCACCGACAGCATGAAGAGGCGCTGGGCTCCTTCACAGGACCGCAAGCTGTAGCAGCACCCAGTCCAACGGGCACAAGAGACTACTTGTCCATGTGCACAGGGCAGGGGTCTCCTCTACACCTCTGTCACCGGGGCTGGATGACTGCTGTGTACACTGCCTGGGCACCGTAGGCTCAGCGGCATCCGCCGCAACTCACCAGAGGCCCACGGCACCTCCCTCCAGCTGTGATGGTCAAAATGTCAGCAGTCACTGCCAACATCCTCTGGGGCCAGGACAGCCCCAATTGAGAGCCACTTGGAATTAGGCCAACATTGGGCTGCATACAGCCTCACGAAGACTGTTTAATTGCCATTCCACATCAGGGAACAGAGGTGCAGAGGCCAGGTCACTTTCAGTGGGTCACACGGGAAGTCTAGCACCTGTGGCTCAGCCCACTGACCTGTTACAGCACAGCCTCACAGCTCCACTGTCTTGAGGGTGGGCTGGGCACACGGATGCAGAGGGGACAATGTGCTCATCTACCCTACACCTGGTCGTATGGAGTGCCTGTCACCCGACGCCTGCTGTACACCTCAACATCTGGCCCGACACCACAAGGCCCCTTTCCTCTTGGCTGTTTGGAACCCTGAGCCCCAAGCTGCAGGAGGGCAGGGTCTCATATCTGCCCAGGGAACACCAAGGTGGATGGATGTGGGCTGGGGCAACGTCTGGTGCAGAGGAATGCCTGCAATCTCTGGGTGGGAACAAATGGTGAACTGCCAATGAACACACAACCAGCTGTTCCTACACTTGCCCGAGGACAGTCACCTCAGCAGCCTGTCCTCCAGGCCTTGCCTTGGGGCACTGTGGGTCCTAGTAGGTCTGGCTCCCTCACAACCAGAGCCTGAGGACAAAGGTGCTGCCTAGAGACTGGGCCTGATTCCCACTGGTGAAGGTTCCGTTCCCGAGGTGCAAACTTCTCACGCTGCTGCTGTGGCTAGGTGTCCCCCTGGGTCCCTGGAGACTTCTAAGCCCAACTCCTGACCCAGGGCTGGGAGGCAGCCACTGGCTCCTTGCTGCCAGAGCTCTGCACCTGTCCATCCTGCCAGGGGCCCCTGACGGGCCTCCCGGGAGTCCCTTAGCAGGGCACCCACAGGGTACCTGTGTAGAGCTTTGCCAACCCCTGCCCAGTGCCCACAGTCCACGCTGTGTAGGTAGGGACCATCACTTAGGAGAGACTACCACACTGAAAGGTGATGAGGCTGCCATTTCCAGTTAGGCCTCAAGTCCAGGGCTAATCAATTGCACATAGGACCACCCTGGGACTGTGGGTTCCTAGGCCCAGCCAGGCCGATGACATCAGGACTTCTGGGTGTGGGCCTGGAACAGTCTTAAAGGCCCCTCTAATCTAAGTGGGACTGGACACCAAGGGAGGGGGGTGGGTGGCCTGGGAACCTTGGCAGCTTTGGCCCTGCCTATTCTGGTGGCAGGCTAGAGGCAGCCGTGGGGGGTCAGCAGCTCTGCTGCCTAAGCTACTACCCCAGGGCCAGGACACTCTCTAACCAGCCCTCAAGGAGAGGCCTCTCCTACCTCAAGAGGACTTTATAGACTCCAACAGACAAGGCTCTGCTCAACTCTAAGCTCAAAAACTGAAGTCTGAGGCTTCCTACGTGGGTTCCTAAGCTCAGGTGGTCTGTGGGTGAAGGTCCATGGAAGGTCCCGACCCTTCATTGAAACAGCCCGGATCAGCCACAGAGGAGAAACCTCCTCACACCCACTAGAATGGCTACTGAAAACAGGCCCAACAAGACAGGGCCAGAGGACGAGTCCCACGCACGCTGGAGGGAAGAGTGGAGTGGCTGCTGTGGGAAGGTCTCATACCAGCATCTACTTCTGGGTGCATAGGATAGGGAGAAGAGTCCCTAAAGATACCAACCACCATGTCCACGGCAGGCTGCTCAATAGCCTGCTCTGGTCCAGCACCTGCAGAACTGTGGGCAGATCACCCTTGGCTGAGAGTGCCCGCCTGGGGGGTCCTGTCCCGCAACACAGAATGGACCCAGGAGAAGGAACGTTTCCAGTTTGGGACGGGGACTGGGAAGGTGCCTCATGCATTCCTGTTAAGTCTCACATGACTGAGGATGGAAGGTCATGGGCACAGCTGCAGGGCTGCTGAGACTATTTTGTCACTCTCTCCGAGAACCCAGAAAGGAGAGAGTAAGTGAAAATGAACTACTCTGAGAGAAAGTAGGTATAAACATGGCCATGCTCGAGGCAGGGCCAGAGGGTGCCAGGAACTGTGGCTGGCTGGCCCCATTCGTGGACTCCCTACAGTCTCCCGTTTTGGTTAGAACGACTCTACAGCCTGATCCTCTTCCTTGGTCTTGGCGAAGCACCCCCAGGCCCAGGATGGCCCCTGCTGCTGACCAGCATCACCCACAGGCCACGATGGTCCTTGCCTCTGACCAGTACCACCTCCAGGGCCAGGACGATCCCTGCCTCTGACCAGCACCACCCACAGGCCAGGATGGCCCCTGCTGCCGACCAGCACCACCCGCAGGGCAAGTGCACCCCAGGACGGCCCCATCTGCAGGGCGAGTGCACCCCAAGACGGCCCCTCATGCTGCCCGGCATCACCCACAGAACAAGCGCTGATGGATACAGGTGGTTCCCTAGGAACCAGGACCTCAGCAGAGTGGGGTGTGCTGAACCTCAGCCTGCTCCTGCACCTCATGCCCAGGGCCTGGGTGGGCTGACACCTGGCAACACTCAGCTGTAAGATCACCTGGAGGTCTCCACCTAGCAGGCTGTCCCTCTTCAGGACAGGCCCCCACTCCTGTGCCCAAGCCTTGCTGAGTCTGGAAAATCCCACCATGAGGTCCTGGTTTCCACTAGTTTTGCCTATGTGGGCAGAGGCGGCACGGCTGGGTCCCACCACAGGTCGATGCCCCCTCTCCCTGGCAAGGCCCACCTTGAACCCCTGACCACAGCCTAACATACTTCCACACCTAGGCTGGCCTAGGTCCTCCCACACGCTGTCCGGCACTGGTCTGCAAGGGGCACTGTAGGGGCAGGCGGGAGAGGCAGTGGGCTAGATCTCCCAACACATTCCCAAACCAAAGCAGGAGGAAGGCCCTGAGGCCCAACTGCCAAGAAATTCCAGCTTCAGACTTCTCAATTTCAAACGCAGAAACCATAAACAGGGGAAAAAATTCTAGAAACAATGTTTTTCCTTCCTCCCGACAGCTAGTCTGCGATGTTTATTATCAAGCCTGAGCTGGAACAACACCAGACAAAAGCAGAAACTGCCTCTGGTGCAACCAAGCGCCTGCACTGGTCCTCTCAGTGGCTCTGGTCTGAGAAGGGTGCCTGCTGTGGTGCTGGGGACACAGCTGGCAGAGCCCAGCCCCAGTGGGGAACTTGGGCTTGGTGGGAGTGAGCTGCTGGGCCCTGGAGAGGTGCTCCCAGCCGTGGGGCCAGTCTGGTCTGGGCACAGCAGCAGGGCCAGGGCCCCACCCCAGGCACAAGGTGCCACGCTGCTCTCAGCCTGGAGTCCTGGGGCAGCAGTGTCCATGTTCCTGCTGCTCAGGAGACCCCAGAAATCTTGCCTGCAGTGACTGACCACTCGCAGCAAGGTCATCTTTCCTATTCTGGAAAACCCTTTCCAGGGAGTAACTGGGCTTGTCTGGGATTCTGCTGCCAGGTCTCCCGCAAGAAGAGGGAAGCCCTGGCCCCATGGGGACACAGGAGACATCAGGAACCTCGTTAGAAACCCCGAGATGGGTAGATAAGGATGCGTGCTGCTGGTGCCCAGCCCATGGCAAGCTGCTTTCTCTGCCCTGGAGCTGGAGCTTCTGGTGCTCTAGGGTGAGGGCCAAGCCATGCCCATGAAGCCTCCTGGTGGGCAGCTGTGCAGCAGTGACCATTGCTACCTCAGGGGCTGCTTGAGCTCAAACAGGCCTGTTCCACCCTTGACGACCTTCCCGACCACGAGGCAGGCTGAAGGGGACCTCAGCTCGTCATGGGACCCTGCAAGAGACACGAAACCCATTTCAGAGGGCCAAGGGAAAGTTGGGGGTGAGATGAGGGCACTGGGGACTCCACGTGAGGTGGTGTGACTGGGCCCAGGACCTGAGTCCCTGAGGCTGAGGTCACGTGTGTGGGTCTGCTCCAGGGGGAGCTTCAGGAAGGCCGTCCCATCTGCTGCCACCCTCTACCCTGAGCCCGCCCTCGCATGCAAGGTGCAGTGGAAAGGTCCCCATGCGAGGGCCAGGAGGCAGGCCTGGCACCAGCCCTGCACTGACCCATCATGGTGGCCTGCTTCAGAAACTGGAAACTGGTCTCAAATGTCATCTGCTGGAGAGGGGAGGAGTTCGACTGGATGCCAAAGCGATTCAGGGGCTTGTAGACCCCCTCGAAGCACATGTAATCAGCAACCAGGGAGAGATGGCGAGGATCGACGGCAATGCCTGCGGTCAAGCAGAGACGGAGGACGCTGGCCAGACTGCCTCCAGGTCGGCACTGGGGCCTGGCCAACACTGGGCTCTCCTCAGCTCCCTGTCCCCTCCTGCCTCCCACTCCCCCGCAGCAGCGCAGGATGCGAGAACCAACCACAGTTCTCCCTGGGAAGGGAGCCCGGCGACAGGATAGGCCAAGCCCTGCAGGGAGCTCCCTGAAGAGATGGCAGACCAGACGCAGCCAGGGCCTCGGGTACCCACACCAGGTCTCCGCCAGGGTGGGGGCTGGCTGCCAGCGCTCTGAGGGGCTGCACCCTGATGGTCTCCCTAGGCGCTCGTACCATACACGGCAAATACGTCCTTGATCTCCTTCTCAATCACCCGCAGGGCGGCCTCGATGCCATACGCGCTGGCCATGGCGTGGATGTCGTTGGAGTAGAGGCGGCGCAGGTCCAGCACCTGAGGATAGAAGGAAGGAGTAGCGCCCTGACCCCCAACCTCGGAGCTGGCGGCCGGGTGCAGCATGGCAGGAGTCAGGAGAGGCAGGCTGGCCATGCTCCAACTGCTCGCTGTCACGACCAGAGTGCGGAGGTTCAGGGCGGAGGGACCTCCTTCACTACTCCTCTAACACACCCTAGAGGAGGAGAGCCCCCTCAGCAGACGACTGGCACAGGCCTCCTCAGGGTGCACGGCAGACAGGTCGGCCACGGGGCTCTGCAAGGCCTTACCAAGGCCTGTGGCTCCAAGCCTCCTGCAGGCACCCAGGCTGGAGGGGGCATGGCCTCAGCAGAAGCCACCGTCCACAGGAGCCAGGAGGGACAGGCACCTGCCTGGTCCTTGTTCAACACACCCTGCGAGGGAGCCGTGTGGAACCCCGAGGCTGGCTGGGGGAGTGCGGGCTCTTCCTGCTCAACCTAAGGCTCCTCAGACTTCGGAGAAACCCTGGTGCCCATGAGCAGGCTGGGGGTACCCAGGTGAGCAGGGCAGCAAAGTTTCTGACAAGTACTTTCAAAAGGTTGTAATTTCAAGAAATAAAATTGTACTCAGACAGGTCTGTGAAACTCGGTCTACTCAGCAGGCCGAGGAGGGGTGTGCCCAGGAACCCCAGAGGGGGGGAGGGCTCACACGGGGTCCGGCAGGGGCATAGTACCTCAGCATACTTGAACAGCTCTGGGAGGTTGATTCCCTCCGTGCTCAGCATGAGCTCCTTCCCGTTCCTACTGGAGGTCGTTTCACTCAGGAGGCACCGGGTGATGCCCCTGGTGGAGTAGACCACGGTGCTGCGGGCCAGGGACGCAAGCAGCGAGCCCATGTCAAAGTTGGCCTTCACCAGAGGCAGCTTCATGGTCACCTACAGCAAGAGCAGAGCTAGGTGGACGCTCGCAGCCCCAGGCGTGGCCAGGCAGGGGGATGGTGCCTGGCCACAGGGCGCTGAGCCCTCCCACCACATTCCAGGCGGGACGCCAGAGGCGGCCAAGACTTAGGGGCACTCAGCTGCACCTTGCTGCCTCTCAGTGGAACCTCTCAGCTGGACCCAAGGGAGGATAGGGACATCTGCAGAGGGGTGGTGGCCAGGGTCCCTGGGGGGAGCTGATGGGTCCTGCTGCTGGGGGGAAGCAAGCCTCAGTGTCTGGGGGACTGAGCAAGGCCCCATGTGTAGAAGACACTGTCCCTGAGCCACCAGAGGAACGTGTGTGGGCCGTGCTTTTGGGTAGAGGTCTGTGTCACTGCCAGGTTCTGGAAGGGCCCTGGGACGAGGCCTAGAGGCCACAGGCTCTCAGGGACTGTGTGCAGGGGAAGCCCAACCGTGGGCTGGGCCCAGCTGGGCGCCACTGACCTGGCACCACAGGCTCTCCGCGGTGTCATACTGGTAGTCCTCTACGAAAGAGTGGGCCTCCCGCACAGCCTGCACTCGACGCTCCACCGCCTCGGTTCCCTGGGGCCCTGGGCAGAGGGGAGGGCTCGGGGGCGTGTCCTCATTGGGGCCCGAGCCTGTGGTCTCATCTGGCTCACGGGCCTGGGGGCCACCTTCACCGTCGGCGTCCCCTTCCTCCTGTGCGTCCTCCTCCTCCTCTTCCTTCTCCTCCTCCTCCTCGCTCTCATAATCCACCTGGCGGAGACGACAGTGCACGGCTGCCACCAGGGCCCACCAGCCCTGCAGAGCTCATGCCCCCTGCTGCCCACACTCCCAGCTCCCTTGCCCTTCCCCAGGCCACGCTCAGTCCTCTAGCCTGCCCTGTCCTGGCAGGGACTGTGACAGGGACTGGCTGGGGAAGGGGTGCGCCACACCTGCACCGTAAAACGGAGATAGCCTGACGTCTGCCCAAGCTTCTCTAGTTCTGGGGGTTTCCAGCACAACACAGGGTGAGGCCTGGGAGCTGGGGAGAGCCCTGGAGTGTTGGGAACAGGGCCTCATCATGCTCGCCTTAGCCAGAGCCTCACCTCCTCCTCCTGCTTCTGCTTGCGCTTGGCATCGGAGGCGTCAGCATCCCCCTCCTCGGCGTCAGCGTTCACGATGTCCCCTTCCTCCTCCTCCTCCCCTTCCTGCTCACCCTGCGGTTTAGGGCAAGGAGAGCAGTGATTGGCTCCAGTGCCCAGCGCTCTGTGGATCCACAGCCTCCAGCCTCCGCCTACAGCTCCTCTGGGCACCTGCTGCCCTGGGGGCCAGCCTCCTCCCTCATCTTCACCTCCTCACGCACCACTTCAAAGACGTGCACTTCCCCCTTCTCATGGTCCTGGGGAGCTCAACCACTGAGCTGCACCCCAGCTCTTCTGCTCAGACAGGGTCTCGCTGAGCAGCCCAGGCTGGCTCCAAGTCAAAGGCAGAGCAAAAAGAGGCCAGAAGAAGGACTTCAAAGGCTCAGTGCAGGCCAACACTTAACGCCCACCCTCAGACTCCTTGAGAGCAGAGATGCGTGTCCCCAGGCCCCAACCTAGGGCTGGCTGGGACCATCACATCCGGGAATAAACGTGGCTTGCTGGTGCTCAGAGACCAGCAAAAGAATGCCGAGGACCAGCCTACCTGGGGAAGTGCCCGCAGAGCACTGAGCAGGGACGGCCCTTCCCAGAGAGGACTGCGAGCCCACCAGCGCCCAGCCCTGGGTCTGGCTGCGTGGCCCCACTCACCCGCCTCGTCTCCGACTCCCCTGCGCCTTCCAGGTCCTGCTGTGTGGCTCTCCGAGTGTTCACGCTTCTGAAGCTGGAGTCCTTACTGTGCTTCTTTCTGACGGACTCCATCAGGAGCCTGAAGAACCTGCGGTGAGAAGGCAGCCACGCGCCTCCATCAGCACCAGCATGCCTGCCCTCCCCTGACTGCCAGGCAGGAGGTGAGTGATGCCCACAGGAACAGCACCCAGCAGAGCCAGCCTCTCCTGTCTGCTCACTCTGCCCTCATCTGAGTGGCACTCAGCATGTCAGGAAGCACCAGCCCCACGGCGATGGGCCTGCTCTGCAGAAGGTGCTGCTGGACCCAGTGTCACGGCTCTGAGGTGACACTCCGCAGGCTTTCACTCACTCCCTGCACACCTTTGCCAGGGGAGCCCCAGTGGCTTTCATCTAACCAGGATGCCAGAACTGGCCGTAGGTCAGGAACCCAGTGGCACCAGAACCTTCCCTGCCTCTCCCCGAGCAGCATCTCCAGAACCCGCTCCGACAAGAAGAGCTACTCCTGACTGCGAGAAGGAAGGCCTGGGACAAGTGACAACCTGTTCTGTGGCAACCAACGACGTCTATAGGCTGGAAGCAGGTCAGTATGACCAAAGTCAACGGTCACCCAGAGGCTGGGGCCTTGCCTCCAGTCACCACTTAGAGGGTCCCTCAGGGCCTTGCCTATCCTGTCCCCACAGGAGCTTTTCATCAGACCACTGAAGCACACCCAACTGGGGGACAAAGCCTGCACATCCAGCCAGGGGTCCACCTGAGCCCACCCTGAGTTGGCCCAGGGCAAGGCAGGGGTGGCAAGACGGGTTCCTGGCCTGCAAGGAGCTTCAGAGGCTGCTCTGCAGAGCAGCAGTCACTGCGCCATCTCTCAGGTGTCCCTGAACTGTCTCGACTGTGGTGGCCTCAGCTCTGAAGCCACCTCCCCAGAAGGCTGCTGGCCTCAGCCCCAGGTGTCGTGGGGCCTTGGCTCGCAGCCCACCTGCTGGAGGCACCACTCCTCAAGGCGAGGTGGGACTGCCAATGTAACTCCTAAGCAGCCTCCCTGGCCCCAGCCCAAGCTTAGCCTCCCTGACCTCCATCCCCGTCTCCAGCGACCAGGACTGGTTGAGGGAAGTGGACGGGCCACCGGGCAGCATGTGGAAGGCATGCTACAGGACGTTTTCCCGGTGTGCATAGGCTCTGCCTCTGTGACTGCCCAGAGCAAGGGAAGCGATGGCCCGTGGTGACAGCTTCCAAGGTCAGCTGTCAGTGAGCAACTGAAGGGAGCCTCCCACCCCACACGACTGACGACACACTGGGAACATGACCCTCGGCAGTGTCCACAGGGGCCTGGCTACGGCCAGCACTGCTGCTCGGAGAGTCAGACTTAGCAAAGACACCAGCTGGGACCAGAGGCCAGCGCCGACAGCTCTCTGCTTCACCCCTGGCCTGCCTTCCAGACAGTTCTCAGAGTCCCCAAGCAACAGGTACCCGCAGAAAGGGCCACTGCTCAGGCATCTCCCTCCAGGGATGCATCCCTGTCTTGGTCCTAGAGCTGGGAGGGGAGGGAGGAGGGGAGGGGAGAAGCCAAAGGAAAGGGGGAGAGGGAGCAGGGAGGAAGTGGAGCGAGGAGGGCAGCCCCAGGGAGGCTGGATCTTCTGAGTGCACTTGTGGCCCCTGGGGTGTCCTGAAGGCTCTCTGAGGCGGTCATACGGCTGCATCCCTGCAAACCGCAGGCCAGACACAGCCTGCTCCTTCTCTATCTTTGCCCGGGCGTTCGGAGCCCCTCTGCTGGAGTCACCAGGACTACTGCCCCTCAGAGTGCCCGCATTGGCCAGGTCCATCACAGCTTTTCAAGTGCACAAGCAAAACCCAACTTGGAGCTCAAAAAAATCCTTCACTTCTGAACAAAGCAGGGCCGTCACTTACAGGAAGAAATAAACACAAAAAACAAAGCGTGATTTACTCCACTTCCAAGAGGCTTAGCTTAGTCTGTCCTGGGGAGGCCAAGGCCTCAGGAGAAGAGGGCCGGCCCGCCCACTCACCTTCGTGGACTATGCTCCAAAGTCCCACTTCTCAGAAGAGGACTTCGAGGACAGAACAGAACTTGGCCATACCTGCTCCTCTGCCGATGGGCAAACTGGCAGGCTGGAGCCTGCATGAGGACTGCCTGGTGGAGTAAGCCTCCTGCCCGGGGAGGACGCTGCTGCAGGGGATGCCCAGCCAGGGACCATCCACAGGGCTGAGCGTATACCCAAGATGGTTATCCCCACAGCCCCTGCCCTGAATGCCACAGGGCCAGTGTACAGGGCCACCTCGTCTTTAGGGCACAGGGAGGTGGGGGCCGAGAGACAGAGAAGAGCGTGGGTGGAGGGCAGGGAGCGTGCTCCTTTGCATGCCACTGTCTTGCACGTGAGAGCAGCTCTGGGAGCACCCAGGAGAGGTTGGGGCTAGAGGCAGCGGCCAGGGGCCAAGTCCTGCCAAGACAGGGGATCTGTGTAGGCCTAGCAGCCTTTGTAAAATGGGAATTAGTTGGTGGTATTTCTAAAAGCAAAAGCATGTGATCATATCACCAAGGAAAATTTAAAAAGGAGGAAGCCTTTTTTGTTTCAAAAATCAGAAAATCTGGCCACGTCTGGCCTGTACCTGCAAGGGATAGCCACTCACTAAGACAGCCTGCATGGGCCTCCCGCCTGTCCTGACACCAGCACCCTTGCATATGGCCTGTGCCCTTCTCTCCTTCATCTGATACAAATATGTACACGTGCCATTTAGTTTTGCAGTCCGAGAGATCCAGCCTACACCTTTCCAATGTCCAAGGAAGTTCATTCCCGTGACCATCAGTGGCCAGAGGCTCTCTGTGATACTGGTGGCAACCCTGGTTACAGAGGTGGGCTCCTGGGCAGCAAGGCACTGGTGGGTGCTCACCAGGCCTCGCTGCTGCGTGCACCCACAGCCCACCCAACACCAACACCACGCTGGCTCCTCCTCTCTGCCGGGCACAGTTCTACAGTGAGACGAACTGCTCCCGCCCCTTGGCACAGGACAGGACCTGGGTTCAGGGATTATAAGGGCCAACAAGGTCTTTGGGTCATCCCCACAAGCCAGACTGGACAAGGGTTCCAGATTAAGTGGCAGGGCCCGCTCTTTTCCTAAACACTTTCTTGCAGGGCTCAATGGACAAATGCACCCCACCCCTGGAGCTCTGGAACAGGATTGCTCTTGGGCCAAGGTCAGTTACAAGCATGGCCTGAGCCCTGACCTTGTTTCCATGAAGTGCAGGATGTCCTCGGGCCTTAGGCACTTCTCCTGCTTGTAGTACTCGTGTGGCAGGAACTGGAACCGCAGCTGGTACACCCGGAATTTGTTCCGTTTTTCTCCCATACAGAAGGACTCCTGGACGTCAACTTTCTGCAACACCTAGAACCAGATGGACAGATGGACCTGACTTGTCCCAGCCCCAGTGACCACACTGCAAACAGGAAACCCAGTAGGTTCTGGGGGGGACAGCAGCTGGGCCACAGGCCAAAATTCTAAGGAAACTCCAGTGAGCTCTGCTAGCATGGATCCTTGGGGGTGGCAGGAGCGGATTCCAGCAGCTTCCAGAGGACGGCAGGGCCTCAAGGCCCGGGCTCCTGCAGGGCTGGTGAGCCGTTCTTGTGGGGACATGGGGTGCCCTAGAACTAATGGTTATCTCCAGAGCCTCCTGATTCACCCTGCTCAGCACCTGGTAGAGACAACATCTCTCCCACTGCTGGGACTACAGCCGAGGGCTGAGCAGCTGGGATGGTCTTTGATGCAGAGGGGACAATTCAGGATGGTGTCTCTACCCTGAGTGCAGCTGGACTGAGTCGGTTACCTCCTCTAAGCACACCCTGGTGAGCTGCTTCTTCAGGCTCCTCACTCTCCTTAGGGCTTTCTTGGTGTTTAACACGGGCACACTCATCATGGGTGTCTTGATGTTGGCGCTGGCCACCATGAGAATCTCCCTCAACCTGTCACAGAACAAGGGCCCAATTGCTCATGACAGGTAACCAGATTCCTTGTTTGCATGAAACTTTTTCTAGAAACATCAGTGGTGTGCTGGGATGGGAGTGGCCTTGCAATCTCATTGAGCAATATGCTGAACCAGACCCCAGCTCCTGCCTGCTGTGACGGTGAGGGACTGTCGAATCCCTCAAGGGTAGGGCTGAACCTAACTCTCCCAGGGTGACTGGGACGCAGGGCACTTAGCCAGCCTTCAGGCCCGTCTGGCATGTCCATCAGGCCTTGTTCACTCCGCAGGCTGGAAGCCATCAACGAGAGTGCAGGATGGCGGACTGACTCATGTTTTCCCCTTGCCTGGTGGCTGTCTTACCACAGTGTGCACGCATGCACCTGGCAGGTCAGGGTCAGGGTCTATATGGGCGGTGTTCCTGGAGCTGGGCAGCAAAATGGCCCTGTGCAATTCCACAAGAAGGCCCAGAAACCTGAAACAGGACTGGCAGAGAAGCAGCGGCGATCCTCGAAGGCTGAGGTATCCGTCTGGCCACAGAAACCAGACCAGCTCCCCCAATTCCAGTGCTGACCTCCACTTTGACAAGACCCTGTCTGTCACATGCTCGCTCACTCTCACGAAGTAGCCTCTTCCGTAGAGGGCCAGCCCTACACCCTTGTGCCCGCACCTTGGGATACCCAGGGTGACGTTCATCTCGCCTCTGCCTGCAAAGTGGAAGGTGTTCAGGGTCATCTGCGTGGACGGCTCCCCGATGCTCTGGGCGGCCAGCAGGCCCACAGCCTCACCCGGGTCGCAGAGCGAGCGCTGCCATTTGAGATGCAGCAGGGTCCTCAACCTGGAGGTGGACAGGGCAGGCATGCAGTGGCCACAGTGCCAGAAGCCTCTTTCTAGGCTTCCTAGGTGAAAGATCCCATTAACCTCTGGGTCCTGGCTAGTGACCTTGCAATGTCCTAAAATTACACGATGACGTCTCCAGCTGGGGATGCAGCACCCGACATTCATGAGAACGTCACACATCCACCCAGACCAGTGACTGCAGGTCCCCTCGGCTCTGAGGACTTGTGGCTCATCCCTCATTCCTGTTTCCCACTGGCACAGTCTGGAGAGGGCCGAAGCCTCCTGGTCCAGACAGGAGAGATCAGGCAGGTTCACAAGGCACCAGGGGCAGGAGGAGCTCCATTACTCAAGTGGCTGCAGACCACACGAGGGTAGCCATGCTGTGCTTCTGCTGACCACGCCCAGGCAGGACGGGGCTCGACAGAGGCGGTATGAGCTGCTGTGGGTGAATGGGGGTGTGCGGTGGGCAGCAATAAAGCTGCACCTCCTGGTAAGTCCTTCCAGGCCCTTTCTGAGCTGCAGGGACAGCCCGGCTGGTGGCTGAGGTAACCATGTCACAGTCCATATGGAGAATCTGGTCCCCCCAAATCCTCCACTGCTCCCCACCTCCTGGCCAGTGTGAGCCCACTCCTGACCCCACCAGCCTGGGCATGTGCTTCACCAGGGAAGATGGCCTCAAGGTCCTCAGGAAGCTGGTGGGAACAACCAGGACCAACGTCTATTAGGCACTCCTGGGCCCTTCTGATGCAGTGACCCATCATGCTGGCTCACTCAGCCCATAGGCTGTCTCCCTTTCTGCAGAATTCCTCTGAGCTGAGGCCTCCCCTTAACCCCTTCATAGGCCGGAGATCCGCAGCTCAAAGGATCACTGCGGTCATGGGATCCACGTCCTCATGGAAAGCTGAGGACAGTATCCCTGGGCAGTGAGTGACTCACCCAGGGCCACAGAGTGCCCAGGAGCAGAACAGACTGACCCTGACTCTTAGCCATGTCTACCCTGCCAAACGGAGCGTCATTTCTGCAGACCTCTGTCCCAGCGGTGCCCCTTTCAGGTACTGGTCCAGATGAGAGGAGTGCTCTCTGCCCTGCTCTGGCCAGCCTCAGGGTGTGCTTGGTGCCCTTGCGGTCTCGCCTCCCTCCCTCCTGCTAGAGGCAACCTTGGAGGCGGCCCTCTTCCTAGGCTGGGTGGGGAAGGGCCTGAGAGGCAGAGCTCCTCCCATAGGCACCAGACAACAAAGCAAGGTCGTCACCTGTCCAGAGAAAGCTCCGATTTCTTGTAACTCTTTTCTGCTTCAAGTGCCCATTCTTGACTGTAGTCATCAATCTTTTTTTCAAAATGTTCTGACACAGACGCCAAGTAGATATCTGGGCGCCAGACAGACAGACTGGGGTCAGGACAAGGGGCCGCCTTCCTCTGGTACTTCTGCCGGCTCTTCTCATCTAATTCGTACCACATCTGCAACACCTGCAGGAGGGCAGGAAGGGTCTCAGCAGCGGGAGGGCTCTCTTGGGGTTCCAGTGGCATGGGGGCTCAAAGGCCCTGGTTCCAGGAGAGGGGAGGGCGAGAGGAGGATGAGCCTGCCTGTGTGAGGTCAGAAGTACCCCGACACTTAACACAAGACAGCCCTCTGTGCAGGGCCCGCTGCGTGACCATGACCAGAGACTCTTTGTCCTGGCTGCAGGCACAGGCAGACCGCCTCCAGCGTTTACTGCCCAACTGTGACTCCTCTATGAAGTCAGAAGGGCAGTGAGGGGCCCAGGAGAGGCCGAGACGGGCCTGCCCTGGGCCAACCACACTGAGGCTGCAGAGGAGGCCTGGTCAGGTCCTCCCATACGGGTGTCCCCAAGGCAGAGAGCTGGCTTCTGGCTCCCAGCTGTGCTCTACCACAGGAGGATGCAGCAGCATAGGGAGAGAGCAGGGAGAGGCCCTGGGCACCACTGCTATCCCTCCCAGGGTCCCACCAGGGCCCGCCTCCAACATCTGCACCAGCCCAGGGGAACCCTGAGCCCCAAGACACCCTGTCAGAGACCCAACTTACTACCCAGTGCGTGCCACTTGGTCTTGGCCTTGTCACCTCACGTCCTCTCAGGAGCAGCCCCCACCCTCAGCCCTGATGGTGCCCAGAGCCTGGAAATGCTAGGCGCTGGGGACACAGCACCCTAGCGTCACCTGCTGGGCCTCTGGGCTGCGACCATTCCTGTTCTCGCCTTTCAGGTTCAGCGCCCTCACAGTGTCCTGGACCTTCTGGGAATAACTTAGGAAGGCTCCCCTTCTCAGCGGCCCGCTGGAACGCCTGCTGTGCCATTTTTTGATAGCTCTGAAGTGGCGGAGGGCCTTTTTGGGATCTGCTCTGGATAAGACTTCATGGAGGTGCTTGGATCTCATTATCACCTGATGACGAAGACAAAGGACACAGGTACCGTGAGGGATGAGGGGTGGCGGAGGGCCTAAGCACAGCCTCCTGGGGCCCCAGGGAGCCTTCAAAGTGCCCTCATGAAGACGAAACACCACTGCCAATCAGGGCCTCAGCGTGTTAACAGAGCCTCGGGGTGGCGGTGTCAGGAGCCGCGGGCATGCAGGAGGGACTGGCATGCTCAGGGCCCTCCAGGAACAGGGGGAGCCTCTGGGAAGAAAATGTGGTGACAGGGATGGCCCCAGAGAGGCAGGACTCTGCACCCAAGCACTCTCTCAACCCTGCTATCAGCCCAGCACTCTCAGAGGGCTTGGCTATTTCCGCTCCCAGTCTGCACTATGGGATGCTGAGTCAAAGGCAATGGTCACTACTGGGCCACGTGGAAACGAGTGCTGGGGCCTGGGTTCAAAGGCTGCCTCTGCTGTAAGACCGGCAGGCTACTGTCTACCTTCCCAAGCCGTGGTGAGGCCGCCCCTGGACAGTGTCCACCGAGCACTGTAGCTCAGGACCTGGTATGCAGCACCTGCCTCCACCCCGCAGCTGTCGCACCTTCTCACGTGATCCAGGTCACAGGGTTCTGAGATCCTGCTTTACAGCCCTCCCACTGGACTCCAGAGGCCACACGACCATGGCGGCACCCAGGGTGCTCAGGCCCTCAGACCCTGAGTGCAGCCAGGGCAGGCCTGCGCAGTGGGCCTGGCACTACCTCGTAGTTGCTGGCCAGGAAGGGGAACTGCTTGGGCTGCAGGAACTGCGTCTTGGGGATGTCCAGACCGTCCTCCCCATACAGGAACTGCACCACGCTGCCGTCGCTGTCCCGGACCGTCAGATCGTACTGGACCACCAGCCCCTCCAAGTGTTTGATGATGCACCTGTCAGGAGGCCACCTGAGGGCCAGCTCTGCAAGGGCTTGCCACACAGCCCTGCTGCTAGCATCCACCCTGCACCCCAACAGCCAGCCTGCCCGCACCCTCTCTGCTAGCAGTGCCCCCGCAGATGCCTGTGCCTGGCCTCCACGGCTCCTGCCCTTCTCTTCCAGCAGGGTCTGGTGCCTCCTGCCTGCACATGGAACCAGGTAGGACCAGACCTGCCTGACCACTCATGTCCTGGTTTTCCTAGGTTTTTCTGAGTGGCTGGGGATGGAGGTAGAACTGCTGCTTAGGAAGGAGTGGCCGTGCGGCCAAGCCATGGAGTGTGGCCACCGAGCCTGGGTGCACCGAGCACTCCCCACTGGGCACTGCTGACTGCACGCAGGTTCCTCCCTAAAGGCCACTTCAACTCTACTCTCCCCTGTAGCCTCTGGAGCCGGGGGAAAGCAGAAGGAAGGGCAGAGCTGGAGCCTGCAGGAACAGCCCCACCCTCCTGGCCAATGGGGGCTCTCTCAGGACCCAGCCTGAGCACTCTCCACTCCCAGCCCAGGTCCCAGCAGGGGGTTCTCTAGGCACAGAAGGTCCCCAAGGGAGGGTCCCTGGAAGGCAGGGCTCTGCCACCTGTCCTGCTGGCTCTTTGGAGTCAGGACTCCTCTGGACTTGATCTTTGACTCCTACATGCCCACCGTGGTGGGACGAGGACTGCCTATCCCCTTTCCAGGCAGGGGAAGACACCAAAGGGACACCTAGGCCCAAAGGGACACCAACTGCAGGCTCAGAGGCAGGCATAGCTCATTCCCATTCAAGACCCTTGCCGGCACCCATGTCCTCAGGGATGGCAGACCAGTAGGTGGGAAGGACACCTGCTGGTTTGTCTGGCCACCCTGGAGAAAAAAGTTGTCATGATCCCAAGAATCGTCCTCGAAGGTGGGAGCAAGGCCCTGGGATGCAGGCCCTGCCATAGGCACACGGTTCTCACCTCTGCAGATAGCCGGAACGGCTGGTCTTGACTGCTGTGTCCACCAGGCCCTCACGCCCCGCCATGCAGTGGAAGAAGAACTCCTGCGGGAGAGTGGGACAGGAACACCACAGGTACTGAACGTGCGCTTGGGGACCCGCGGCCTTTCCTGACGGGTGTCTCTCTCCTTCCCCAGTCTCCAGGGCTCTTGGCACTGGACAGCTCCAGTGGCCTCTGCCTCTTCCCACCCAGGGCAGGATCAAAAGCATCAGCTCCCATCCTCAGGACAGGACCCCACATCCCACTTGGCATTGTCTGCCCCACGCCCACTCTACCTTCCACCCCAACAGGCAAACAGAGTGGTGTGGCATGCTCCAAGCTTCTGGAAGCAGCCCACAGTCAGAGCTCATCACCGCTGTCCTCAGCCCACCCCGCAGGAGCTGGGGAAGGCAGTGGCTTCCTGACCCCCCTCCTACTCTGTCACATACAGCAATGCTGGCCACCACCCACTAGGAGGACTCTGCAAGCGCTCGGGGTTGCAGCCTACGAGAGCCTCCAACATCCCTCACCAGAGACCACAATGGCCAGGAGAGCCTGGGGGCCGTAGCCTTGGATGACTGGCACTGGATGGCGGTCTGCCCTGGTGGCCTGACACACGGGGATTGAAAGGCACTAACACCCAAAGCTGCTCCACTGAGGTGGGGAGCAGAGGGAGCTTCCCTTCCAGAGGAGGACTGGGCATGTTCCCTGGACAGCACCTCCCACTGTGAAAGAGCCCAGGGAGGGATGGGGGCTTTGTGCAACGGACCTGCATGTGGTTCCCTGTGGCAGCCCAGGCTCCTGGGAAGACAGAGGCCCCCTCCTCCAGCTCTTATGGCAGCCGAGAGGATTGGAGAGGCTGTGTGGCCATCCCGGGCACCTCCTTGTTATGGGCATGCCTCTACTGGGCTAAGTTCTGCCCTCCCCAGGGTCGTGTCCTCTGGGCCCTCAGGTCTGGTGGGCAGGCAGCAAGTAGCCTGACATTGTCCTTGGCCACTCTCATGTAAAGCCATGGTTGGGGCCCGGGTCACTTGGCACTGAGTCTAGGAATAAGGAGATGGCACACGGGAAACCCACACATACGGAGGGCTGAATGCCGGTGAGGAACCTCCCAGTGACGAAGCCGCCAGCCCTGGGGGTGAACCTGTAGGGCTCGAAGCAGGGCAGCGACTTGCCAGACGCCATCAATGGGGGCCTCCGCCCCTCTAGCTCGATCTGTCCCAGCAGGCATGAGATCTGGGGAAGGAAACCAGGCAGACTCAGGACGAGGCGGGACACCCGGGAAGCTGCCGCCTCAAAACACTGAGTCCCCTTCTCCTGACTGAGGTAGACATCTGGGCTCACAGAAGGAGTAAGGCTGGGAAGGAAGCCGCCACCAGAATCACCACTGCATGTGGAGGGTCTGGGGTGCTGGTGGGAAGTGCAGGAAACAGCAGTGCACTATGACCCTCACCCTAGGTCCAGGGAACCTCAGGCGATGGAGGTGCTGGCTGAGGGCACGCGCCATGAGGGCACAGTGCTGGGGCTTCCCCACCGACTGGGCCTTCTGGAGGGCCCTTGGCCACTTCACCCTCCTGCTGCTCGCCACTCACCCAGGGACAGGGTGCTGCAGGACCCACTCAAGTTCGGGTTTTTGAAGGGGACTCAGCTTATGATCTGTCAGGAGTGGTGTGTTTGTGTGTGATGAGTCACTGCTCTGCACCTCACTCCTTCAGTCTCACCACGTTCTATGTGGAATGTGGAGCCGCCCACTGCCAGCAGCCCGCCCTCTGTGCCCACCTGCATCGTGTTCACGGTTGACCCTTTGGCCCCCGACTGCACCATCATCTGCAGGTTGTTCTCTGGGAACTGCCTGTGCAGACCAAGAGGCATACACGCCTGTGGAGGGAAGCGGGCGTGTCAGGGTTCCTCCACCTCCTGCCCCAGCCCCGGGGTCAGGTGGGCCCTGGAGCAGAGGCCATCTGCTGGAACACGTGCCAGGTACAGGCCATGCCCTGCACAGGGCAGGGGAAGCCTCAGTGGGCTTCCACCCCCATGCTGCCCCCACCTCGGCCCTTGGCTGCCTCACATCCCCAGACAGGAGTGGCGGGCTCCATTCACTCGTCAAAGAGAAGCAGGAGGAGGTGCCATCAGTTGGTGGCTCTAAAAAGGTACTAGTTGGGCATAAAATCGAGGCGATGCCCTGCTAGGCCGACCCGGTCCTCACCACCAGGTAGACCACCAGTGTCACACTGTGTCCACATGAGCACCCAGTGGGGAGCCTGACTATGGCTCCAAGGCCAGCAGATGCTGGCAGATCCACAGGAGGGGACATGGGAAGATGCCAAGGGCACCTGAAACCCAGCCCAACATGGAGGGGCAGAGCCTAGGTGGGAAAAACAGGAAGGACAGGAGGTGGGGACAACAAGCCACCCAAGGCCACTTCTGACGATAAGTCCTCCAGCCCAGCCTTCTCAGTCAGGGAGCTGCGCCTCCTGGCCCTGGCCCTGCTGAAGGCGCCCAGAACACCACCTCTCGTGTGCAGGGCCCCACAGACAAGGCTGGCGTGAGCTGGGGTAGGCCTCGTCTCTTCCTTGCTGCAGGGCCAGGGAGCCGGGCTACAGCCCGACTGCCAGGGGCCTGGTATGGCTTCCTGTGCACGAGCTCCTGCTCCTCATGTCCACTTCCAGGCCAGGCCCCAAGCAGACTGCCCCATATGCGCCTGTGGGCACATGTGAGCACTGAGCAGTCGGACCTGGAGCAGGCTTCTCTCTGGCGCTGCCGCACCCTGCACGTCCACCTGCCGTGGCCCACAGGAGAGCCCCCCTTCAGATCCCTTCGATGTCGTCACTCCATAAGAAATACTGCACAAGTCGGTCCCTCTCAACGCCAGTCCAAGGCCTTCCCGGGCCTGCCAGGGAGGCAGGACATGGTCCTGGGCTCTTCAAACAATGGATTCGCCATCCCACCTCAAATCCTAACCAGTCACCTCTTAAACAGCCATCTGCCCCAAAGAATCCTGAGTGACAACCAAATGGAATTAAAAAAAAAAAAAAAAATAGCATTCAAACAAGTGGGGACAGTCCATGCACCTCCAGGCTGACCTTGTTAATCTCATTGCTGTAGCGGTTCACCTCCTCCTTGAACTTCAGATCGATCATGTTAAAATCCCTCTGGTCCTTGCCCAGATGGGCATCCTCCCACTTCCCTCGGACCTCATCACATGATGCGGCTTCTGGCAGGTTTAGTGCAGCCCGGACAGCCTAAAGGAAGTGAAGACGTGGCGGGGATGCAGTCAGATGAGGAGGTGTGGGTTTCATTCTGCAGGACTCTGGTCCATGGGCAGGCCATGGCCTCCCAGCCCACTTACCTGGGGCCCACAGTGGGTGGATTCCTCAATGATCCTACGTCTCTTCACATCTGCCTTTGGCCTAACCAAAATGTCTTCCACACCTGTGACATGAAACAGACATGCTCAGGGTGGACGAGCCCAGCCTCTCCCAGCCCGTGAACTGGGGGATGTTCTGGGCCAAGGCCAGACACAGGAGCGCTGGGCACATGGCGTCTCAGATCGCCACTATCTCCGACCTTATCATCTTTTTCTCACGAGTGACAAAACAGGCTGAGACCTGAGTCCCCAACTTGTGCTTATAAACACCCACTCTTGTGCTATCACCAAGTAAGTCCCTGTTAGAAGGACATGAGGGGGTTTGGGATAGGAAGCTAGGTTTAGGGGCAGAGGAAGGGTTGGGAATATCTCCATAAGGGCTCCCAGCAGCCTCATGTCCCAGGCCACCTGTATGGTGATTGTGGTGTGCAGGTACAGAGTGTCTAGCCTGAACCAGGCTCCCCCATCCCTGCCACAGCAGCCTCAGGAGGCCAAAGCTGGTGATTTCACTCAGGTCTACCCTAGGGCCCATGGGCTATACAGCTGCTCATACCGGTAGAGCTTGCTGCTCACTTTACCACATTTTGCCTCCACCTGTAAGTGCAGCAGGACCCCAGAGTCCCCCGGCCAACATCCGAACAGGAAGGCAAACACTGACCACTCAGAACTGGGCTCAGATGTCTGCAAAGTCTGATGTGATGGCCTGAGACCCGGAGGCCTGAGACCTGAGGACCTGAGACACATGGGCCAGAGACACAAGGGCCTGAGACCTGAGGACTTAAAGCACGGAGCCTGGAGACACAAAGCCTGAGACACGAGGGTGTGCAGAGAACCGGAGTGGGTGGGGAGGGACACATACTTCAAGAAGCCGTGACCAGGAGTGGGCCTGCTATGGGTTCTCCAGGCCACCCTGCCCAGGCGACAGCTGGCCCACCCACCCAGAGCCCTATCCCCAATAGGTCTCTAGCATGTGTGGTCACCGCATAGCTGAGTTCTACGCCAAGCCAAACAGGGCTGCTGGCCTGGCCCTTGGCTGCAGCTTCCACCTGGAGAGCTCTTAATTCTCTGGCCAGCAGACAGTCCCACTTGTGCCAGGCCACTGGATGAAACGGGTTCCAAGGCTTCGCGCTGTACCTTCCTGGAGACCCTGGGGCCTCCAGTGTAGTTTCCAATGAGAAGAGGGTGACCAGCCCATCACAGGAACCAGGACGGGGACGGTGCCTCTCAGCTCAGGCAGACCAGCAATTTGCAATCCTCATTCTGATAGATCAACTGGACGTATGGGCCCAGACACCTGTCCCAGGGTCCTCATTACCACAATGGCCTGAAAACTCACACCAGCCTAAATGTATGGTGACAGGGATGGCATAATCACCCCACAGGACAGCCCAGCCTCTGAGTTCTGTGGCCTCCACCAGCTGCAACCACAAATATCTGAGAAAGAAATAATTACACCTATAGGAATAGCCACAGAGGCTTCCAAAGCAGCCTAACAGCTGTTCAGACGGCACTTATGCAGCAGGAGGTATCTGAACTCTAAGACGGTTTCAAGTCTAGGGGAGGATGCACGTAGGTTATATGGAAACACCACACCACTGCACATGAGGAGCATCTGTGGATTTTGCTATGGGGGGCAGCAGCTTGGAACCAATATCCCTCAAATACTGAAAAACAAGTAAACATCCACACTAAAGGAATGACTTGTAGTCACTAGTCATGAGGGTGTGGATTGATAATAGTTGACCCCAAAGGTCATTTTAAAATATATTTGGAGTGGTGGTAGAGAGGACTAGATTACAGGACAGTACGTAGTAAAGGGTTTCATTTCCTCTGAATATATCTGCACTGGAAAAAAGTCTAGGAAGATACACTTCAAGTTGATACTAACGTGTTTCCTTGCAAATGGAAGCGGGGTGTTGTGTTCCCACCTATGGACATTACACGTTTAAGCCGTTCCACGTGAAACACGTGACTGAAGAGTGAACTGGTGCTGCGCCGCCCCACTACAGGCCCAGGGCTCAGCCCCTGCAGCAGCCTGTGGAGCACATCTGCACTGAGCAAGCCTAGGAAGCAGAGCGCCTCCCTCTGCCACAGCGAAACCCATCACGGCATCCCCCGGCCCACTCAGATTCCACTCCAGAGACAGGATGGCAGTGCAGAGAAACAGCACACCTATTTCCTGTGTCAGAGCCAACTCCCTACGACAGTGCCTCTTGCTTCCAGGACACACTGGGCTCAGGGTCAGCAGACCCACCTACCTCAGTGGAGTTCCCAGGCACAGGCAACCACTAACAGGAAAGCCCTCAGCGCAGGGAGGGCCGAGGGAGTCCAGGAGGGTGTGAGGGCAGGAAAGGCCCAGGGGAGCGAGCTGCAGGGAGGGCCAGGGCAGAAGTGGCTGACCCGTCGTGGCTATGGGTGGGGGGCCAGGCTCACCCAGGGTGAAGCCTCGGTAGAGCTGCAGGTAGGCGGTGAAGAGCCGGGCCAGGCAGGTGAGGACCCTGCCGCTGGTCTCGCCCCCGTAGACCTCGTGGCAGCAGTGCACCAGGCCATAGGCGGAGCTCCCATAGTGCGCCTTGTCCAGCACTCCGCAGAGCAGCTCCCCGTCGCGGATTAGCACCTGTGGGAAGCACCAGGTTGCAGGGACATCTCCACGTGCCCTTCTGACAGCACTAGCCTCCCTCCAGCTGGGTGCCTCTTGGTGATCTGCCTCGAGTCCCTCAGGGAACAGGAGGCAAACACACCAGCAGTTGCTGAAGTTTTCTCAAGGGATCACACACACACACTTTCCAATGTGCTCAGTGTCCCTGCTCTCCCACCCTGTACTGAGGTCAAGTGCGTGGAAATGAGAACCAGAGCTGCTACGTGGCCGCTGGGAGTGGGGCTTAGGTATCCCTCCCTAGCACCTCCCTGGAACCCTTCGGGCAAGAACAAAACCCTTGGAGCATCCTCTCAACCCGAATCTGCACTCTCATGGAGCAGGGCTAAAGGGTTAGAAGCTAATTAAGAGAAAAAGAGTCCTAGCACCATGAAGCCCACCGGTGACACGCAGTGGCTGTGGGCATGTTCCACCGGCCTGCTCTCTTGAACCAGCATGGGGCACCCAGGTTTCACTGCCCTGGGAGGCCTCTTGACCCTGTCATGAGGCTTGCAGCTGGGGTGTTGGGACCTCAGAGCATTCAACTTTCTTAAGTGGTCTTGAGGGAAACCTGGGCTCTGTGTCTCCAAGCTTGGCTGGCTCACACTGCAGGCTAGATGGTAGAGACACTCTGGATCCTGCCCAAAGCAATGGTGGACAGCACCCTGGGCACAGCCCTCGGCTCCTGAGGCAGGCGGCAGTCCCATGAGCGTGCCTCCACTTCTGTCTCAGCCTTGGGGGGGGGGCCATCTCCAACCTGCACCGAGGGCACCCTACCTGGGACTCGCACATGAAGTCAGGGTTAAAGCCAGGAACAGGCCGAGGAGTCTCCTTCACCCAGGCCTTCCCGCTGATTTTTGCCTTTCCGGACAAGTTCAGTGGGACGTAGTCCTCGGGGATTATGTTTATGAGCAGTGTTGACACGACCTGGAGGAAAAGGGGAAGGCTGAGGGTAGAAGAGGAGCTGGGCCCTGTAGGCCTGCAACCACAAAGTGCTGCTCTCAGGCAGGCGAGAGGCAGCTCCCCTCCAGGGCACAGGTCACCCCGGACTCGCCCAACAACACATGAGAGGAGATGAAACACCAAGCAGCCCCTGCACTTGAACCAGACTCCCGAGCAGGCCAAAGGAAGAAAGGGGAGAGCAAAGAGTGCGTGAGGGTAGAAGCAGGGCCCGGCAGGAGTGACACTGCCAATACAGTAGGTCACTAAACTCCAAAGAGGAACGAGAGGAAGAAATGAACAAAGAATATTCAGACAACCAGGAGAAAGTCAGTAATATATCAGGAACAAGGATATACCTTTCAGTAATAAATGAATGTAAGGGGTCTCAATTCTCCAATTTAAAAAGTTATATCAGCTGAATGGATTAAAAAAATTCGGGGTTGGGGTTGTGGCTCAGCCATAGAGTTCTTGCTTAGCATGTACAAGGCCCTGGGTCAATTCTCAGAACCACATAAAAATAAATAAATAAAATAAAGGTAGTGTGTCTAATTACAACTAAAAAATAAATATTAAAAAAATTCAAGACTCAAGACATATATATAGATTGAAAAAGAAAGAATAGAAAATGATATTCCAAGCAAACAGAATCTGAAAACAAGCAGGTATAATTATACTTATATCTCATAAAAGAGACTTTAAGACAAAATCAGAAGAGACAAACAGTTGCTATACATTGTTCAGATGAACAATTAATCCAGAAGATACAATTATAGTTTGTATGAACTGAATGTTGGACACCCAGTTTTATAAACAAACACAAAGAGACCTAATAGATAGAGACAGGCCCCAACACTGCAATTGCAGTGACTTCAACACCCCACTCTCACCAGGCAAAACCAAGAGAACAACAGAATAAGCAGACTTAAATTACACTCTAGATCAAGTGGATTTAACAGACATCGACAGACTACCTCATCTGACAGCTGCAGAATTCACATGATCTCTGTCAGCACATGGGGCTCCGTGCAGAATAGACCACATATTAGTTCACAAAGCAAGTCTTACCAAATTCAAAGAAACTGAAAGCATACGCCACATCTCCTCTGATCACAATGGAATAAAATGAGAAATCAACAGCAAGAAAAATTCAGAAATCATACAAACACGTGGAGACTGATCAACATACTTTTGAACGAACAGAGGATCACTGAAGAAGTCAAGGGGAAATTTAAAAATCCCTTGGATCAAATGAAAATGAAAGTACAACATACCAAAACCTATGGGATAGCGCAAAAAGCAAAACTAAGAAGAAGTTTAAAGTAATAAAAGCCTACATTAAAGAAAGAAAAAAAAAAAAACAGAGAGAAAGATCTCAAATAAATAACCTAATGATGCTGCATCTTCAAGGTCTCTGAAAAACAAGAATGAACCAACCCCAAATCAGTAGAAGAACAGAAATAATGACAATCAGAACAGAAATAGTGAAACAGAAGCTAAAAACAAAACCAAAAACCAACAACAATAACAAAAGCATAAATGAAACAAAGAGTTGGTTCTCTGGAAAGACGAAACTGACAAGCCTTTAGCTAAAGTAACCAAAACAAAGATCCAAGTAAGTAAATTAGAGATGTCAAAGGAGACACTCTACCACAGAAATTCAAGATATATTGAAAAATAAGTGCCAATAAATTGGAAAAATCTAGAAGAAATGAACAAATTTCTGTACATGTAGGACCTATGAAATTGAACCAAGAGAGTATTAAAAACGCTCAGGAAGGCTGTGGCCCAGTGGTGAGCGCTTGCCTGGCACGTGTGGGGCACTGGGTTCAAGCCTCAGCACCACATAAATAAACAATCAAAATAAAGATATTATGTCTATCTACAACTAAAAACTATCTCTAAAAACCAACCAAACAAAAAAACCTAAGTAGACCAACCAATAACAAATAATGAGATTGAATCAAAATAAAAAGTCTCTCAACAAAGAAAAGCCCAGGACCAGACCAGACAGCTTCTCTGCTGAATTTTAGCAAGTGTTTTTTTTTTTTTTTTTTTTTTTTTTTTGAGGAAATAAAAACAGAAAGGGAATGAACCAGGGACTGGGATTGTGGTTCAGTGGCAGCCTAGCATGTGTGAGATACTGGGTGCAATCCTCAGCACCACATAAAAATAAAATAAAGGTATTGTGTCCACCTACAACTAAAAAATAAATATAAAAAAAAAAAAGAAAAAAGGGAAGGAACCAAGCTCACTCCATGATTACCCTGCTATTGAAACCAGACAAGGACATGAAAACTATACACAAATATCCCTGATGAACACAGACTCAAAAATCCTCAATAAAATACATGCAAATTGGATTCAAGTGCACATTCAAAAGATCACATACCATGATGAAGTTGGTTTCATTCCAGGGATGCAAGGATTTTTAGGACTCAACATACGGAAATCAATAAATGTAACAGAGAACATTAAAAAAAAAAAAAAATCAAGGACAAAAATCACATGTTTATCAAAAAAAAAAAAAAGAAAAAAAAAAAAAAAAAAAAAAGATGCAAAGAAATCACCTGGTAAAATTCAACATCCTCCATGACAAAGTTAGTAAGCAAGGTCACAGCTCCACGTGAGAAAGGCCATGAAGGACAAGTGCACAGACAGCACAGTGAAGGGGAAGCAGCCTTTCCCCCAAGCTCAGGAGCAAGGCCAGGCTCCACTCTGACCTGTCTTACTCGGCCAGAGCAGTGAGTCAAGGCAGGGAAATAAAAGGTATTAAACAGGAAAAGAAGGAGTCAAGGTTCCCCTCTCTGCAGATAGGACTCTACACATAGAGAACCCTAAAAACTCCACCACTACTAAAACTGGTAAGTTCAATAGAGTAGCAGGATATAAAATCAACATACAAAATCCAGTAGCTTATCTCTATGCCATTAATGAATTCACTGAGAAAGGAATCAAGAAAAGTAATCCCATTTGCAAAAGACACACACATACACAACTAGCAATAAACCTAAGGATGTGAAAGATCTTTAAAATCAAACTACAAAACACTGAAGAAAGAAACTGGACACCAAAAGGTGGAAAAGATTGGGAGAATCACTACTATATAGCTATACTATCCAAAACTACCTGGATTCAAAGCAATCCCCAAATTACCAATAATCCTAATAATACACATGGAAGCCCAAAAGATTCTAGATAGCCAATGCAATCCTGAGCAAAAAGAGCAAAGCTGGAGGCATCAAAATCCGTGATTTCAAGACATACCACAAAGCCACAGTTAACACAGCATGCTCTTGGCATAGAAACAGACACACAAACCAATCGAACAGAATAGAGGACCCATAAAGACATCCATGCATTTTCAGCCAACTGATTCCTCACAAAGATGCCAAGTATACACTTGGGAGAAACAACTATCTCATCAACAAATGGTGTTGGGCAAACTGGTTATCCACTCTCTCTCTCTCACCCTGTACAGAAGGCAACCTGAATGGATCAAAGACCTTAATGCAGACCTGGAACTCTGAAAACTACTAGGGGAACACGGGGACACTCCAAGACAGCAGCACAGGCCACGCTGCCTGGGTAGGGCTCCAACAGCACAGGAAATAAAGCAAGAATTGACAAATGGGATCACAGCCAACTGTAAAGCTTCTGCACACAAAAGAAACGATCAAAAAAAAGAGACAGCCTGCAGCACAGGAGGTGACTGCCAATTATCTGATGAGGGTTCCCATCTAGAATATGCAAAAAAAAAAAAAAAAAAACCCCAAAATATTAAACCACACACACAATCAGCAATAAAACACAAGTAATCCAACCAAAAAATGACCTCAATACATACTTCTCAAAAGGAATAATACAAATGGCAAATAAATATGTGAAAATGTACTCCATATCTTCAGCCATCAGGGAAAAGCAAACCAAAACTACAATGAGATTCCATTTTACTCTAGTTACGTGGCTATTAACCAACCAATCAAAAATAACAAATGCAGGCGAGGATGCGGCGAGAAAGGAAACCCTTCTTACTAGATTTCACATCCAGCTAGAGCCACGAAGGTAGCATAGCACAGTGAATGCAGCCGAGACCTGCGGAGCTGCAGGAGTCCGGCACTGACCCACACCACTGTCTGGTGCGTGACCAGGAGACACTGAGGAGCACTGCAGGACTTTTCAACAACAGCTGTCAAACGAACACGGGAGGGAGTGACCCCCCCACCCTGCCTCACTCCAGAGCCAGGCATGACAGGTGGACCCATGAGGCTATGGGCAACAGTGCAGGGGCAGGCAAACCGTCCCGCCACAGAGTGTAAGGTCCAGGGACTATGGAATGTTACAGAACCCACCATTAGAACTAGGGGAAAGGTAACCATTAAGTAGGCGCTTCCAATTCACGCATCTAGCAACGGACTGACACCAAAATACATGTTTTACAGCTCTTCCCTGGGCCTGGGAGACAGCTCAGTGGTAGGGTGCATGCTTAGCAAGGAGGAGGACCTTGGTGCAATCTCTAGCACCAAAGAACCCCACACAGACAGACCACAAGCCTTTTACCTACAATAAGACAATGACAGAATAGGGAACAGGCAGAAGACTCTAACAGGCCCTTCACAAAAGATGATATCCAAATGGCCACTAAGCACATGGAGAAACGAGAAGATGTCACTATGTCCCCATCCAGACGGCTAATCCAGTAGGCCCCAACCCCCAAGCCCCACCCAGCAGTAAAGCAGAGTTCTGCTGAGGATGGGGCAGCCAGAAGCTTCGTGCCCTGCTGGTGAGTCTCTCTCTGAAGCACTTTGGAAAAGTGAGATGGCCTCTGACCTGGCAGCTGTGTTCCCTGGTGTCTGCTTCTGAATGACACTTACAAACAAGACATGTGCTGGGGTTTCCGAGTAGCCCTGTGTGAAAGGCCAGCTGAAGACGGCCAGATGTCCACCCACCCAAGGAAGATGGACAAATGCAGGTGACACATGCACATGTGGGACACTACAAAGCAAGGACGACGACAGCCCACTGTGTGTGACCACACGAGTGGCATGGGTGGCTCAGAGGGAGGGCCAGCCATGCAACTCCACTCGCATCAGGTTCCAGACGCGGCCCCAGCTGCGCAGGGGCTAGAAGAAGGCTGGGGCTGGCCTGGGTGCCGGACACTTCCTCACGCAGTCGGGGGAAGGCTCACTCTGTGCCCTTCACGCAGCTGCCTGCTGGGAGCTGCGGAGACCTGCAGATGCTCTTTCTTCCTTCCTTCCTTTTTTGGCACTGGGAACTGAACCCAGTGCTCTGCCACCGAGCCACACCTACAGTCCTGTCCATTTGTTTGAGGCAGATTGCCCAGGCTGTCTTAAACCTGGGACCTTCCTGCTTCAGCTTCCCCAACAACTGATTACAGGGCTGCAGGCCACCACACCCACAAATGGGGCTGAAGAATAAACTCAGCTCTCCCTTCCTGACTTCAAGCCGGCCTTCTCTGCAGAACCCTTGGCCCCTGAAGGAATCCTCACCACGCAAGTGCTCCTGCCTTTCTCACCCACCTGCAAATAAACAGCCCGACATCCTCCCGGGGGGGGGGGGCACTGAAACGGGGAAGCAAGCATGAGTCTGTATTCTAATTTTGTTTGTTTCAAGTAACCATCACAACCCAGAAATATTTAAAAAGAGAAAGAAGCTGTCCCTGACCCCCCAAGGCAGCCTGCTGGGCTCTTCTTCCCACAACGCTTTCCCTGTGTGCCCGTGCAGGCTGCAGCGGGTGCCGAGAGCCCTGCGGCACCACCCACAGCACTCAGAATTGCCTTGCTAGCAGCTGGCACCACAGCAGGGGGTGTGTGTACCGGGCAGCTCTGATGCTGGGCAAGCTGGCTTTCTGCTTCTCCCAAGCAGCCTGCCCACAGCCCGATGCCGTCTCAGGCTAGACTCCCAATCACAGGGAAGGAATCATCTGTGGGTTTGGCTATATATTCCCTGTCCGCTGTTTGGTTCTATTTTAAACACACTACTTAATTTTTAAACAAAATACTATTAAATTCAAGACAATAATTACATACAAATCCACTGACTTCCAAGATAATGTGATGGCTTATAAAATAAAGACAAATAAATAGGAATAATAGAGGGACAAACACAAATGGCAAACTAAGCCAGGAGTTGCAAACCATGGCCTCCAGGCCAGATGTGACCTACTGCACTACCTATTTCTGCAAATGAAGCTAAGCTGGGCCATGACCATGTCCTTCCATTTCCACACTGTCCTGGGCTGCTTTCCTGTTACAGTGGCAGACCTGAGTAGCTGCAGCCCAGAAGATGGACAGCAAAGCCAAAAATAAGTACTTCCTGGTCCTTACGGAAAACACTAATCCCCGAGAATGCTGATCTGTACAAAAATTTCAAACTGCAAAATTCCCCATCCAATCTGCTAACTCAATCTCTATGACTGGTCAGGATAGAGCATGTGACCTGATTTAGCCTCCCTCAGAACTAGCAGCAGCATGAATATGCACCGGTTTTCAAAACACTGGACACCGGGCGAGGAAGCACACAGTCAACAGGGACACAGCAAACTCAAACCACCTACCAGACAGACCATTTTCAACCCCTAACACAAGTCTCAATAAATTTAAAAGAATTAAAATCATCACAGGTATGGTCTCTGGCCACAAAGCAATCAAACTGGAACTCAGTATTGAGATACTGGGAAAATCCTTAAATATCTGAAAACAAAATATGGTACTTAAAAATAATTCACGGTCAAAAAAATCAAAAGTATTCTGAAGTGGACAAAGGTTTTAATATACCATGAGTTGTGAAATGCCTCTTAAGCAGAATATAAGTAGGAAACTTACTCACAAAATGTCTATATTTTAAAAGAAGATCTTAAAATCATTGACTTCAGTTTCAATCTGAAATAGCTAGAAAAAGAGTAGAAACCCAAAGCCAAAATGAAAGTTAATAAAGATCAGAGAGAAATCAGTGAACCAGAAAACAGAAGGCCAGAGATGTCAGTGGAACTAAAAACCGGTTCTTCTAAAGCAATAAAACTGATAAACCCTAGACAGACACATCAGGAACCGAGAAAGACACACCACCAATGTCAGAGTGAGAGAGATGGAAAAGGATGACAAAGAAACACCACGGACAACCTCATGCTGTGAGTTCAACGACTCAGACGGAGTCGCACAAATCCTTGAAAGCTCACTCAAGAAGAAACAGAAGCCCAAATAGCCACATATCTGTCCTGGTCCAGTCTGTGCTGCTGCAACACACCACAGGCAGGGGATTCATAAGGAACAGGAATGGATTTCCTTCCAGTTCTGGAGGCTGGGAAGAAGGCACATGCAGCCCAAACTCATCCTTTATAAAGACTGACTCCCATTGTTGGGTAGAAGGTGGGACAAGGGGAGGAGGCTCCCAGCTCCACCCAGAACCCTCCCAACAATCCACCTGAAGCCCTTTCCTGGGGTTAAAGTGAGGAAGTCAGATGACCAGAAGGGGACTTGACCTCTGGTCTTGGGCTTCCACAACAGCCCAAGGGACTGTCCAAGGGTTAACTTATTGCTAGTTAATGTATTATTAGCATTGCAGTTGGCTATCCTTCTGTGCCATTTTCTACAGGAAAAAGGAACTTATGCAGGGGTAGTAGAAATTACATAAAATTCAGCTGTCAATCAAGCTGCCAATCAACCCCAAGTGCACCAAGGGAAGCAGGTGGGGGGCACTAGTACAACCCAATAAAAGCAAACTCCACTGTGCAGGTGGGTCCTTGAGCCACTTCACAGCTCCACCCACTCTGCTCTCGCAGTGTTACCTTTACCTCTGGTAAACCTCTGCCCTGCCTGCCAGTTTCTGGCACCTTGCACGATTCTTTGCTCTGGATGCCAAGAAGCTGGACCTGAGCCCCTGGAGACCCCGCCCTGGTGCCAGTGACCCCACAACAGCAGCCAGAATCCATTCAGGAGAGCAGCCCCCGTGGCCCCGTGGGCTCACGGCTGTTCCGTGGTGCTGCAGACAAAGCCAGGGCCTCTCTCACACAGGCCAGGCAGGCGCCCACCACTGACGGACCCCAGGTCCCGCTTCCTGATCAGGAGTCCAATTCCCTGTACATGAACTTTTGCAGAAGTGTTCAAAATAGCAATCTATTAAAGAAACAGGAATTCAATAAAACATCCTTCCCACACCTAAGTCAAACAAACTTCTTTTCTTTTTAAAGTTAAAACCATCATACAAAGAAGCTCTAGGGCCAGATGCTGACGCCAGTGATTTTCAACAAGCATTTAAGGAAGAAATGACATCAATTTTACACAAATTCTTACAGAAAATGGAAGAGGGAACACATCCCAACTTATTCTCTGATACCCAACTCCAGATACCAAAACAGCACACTTAATAACAGACACTATTCTATGACACCTAATACCGTGACTCCACAACCAGACAAAGATATAAGATGACTGTTGTCCAATAGCCTCAGGAACAGAGATGCAAACTCCATGCTGAACAAAACAGCAGCAAACTGAATCTAACAGAATCTCAAACAAGGACCAACAGAAGTGTATCCAGGATGAACCTCACCCACTGAGATCCCCCGGAGAGCAGGAAGGGCGGGAGAGACCACTCTCCTGACCCCTGGCTACAGAGGAGGAGCCAAGGCCCACAGTGAGGAGCAGGAGCTGCCGGGCGGGCAGCTGAAGGCGGAGGCCAGCCGAGAGTGGAAAACACACCTGTCTCACTCTAGTGTCACACACAGTGACTCGGTCACCTCCAGAGAAGTATGGTGTGGCGCTCTGGAGTTGGGAAGTCCGGGATGAGTGTCTTTGGTCTCCCAAGTGTGAGATCACCACCTCCCTCCTGCAGACCACCAGCTGCAGGTTGGCCATGAGAGGTGAATCTGGTGAGGCATCTACTGAATTCAGCAAAGCTCTTGTCACGTCCAGCAAATGTCACCACTGCTGCCACCAACGTGGCTGTGACCAGCATGTTTGGGTTACAGTAGGTCAGAAACAGAGGACAGAAACCACTCAGATCCAGGGATCCCAAACGAACAGACAGACTGATTAAGGGTTTTGGTTTGTTGTGTTTTGCGGCCCTGAGGAAGGAACCCAGGGCCTCCTTCATGCTAGGCAAGCACTCTACACTGAGCCACACCCCAGCCTCAGGCGTCTTCCCTGCCTCTGTTTTGGGAAGGTCACCTTTCTCACCCACACCGACTCTTTCCACTTACCTGCTTCCCGGTCCACAGTGGAAAGGGCTTCAGGATGGCAGGAGGAAGAAGCTTCACGCGCCCCGCTTTGTCTGTGAGTCCTCGGTACAGCAACTCCACGTACTGTTCCCGGGTGAAAAAGCAACCTCGAGTGGTCATGTTTGCACCTGAAACCATGTGATCCTGGATCAGCCCTGCCAATGGCTGTCCATCCTGTGAACCAAAACACGAGAAGGACAAGATGGACTCCAAGCCAACTCTAGTTCTTAATCACAGGCTCAGAAGCCACCTTCTAGATAGAAAGAGCCCACCCGTAGCTCCCATAACACCCTGCTCATGCCTGTACCAGGCTTCCCTAGCCGTGACCACTGATGATTCCTGCTCTGGCCAGTCGGCCACTGTCCTGTGTGAAAACCACTTAGAACTTGTTCAGCTCCCCAGGCCTTCAATGCCTAATACCATCTGGTTCTAGTTACTCCAGCACATTTTTGACATTTATGCATAAATCTGGTCTGGCTGTTGGTAGCTGCAAATTTGTTTTTTTACTTTGGTTTTGTTTTAGTATTTTCACACACTTCTGGCCTGGTTCTCCTACCTATCAATCATCCATTCAACAAGTATTTGCTGAGAGCCTACTGTACACATGGAGGCCCACGGGCCCACTCCATGGACCAAGCAAAACACAAGGAACAGCCAGGCGGGAAGCACACACTGACCAACACGTGTCCCATGGGCATGGGATGCAATCCCAGGACAGGCCATAATGTGGGTGGGTGGAAGGGTGGGTGGAAGGGGGCGCTGCCAGGAGGCTAGGGCCCAGGCAGGTCCTGGGTAGGGCGCCAGAGGGCCTTGCCTGCACAATGTCCAAAGTGCCGCATATGGCTCAGGGTGGGCCCTGCAGACCACAATCTAACAGAGGCCCAAACAGGGACCTCATCAAGCCCAAAGTCTGGTGGCACAACACTTGAGTGTTTGAGACCGCAGGCCCTGGGTTGCACCTGTCAGGCTCGTGTGCATGACAACAGAAGGCACACTCAAGCCAAAAAGTCACCATGCTCATCAGGAAGAGGCAGCTTTCAGACTTTCCCATGATTAAGGGAACTTGAGGAAACCTGAGCTTGGCTCTGAAGACCTCTCATCTGATTATTATTAAGTCATAGCCAATATTATGGCCAAGTTCCTAACGAAGGCGGAACTGCACCTACAGAGAAGCAACAGGAATCTGACTGCACATACCAACTGTCAAGGGATCTAAATAGGACAGGGATGGGTTCTAGAGAACCCAAAAGCCATGATTCCAGATGAGCTGAGAAGGAGCCGTGGGCGCAAGGGTGTAAGGCAAGATCAGGGCACACGGCCCTTCCAAAAAGGTTCCGAGTTCCTTCGCTCCCACACCAAAGACAGTCTTGTTGGGCTTGGGGGAAAATCCAGACCAACATTATGCATTTGACTTATCCACAGTCCTCGGGGGAAGACACACACTTTGTTTTTCCTTGTAAAGAACATAATCAGGAGTTACACGTGAGAACATAACTATGGTGCCTTCTCTCAGTGCAGACTCACACATGACTGGAAAATTACTAAAAGGGTCTTCAATACAATAATCACAAGTTCTCAGGAGGAATGCAGATTAAAACTATTGCTAAAGATGTACATGTAATCCCATTTGGGATTAGCTGGTGTGTTAGACAAGCCTGTAATCCCAGCAGTTTGTGAGGCTGAGGTAGAAAGATCACAAGTTCAAGACTGAACAACTGAGAGAGACCCTGTCTCAAAATAAAATTAAAGCTGGATGCAGGGGTGTACACATATAATCCCAGCAACTTGGGAGGCTTAAGCAGGAGGATTTCAAACCAAGGCCAGCCTCAGGAACTTGGTGAGGCCCTGTATCAAAATAAAAAGGGCTGAGGATGCAGCTCAGTGTGAGAGTTTGCCTTACACATGTGAACCTTGGCTTCCTGCCCAGCAGAGGGAAAAAACACCTGATTCAAAACCCAGAAAATTCTCAGCTATCTTGTTCCACGACATCACAGCAAAATGACATTAAAATTAATGTCTCTGGTCAGAATGCTTAGATAACAGAATACTTTGTGTCTTGAATTTGCTAAGGAAAAGTCAGGAAGCTTTGTTTAAAAGCTTTCCACAGAATTGGGCGTGGTGGAGCATGCCTACAATCCCAGCATCTTAGGAGGCTGAGATAGGAGAATCAAAGCCAGCCTCAGCAAATTATCGAGATCTTAATCAACTCAGTTGAGAACCTGTCTCAAAATAAAATATAAGAAGGGCCGGGGATGTGGCTCAGTAGTTAAGTGCTCCCTGTGTTTAATCCCTGGTACTAAAACCAAACAAAATCCCCACATCTCCAGAGTGTTGACCCTCAAAAAGCACAACGAACAGAAGGGGGCAGTTTAATCTCAGAGAAATGACGGCATTTGCTGGTAAGTGGGTGAAAATGCCCGACACCAAGCTGTGTGACACAGGCCAGCCTGAGAAAGTCAAGAGCAACGTTCCCCTGTCTGTGGAAGGCAGAGCAACACCAGGGAAAGAGGTGGCAAGAGAAGATGGGGTATCAAAAGACATGGGGCGATCAGGAGAGCAGCAGAAGCAGAATGAGAGGGAGGAAGGGCAAGGGGCAGAAACTGGGAACTAAACAACAGCAGCTAATTCCATACAGATGTGAAGGTACCAGAAGGAATTCCAGCTCTGGGTCTACGCAGAAAATGCCAATCCAGCTGGGAGCCGTGGCACACGCCTGTAGTCTCAGTGGCTTAGGAGGCTGAGGGAGGAACATTGAGAGTTCAAAGCCAGCCTCAGCAAAAGGGAGGTGCTGAGCAACTCAGTGAAACCTTGTCTCTAAATACAATAAAAAATAGGGCTGGGGGTGTGGCTCAGTGGTTGAGGGCCTGAGTTCAATCCCCAGTTATTGCCCCCCCCCCCGCAAAAAAATGAAAAAGAAAATGCCAATCAAACATAAATAAGGGAGTGAAAAAAAGATTAACACAGGAGAGGACAGAGAATGGGGAGAGAAAGGGAAGGGGGGGTGGGGGTTGAAATCAAATTCCTTGCATGTATTATTTTGTCACAATGAACCCAAATACCGTGTATAATTATAATGCTCTTAAAAATAAATAAATGAAGTTTAGTTGTTTTCTTGGGAAAGAAACGGCTGACATCCCTTTTGCCTCACTTTTTAGTAAGTCGACACCATGAAACTCTACCTGACACACACAGCCAACAATAAAGTACCCTTTCATCTGGTTCTATGATCAGTTAAGGAAGAGAACTTCAAAACGGTAAAAGGGAAATTAAGACAACACCAACAAAATGACCAAAATACCTGGCACACGTGAGCCCTGAGTTTGATCCTGATATCACAAGAAGAAAAAGACCAGTTTAATCAAACTGACACTTGTCATCTCAGGACCCTGTCACCAAAGACATGTTGCATTTTCATAACCTTGAGCAAAAATAAGGGTTCCACTTCTTGGTATTTATGCTAACGACTGGATTTTATGGTCAAGCGTCAAAAAGCTTGTTTTCCGACAAAAGTGAAGAGAACTCTCAGGCCTAGGATGTGAGCTCACCCACCTGGGCTCCCGGGGTGCACAGACGACGGGCCCTGTGCTTGGCAGGAGACGGGGCGAGGGAGCCTCCTGCTACTCTGCACCCACTCACTTACATCAGGTGCAGAGCCCCACCTCACTGGCTCGGGACTGCAGAATGCCTCCAGTTCCCACACAGCCAATGGCCACAGGTTGCTCCCCAGCATCTGTTGCTTCCTGGGAGAGTCCCCGGGGGTGAAGTGGCCGTTTTGGAGGGGTCTGCTCCGTGCTCCCACCCACCCCTGCCACGACAGGGGCTAAGCTCATGTGCAGTGGCACACAGGAGCTGGATGGAGCCCTGGCCTCCACACGGGCTGGCGGGCTTCTCTCTTGGCACTCCACCAAGGCCGTGGAGAGGCTTGGCAGGATAATGTCAGCGACGGGCCACCTTTGAGCTGCTACCACTGCTGCAGCTGCTCAACTGCGATCACTGATGGGAAAGGACCACAGGGCATTTCCTGTCAGCGCGTCTCTTTCTCCAGCTGCCCAGTGACCGAGTTGGCCTTCAGCACCGTCCTGCCTTCCCCTTTGGCTCCCACGAGAGCAGGACTCCTGGACACCTGGGAGGGACCACTCCCAGGGGGCATTTGCAGGTAGCCCAGGACCCCTGGGTCGAAGCCTGCCCATGGAGACCTGGGGGCACCCCATCCGGCCCCGCCCAGCGGAACACCACCTGTGCTTCGAATCCCACGGCCAGTCCTGCCAATCTCCCCACAACCCAAGTCAATGACGCACAACTGGGAATTGTTGCGCCTGGCAGGGCCTCGGACCTCTGCGCAGGTGGAGCACCCTACCTGTTCTATAACCCCGCCCAGCTCCGGTTCCTCCCTAAGCACTCCCGACCCTGGAGCAGGTCGGCCAGTGGCCCAGGCGAGGCTGCCTCCTTCCCCGTCTGTAGGGACAGCTGTGACCCCATGGACTGCCCCTGATGTGAAGCAAGAGATTCAAGGAGAGGATGCCCTCAAGTGCTGCAAGGGTCAAGTCGCCTCCTAAAACCCGGGCGAGTCACAACCCAGAGGACCAGAGTTGGCGATGGTCACCGCACTCAGATGCCGATGCTTGCCAGGGGCCAGTGAGCCATGGAATCCAAACCCAAGTCAGCACCAGACAAGCCCTGCTGTGCAGCTGCTGAGCTGGCTTCCCAGGACGGCCAGACAACGTCAGAAAGCCCAGCTGCTCTCCTACTGAGGCCCTTCCCTACCTGTAGGCCACTGCAGGGCTGAACACCCACCCGGAGGGACCCAGCCCTCTGTCCCGTGGGCCCTGCCCTGGAGTGGCCCAAGGGGCTCAGTGCAGAGTGCCCCGTCCTGCTGGCAGTGCCTGTGGAGGCCGTGGGGCCTGGCCTACCTTGGGAACGAGGTACTGCTGGTCAGTGCAGGCCAGCACGCGGGCCTCGGCCCGGCCCAGCTCGCTCTGGGGGAAGTGGGCGTTCATCTCATCGCCATCGAAGTCAGCGTTGTAGGCCTTGCAGTTGGCGTAGTGCAGCCGCAGGACCTTCTCCCCCGGCAGGACACGGGCGTGGTGGGCCTGGATGGAGGGCCTGTGCAGGGTGGGCTGTCGGTTCAGCAGGAGGATGTCCCCATTCTTCACATGCCGGCACACCTGGGGTAAGGCAGACAGCAGGTTGGCCAGGGGAAGTCAGTGTCCCTGCCCCTCAGGGGTCACCTGACCTCGGCTGAGTGGGCTCTACCTGCCATAGGCTCCAGCCAACTAAATACAAAGCCCTAAAAATCTGAGAAACGCTCTGGCTCCTGGCCCTGGCCCTGGCCCTGCAGAGCCCACATTGGCTCTGTGCTCACAGGCCCCAGGAGCAGGTGAGGCCACAGTCTGTCTGATAACTGCCACTTCTTCAGGGACATGCAGCCTTTCCAGGGTCCTGCGTTCCCGAGACCTCATCTTGAGAGTCATGGACATGAGTCCTGAAGGCCGAGGGCCTGTGTGGAAGCAAGGAACCCCCAGGTCTGAATGGGCCTGCGGTCCTTTCACCCCTCAGTCACGTAATGTGTGATTCTACTGTGGTTCCTTCCACGTTTTAGAAGCAATGAGCCGACTTCACACGGCACGGCCAGGGCAGGAAGACAGGAGTCCGACTCCCAGGCGCACGCCCCCTGCACACGTTTTCTGCATTTGAAAAATCAGTAAGATGCCAGGTGTGGTAGCTCCGGCAGTCCCAGCCAGCTGGGAGGCAAGATGGGAGGGCCACTTGAACTCACGAGTTTAAGACCCCTCTGGGCAACGCAGCGAGGCCCTGCCTCCAAACAAATAAAACAAAACGTATAAACTGTCTCAGTTGTGTGGGGACGCTGTTTGAAAATAACGATCAGACCATTTGAACCGCATTTCCTCGGAGCCTTGCTGAGCAGAAACAGCGCCAGACTGAGCTGCAGACTCCATGCACATGGCAGCGCTCACAGCAGCAAGACTCAGAGTGCCGGGAGCCTGAGGAGGGGCAGGACATCATAGGGTGCATGCGCGCAGAGGCTCCTTCGACACACCAGCCTATAAATGGCGACAGGGACGTATGGCAGCCAGATCAAAGACCCAGGTGGACATGAGCAGCAGGACAGAACAATCCACACCTGCCTCCTGGCACACCTGGGCACACAGGAAGGACGAGGGCACAGGTCAGCACCTGACCCGACGCCTCCTCTCATGTGCACGGGTGCCATTTCCATGCAGTTTTTAAAAGACCTTCAGTTACTTTTGAAGAAAGCAAGAAACAGTGTACAAGCAGTGTTCTCATCATGGAGTGAAAACCAAAGGCAGACTGGAGAGAGCAAGAACCGCGTGTGATTTACCCTTGAAGACAACTTCCCAAGTCCACCAGTAGCTGGTCCCTCTGACAGCACCCAAGGCCTGCAGAGCCTTCTACCATCTCACGTTCACGACCAGGCTTCCCAAATAACACCCCACAACGACACCCAAAACAACTGCATAAAGCTGAACTCTAAAGCATTTAGAATTCATTTTTTTCTACTAGGAACTAAACCCAGTGGTGCTTTACCACTGAGCCACATCCCCAGCCCTTTTTATTTATTTTGAGACAGGGTCTCACTAAGTTGCTGAGGCTGGCCTTGAACTTGCAATCCTCCTGCCTCGGCCTCCTGAGTCACTAGGATTACAGGTGTGCACCACAGTGCCAAGGTCCACCTCAAGCATTTTGAAGGGCCCTCCTTAGCAGCCCATAGGAACTGGGTGATGGGCACTTGGTGATAACTACCCCTACCCTGAATCTCCTCCAGGTCACAGCAGACAACAGGCTGGGGGAAACAACAGATAGCTCAAGCCTAGTGTCCTCTCATGTTGCCCACGTCGATGAGGCTGCACTGGAGAGGCCAGAAGGTGCTTCGCCAGCCTCCTGCTTCCTGGCCTGCTGGCCTCAGGCTCCGGAAACGGAGAGAGCAAACCTTCACACACCAAGTCTGTCTTGTTACGGCTCCCAGAGGAATTTGAGCCTTCCCTTCCCCACATTTCCACAGAGATCTCAACCCAGGGTTCCCGTGGGCATGTGCCCAGGGCACTGGCTGCGTCAGATAGCCCAAAGTCATCTTCCTTCAGCCTCTCTAGGGAGCAGCTCCCAGACTTGTGGCTTAGGCCCAAAAGCCCAGGCAAAAGCCTAGGACCTGAGTCCAGCCAACTCCCTGCATCTGGGAAGGCCTGCGGGCCAGTCTGACAGACAGCAGCTAACCCAAACAGACACCGCAGAGGACAGGCACTCCCCTGCCAAGACAAACCCAAGGCCTTTCCTTTCTCTCATCTGTAAACAAATATTGTAGTGAAAATCAGCATGCCCTAGTGTCCAGGTCAGTCTCCAGGCAGGCCTGGGGCCAAGGCTGACCTCTGCAGCGCTGGGCAGGGAGTGAGCTAAGGCCATGCTGTCCATTCCCTCCTGCTTCGTGAGGCCCAGGAGAAAGGTCAGTTTCCTACCTCACAAAGGAATGGAGCCCAGCCTCTCTCCTTCTTACCTATCTGCTGTTCACTCTCACCAGACCTCAGTCTGTCCTGCCCAGACGCCTCCTGTCCTCAGCCCTGCCCTAATCTTTAGGTAACACAATAACCAAAGTCTTGCAGTGACCACCCAGAAGACTGGTGTTTAACTCCATGAAGCAGCAGCACCGGGGCATCATGGAGACGGCGGAATACGGAGCAGGCTGTCCTGAGTGCACAGGTCTTGATGGAACAGCCACTTCTTTTTTTCCCCAGTACTAGGAATTGAACCCAGGGGTGCTTGGCCTCTGAGCCATATCCCCAGCCCTTTTCATTTTGAGACAAGGTTTCACTGAGTTGTCCAGGTTGGCTTGAACTTGTGATCCTCCTGCCTCAGCCTCCTGAGCCCTGGGATTACAGGCATGTGCCCCCATGCCCAGCTCTGTTTTTCTTTTATAAAGTCCCTTCCTATCTTTGCCTCTGAGTCTGATCATCAGATCCAATGTGGTCCTCACACCTCAGAGCCTCCTACACCTCAAGCTGGATCTATATGCCACAAAGTGGTGTCCTAAGTGCCTCCTACACGCAAGGTGCTGGGGAGGGGGCGCAGAATACACCCTTCCCTGGAATTCCTGGGATGCAGCAACTCCAGGGAAAGGAGCTGGTGCGCAGGTGGTGAGGACAGAGCAGTGGAGAGATGAGGAGGGATGTGGGAGCGGCCAGCTGGCACCTGGTTTCATACATACACTTCTACCAGCAGAGACACCATTCACCTGCAGCCTATGTGGCCAATGAAGCTGGGAATCGTATTCTGATTGAGGGGGAAAAGGGGCTTTGCTGAGACCTGCACGTTCCACCCGAAGGCCAGGCACTCAGGAGGCAGAACAAGCCTACGAACCTGAACACAAATCTCACCTGACGCATCAAGAGAGAGCTGAGAGGTGACCTGGTATCTGTGTGCCGGGGAGAGTGTCACTCCACCTGAGCATAGCCATGAGACAGGAGAGCAGGAGGCTTAGCAGAGGCCTGCAGGCCAGCAGCCTTGGGGACAAGGCCAAGAGTATGTTACTACCTGTTCCTTCAGAGTCTCTAGAAGGCCACTAGAAACTGGAGCACTTGAACCCACTGCCAAAAAGGAACCAACCAGTCAGCCACACCTAGTGCAGGCAGGCCCTAGGTTAACCCAAATCGAATCCACCTCGTCTAGCAACCTCTGCCTCTGTGGCCTGGCGAGGGCAAGTGGCCTCCCCTCCCAGCAGAAGGGTGCCTACCAGGCAGGCAGCCCTGAGGCTCCCAGCAGAACTGCTGTCACTCACACACCCTCCCCAGTGGGACACGACTGTGATAGCACCATGAGTGGGTATCACCACTGCCCCAAACTGAGGCACCACCTAAGACTCGTTGCCAGGAGTCTCCTTGGCGTAGAGCACTTCTTAAGGTGCAGAATGGAGACCTCTCTGGAAACCCCATAGAGCAAGGTGCCTGAGCCCTACCCCGAGCTCCTCACACAGCACAAGGAGTGCCCATTTCTCAGACACTCTGGGGATGCTGCCCCTGCTGATGTGACGCCACCCTCTGAGCAGCCCTAGGCGAAGACAGCATGGGGGAGCCAGATAGGAGCTGTCTGTGCCCCTGACCAAACTTTCCCACTACTCACAATTTTTGTCCCCTGGGGCTTAGGTGCCCCTGTGGCTGGTGTCAGGAGCTGTTTGGCCACGGCTTCACGCTGGGTTATGTCCACGGCGCTCAGGGCTGTGCGACTGCCATCCTCATTGATGACCATGGAGGCTCCCGGGTGCACATTGGGACCATTGATGACTGCCTGTCTCAGTTCCTGGACATTCCAGGGGGTCACTGGCTGAGGGTAGGTCAGTTTTGTGGCAAACACCTAGAAACAAGGAGTAGGTACAGAAATTCAGGTCACAGGGTCTGCCCAAAATCTGCTTCCACAGTCTGTATGACATGCCCACGATATGGGGAGCAGTCTGCGTCGTCCAGAGAACCCTTTAGCCACCGAAGCAATGTCCTGTCTGCACCTGCTCTCCTATGGGAATGCACTGGCCTCCTTCTCCAGCAGTCTAAGGAGCATGACCGAACGCTACAATTTACCCAGTAAAACATTTTTAGCACATCATTAAATTTTATCCTTCCGTCTTGTGCCAATGAGTTCAAAGCACCCACAGCAGGGTTTAAAGCAAGAGTCGCTTACAGGAGATGGGTGGCAGACACCTGCCCGGAATCCCACACACCCCTCCTGCCCGTAGACACCACAGGCTAAAAGCACAGACATGGCATCGGGAGCCCTGCCTTCAGCAGTTCCACCAGCCGCTGCAAGCATGGAGGCGCTCGAGATGAGGCGGCTTTGCAACTCTGACTCATGAGAAGATGCGGGTGCCCCAGCGACACGAGGCTGCGAGACGCCCCAGGGAAGAAGGCGCTCCCTAGCCAAGTGAGGCCCCAGCTGCTGGACATAGTGCACGAATCCCTCCAGGACAGCAGAGGCAGCTCCTCCAGACTTTGCCAAGGTGTTCTGAGGCCTCCTGGCCAGCCGTGCTCTGCTCCCTGCACTCTCCACCCTGACAGTGCTGACACAGCTGTGTGGCTACCACCTGCCTCCACCCTGGGAAACAGCTTTGAGAAGGAATGTGCTGTCTCCCCGTCTCCCTGCCCGAGCTCTGCCTCCGGCTCTGGACACCTACCAGCAGTGCTATGCAGGAGGGCTGTGCTGCGGGGGCCCACCTGCTCTTTCTAGCTACCCTTAGGAACGTTCCCAGGCCTCCGTGGCCCTGAGACGTGGAGCAGGTTGAAGGCACCCAGCGGGTAACCTCAGAGCCGCTCCTCGGGGTACGAGCCATTATTACCACATGAACTCAGACGTAGAAGAGAGAAGCCCACCAAGAACCCTGTGGAGGAAGTGAGACCACACTGGAGGTCTCCCTAATGCCGGGGAGGCTCCAGGCACCGTGAGGTCAAAGCCAGCAGGGCAGCTTCCACTTCTGGCCACAGAGGGCGACCAATAGGCCTGAAGCCTCTCCTCCCTGGGCTGGGAGGCGTGGCTTTGTAGACTTTCCTTGCCCTGGCCCAGCCTCTGGATCAAGGACAGTGGCAGTGGGCGTAGGACTAAACCATCCCTGCCTCCTGACACATCACATCCTTGCCCAGGAAGCTTGTGTGTGTCCCAGAGACAGCTCAGCTGTGCTCATTACCAGCACCTCGAGAGGTTGGTGGGGGGGTGTGTGTGCGAGGAAACGTGACTGCCCAGAAGGAAGCAAACCACCTCCACCTGACTGACCTCAAGGTCCATCAAGGGGAAGTCGATCAAAGGGCTGCTGCTAATGAGCACACGCTCGGACTAGGGGGGAAGTGAGAAGAGGAAGCCTGCTCACCCAGGGGACACTAATGGGTGGGGGACAAGGCACTGACAGCAGGGGCAGCTGAGGGCGGGCAGCGCACAGGTCTACTCTGGGTTCTCTCCAGTCCCCGGCCAGGAAACAAGGGCATGTAAGCTGACGGGAAGGAAATCCCCTTTGCCCCCTTCCTCTCCTGTCACGCCCTCATTAAATGGGAGACTAGACAGAGACAGGGGAGCAGGGGCCTGTGATGTGGCAGGCGTGGGTCCCCTCGTGTGCAGGTGTCTGGAGGCCATCAGGCAGCCTCGAGTCCCCCCAAAGCACTTTTCCCACATGGGAAGAGATGGGCACCACCCCAGCTGAGCCACTGTGGCTTCCTGCACCGCCAGCAGCCCTCCTCGGCACCACTGCCTACAGCCCGCAGTTCCCAAAACACGCACCATGGGAATCCCGATCTCGTTGGTGTTGATGTACATGTCTGGGCAGATGACAGAGCGGGCCGCGTAGTCTACCCGCTTGCCCATCATGTGCTTTCGGAACAGGCCTTCTTTCTTCTCCAAGATCTGTATGGAGTGAAAGCCCACCGGAAACATCGTTTAAAAATTTCACTGTTTATTGCTTCCTTGTTTCAACATTATTCACCTCGTCAGCCAGTAACGGGAATCCAACCCATGCTCACCTGTCTGATGCCAGGGTACTTTTCCATCATGAGTTTGTCCATCTCACTGTCAAACACAATGTTGACGTGGCTCTGAAGGCGAATCCAAATGTTGTACAGCTTGTCTGTGAGAGTCTGGCCTGGAAGTGTACTTAAAAAGGACCGGTCCATAGCCACCAAAGAGTCTTTTTCCTGGGAAAAATAAGGCCAAGAAAACAGGGATGGTGGGGGAAAACCCAGGTTGGCTTCTTTTACTTTTCTTTCCTCTCCCAGTCCTGACAAACACGCCCTGAGCTGCCTCTGAACGGAGGGACGGGTGGGAGTGCTGAGGAGCCTGTCTTCCCAGTGTGCACCATGGGCTGCAGGCTCGTCACGCGCCCACCAGCTTCTCTGTGGGTAAGATGAGCTCAGTGTGGACACAGGCTTCCTTCTCAGGGCAGATGCTGAGCACCAAAAGCTGGTGCCCAAGGAAGGGGAACCCAACTTTTTCCCACATCCACACTTCTCTGGAAGCTGTTATCTTGCCACATAACTAAGTTGCATATGGAATTTCAGTTTTAATTATGGTTTCAGAAAAACTTAACCCGATGTACTTATAAAAAACGAAGGCAGAACAATTCCTGAAGAGGAATAATGTTTGCCTCAGTGTTCTACGCCATTATGATTAGGTCCCTAAATGGGCTAAGTTGCTGGCTAATTCCTAGGCCTCTGAGTGTTCAAGCAATGAGCACTTGAATATTTCCGGCTTTTTTTTTTGGTACTGGGGATTGAATCCAGGGGTGCTTAATCACTGAGCCACATCCCCAGCCCCTTTTAAAATATTTTGTTACAGACGGGGTCTTACTGAGTTGTCGAGGCTGGCTTTGAACTCGTGACCCTCCTGCCTCAGCCTCTCAAGCAGCTGGGATTACAGGTATGGCCCCTGTGCCTGGCCAGAAAATTTGGATATTTCTGCCCTGGTTCTGTCTTTTCCTCTTTTCCCTCTGCCAGCACAGGGGAGATAAATACACAGAGGCCACAAACTGCCCTATAGCACCACCTACCGCTGGTGGCTGGCTACCATCTGTTCCTCTCTGGCTGCACATGACCCAGGAGACAATCACCTGAGTCCTCCAGTATGGGTCACATGAGAGAAGAAATCTATGGGGGGGAGACTCCTATGGGAACCAGCAGTGAAGTGGGCTTGTCCCCAGAGAAGAGGAGTCTTCAGTTACAGGGAAGGCAGTTATCTCTGCAGGCAGCATTCTGTCCCCTGCACAGGACGAGGTGGTCCCCCACCAGCCTGACCCACTGCTTAGGACATTCACTGGCTCAGGGCCCCAAGGTTACCGGTGAAGTGAGCAGGGCCTGTCCCACCATCAAGGCAATGGAACAAGGGAGCCAAAGGGAAGAAACAAGAACATGCCCACCAATCAGAGGGAAACTGACCTCGGAACTGGGAAGGATGCTGTTTCTGCAGAGACCAAGCCTTTTCTTCCCAAAAACGGTGTGCTCCAATTTTCAAGAGACACCAAGAAGAAATTTCAGCCCTGGTCACTGGATCTGATTATCCTACAGTCTTCCCTCTCAAACTGGACTAGCCTGTAGCTGGCAGGTCTCTCTTACAGAGGGATGTGTTAAAATATTACAATGGCTGATCCAAGAAAGCTCCAAGAAGAATGCCTGGGCAACCCAGAGCACAAGGTCTAGGGAACAGTGGTGTCACCCCATGACAGACCTGGTTGGCAGGCACCTGAGGGCCCTGTTATCCAAGGCTGGAGATGGCCATATCTATCTGCACCCAGAGAGCACCCTTGGGCTGGGAAGTCCTTGAGTGATCTCAGCAAGCTGAGTGTCCAATCCATCAACATACCCACTGAAGACTCAGTGCTGAGTGGGCTCAGGATCGGCAGCTGTGACAGTCCTACCCTGTAAAACTGCCATTTTAAACACTGGCTTCCGGATCCAGTGAGCCCAAAGCAGAGTTCCAGTAGTGTGACCCAGGAGGGAAGGGGACGTTTCTCCTGGAGCTGCCAGCACCTGGTGGCTCGGAACAGCTGAGGTGTGAATCCACCACAAACCACACACAGAATTAAAGGGACTTAACTAAAGGGTACCTGGTATGGCAGCCATGGGCAGAACGCAGACCACAGCCCGACCTTTCCAGGCTCGTGCATGTCCCCAAACCCACAGCCCCACCAAGGGTCCTGTCAGTGTCCTCCACAGCGTGTGGTCCTGACCTCATCTGTGCTGAGCGCTGCCACCCCACAGGGCAGCTGCTGTTCTTGCGCCATCAGTGCCAGAAGTTTCCGGATCAGAACGACATCCTTCATGACAGCCTGCAAGTTCACCGTCTGGCCATTGGTAAACATCTGGTCCCCCAGGCGATTGACAGGGCGATACCTGCGGGGACCACAGGGCGAGGAATGCCCAGTGTTAGAAGGGCCTGTCCTGCGGCCCCCACCCTGCCTGCTGTGGGCAGCACACACACCACACTCAACAGGGGCCACCCTCCCGCCCGGGCCTGCAGTCAGAGGCAAGGAGCCCACCACACAGCCTACAGAGGAGACTGCTGTGCGATGGTTAGCACATGACCCTCCCAGGGCCTCCCCAAGTCCGTATTCACGCCTCAGCCAAGCTTATCAGGTAACATAAGGAAACTGAAGGGCATTACCTGGAGGGAGGCACCACCACGAAATCTAAAAAGAACATACTCGGATTGAATCTGGATTCCATGCCAACATCGACCAGTCCCGAGAAAAGGTAATTCAGAAAGAACCCTGTGTTTGAAACAGAGAAACCAAGCAGACCACGTCAGTCTGTATGTGAGGACAGCCACGAAGCCACTGATGAGAGGAAAACTTGAATAGAGGACATCCACCCTCCCATGGTACCCTTTCTCCCAAAACCAAACCGGAGACAGCAAGACAGCAAATGCTGCTTCCCAGAGGCCGAGGGGCAGGCCTGGGAAGCCTTCCCATTCACATGCCCTCCCCAAACCTGAAACTCCTATATGGTTAAGGATCTATTCCCCGGCATTTACAAAACATCCCACACAAAGGCCAGTCAAGAGGCTCTTCTGTGATCAGAGATGTAGGAAGTTTCTAGTGATATAAAAAAGTGCTCAGAGAAAATGAATCCAACGTGCCAGGGCTTGTCACAGGAACGTCAGTCCCTGGAGATTTTCCTGATGCCCTTTAGTGGGGCCATCATTCTGACACTGCTGCTGGTGTGTCAGGAGCGCCAGAGCCTGAACATGCTGCATAGGCCCCGTTACAGACTCAGAGAGGAATGGGGTGTTCCTTGTTATAGGGAACTAAAATGTATAGACACCCTAATTTAAAAAAAAAAGTTCATTCTTAATTCTGAAAAAGAATCCCCAATCTTTTAAAAGGACTTTTACGAATGGGCACTTAGCATAAGGTGGAACACTCTGGACCTTCCAACACTTGTCAGTCTGCATTAAGTGAGGCCACTGCAGCTCTCACCTAATGACCAGGCTCAGTTACAATCAGGGCCGAGTTCTTAGTGCTGGGCCCCTGCTTCAAATTCAATGTACTCTGAAGCTTGTCCCAAACCCACAGGTCTACTTCAGGAGACAGCGATGACAAGGGCAGCCTTAAGAAAAACAGGACTAATAAGGCAGGTTAACAAGCGTGGAGATGACAGGGGCTGCCCGGCAAAGCACCTTCATTCTTCCAAATGGAGAAAAGATGTTCCCGGGCACTGCTGGGCGTCAAGTACCCTCGTTTTCCCATCTGAGCTTCCTCAATTCCTGCAGCAGAAGAGGGGAAATCAGAGCACTGTGAGTCAATACCAAGTCCTCCTTCAGTAATCGGATTTATCCATGTTTTTGGTAACCAGGGATTGAACTCAGGGGTGCTTATCCACTGAGCCTTATCCCCAGCCTTTATTTTGTTTTTTGAGACATGGTCTCACCCAGTTGCTTAGAGTCTTTCTAAGTTGCTGAGGCTGGCTTTGAACTTGGATTCTCCTGCTTCAGCCTCCCAACTACTGAGATTACAGGTATTCACCATCATGCCTGGCTGATTTTTTATCAATTCTTTGTCTTTATTCTGCAAAGCCTGCAACTTGTCAATCTTTAGGACAGGATATTCTCAGCCCTGGACTTCCCCCTTACTCTAATCTAAAGTAATGAGAACAATGTAGCTATCTTATAAAACCTGAAAAATTGAGCAAAAGAAAACAATATCTACTCTCCTATCAAATTCACAACCATTATTTTTTGGGCGGAGTGGGTGTTGCTGGGAATGGAACCCAGGGCCTGTGTACACTAGGTAAGCGCTCTACCGCTGAGCTACACCCCAGCCCTATCACTTTTATATGCTCTTTTCCAGCCCTCTGGTTTATATAAGAGCTCGATTAGCTGACTGACAAGGATAACTAAGCAGTGTCATTTTCTAGTGTCAAAACTATCAAACTTTTCGGAGATATATTCACTGAAATTGAGATTGCTCCACCTGATTGATCTTTGTGGAATAATCAGGGCAGGAACCATGCCTTGCCTGTGCTCCTAAGCCCTGACACAGCGTCTGGCTCACAGCAGATGTTAAAGAGCCACTGGTTTAAGCACGTTGCACCCGGAAGGTACCTATACTGGACACTCTACTCTTAGTCAGGTGCAATGGCCGCGCCTGCAATGCCAGTGATTCATTCTAGAAGCTGAGGCAGGAGGATCACAAGTTTAAGACCAGCGAGGGCAACTTAGCAAGATCCTGTCTCAAAATAAAATAAAATAGAAAAAGAACCAGGAATAAAGTGCCCTGGGTTCAATTCACCAGTACTACAACAAAAAGTGTGTGTGTGGGGGGGAACACCCCATCCTCTTGCCTTTTTCTATACTTTAAGATCTTAGTTTCAGCAGCAGCTTGGGAGGCTGAGACAGGAGGATTGTGAGTTCAAAGCCAGCCTCAGCAACAGTGAGGTGCTAAGCTACTCAGTGAGACCCTGTCTTTAAATAAAATACAAAACAGGACCGGGGATGCAGCTCAGTGGTTGAGTGCCCCCCTCCCCCGAGTTCAATCCCCAGTACCAAAATAAATAAATAAATAAATAAATTTTAGTTTCATTCTATCTCTATTTCTCTCATTACTTTCTTTATAATCTGCAGAGGGTGTGTCATCAAAAGCTTTCAGAGAAATCTGTGGTTTGGACAACAATAAATGTATCATAATTTATTTAACTAGTCTCTATTAATGGGCCATTAAGTCGCGTCCTACTTTCCACTATTTAAACGTTGCTGTGGGTATTTTAATTTCTTAGGATAAAGTCATATAGAACTGCTGGGTCAAGGAGTTTGCACACTTGTTTTGACACCCATGAAACAAAACATTTCAATAGTGAACGCAAGTGAAGGAAGCACAGGCACAGGAAGAGGAGCAGCTCTGACCTCGGGAAAGCCACAGCCTTGGAAAGCTGAGCGTGCAGTGGGAAAATGGAGCCCACTCTTTTCAGAACAGCTCTGTGCTCCTTCTGGAAGTGAGCATCTGACTCTGCCCCCTGGACAGGCCAGAGGGCTCAGGAAGCCTGGTGGAATCTCCCCAGCTCCACCCAGTCGTGTCTCCACTGCTGTGCAGGCCACCCTGAGGCAGACTGATGTGTCCAGACACAAGAGGTCACCTCCTCACAAGGGCTCCTCACAAAGCACTCCCACCACTTGCGACAGTGCCGTCTGCCCAGCTGGACCTCAGAGAGCCTCCTGAGGGCTTCCTTTGCCTGCAACAGATGCTAAATGGGAAATGTCTGGAGGTCAGATAATCTGGGAAAGCCCAGGTCTCAGTGGGCGGGGCTTCTTGGGTGCCAGAGTCCTTATTAAGTGCTACTACGCTCGAGGATTTGGGGGCGCAGAGTGCTTCAAGCGCGGAGGGCACTCCATACGGCTCAGCGGTCTGGCGGGAACAGGCCTCACTTAGTGGCTTCCTGTGGTCTACAGAACACGTCCAGGCCATGGAAAGATACCAAACTGCTCCCTGAGCCACTGTCACCTGCAGCCTCCTCCAAGAGCAGAGGCCACATGGCCTAGTGTCCGTCTTAGAGCTGTGTCCCCCTTGGACCCCACAGTCCTGGGCATGATGCTGAGTGTCCAACAAGCAAATCTCTGTTAAACACAGCAATCTAACCCCAGAGCTGAGAGACTACTGCTTCATATTCCCAGGGCAGGGACCTCTGGCCGCACCACCCCTGCTCAGGGTGGCAGTGAAAGAAGACTTCAGAAGTCTCGTACAGCTGAAAGCACTGGAGACTAGTGCTAGAAATCGGCCCCCAAAACAGCCATCTTCCAGAATTCTGATCATCTCTGTTCTCGACCTATTAGCACTTTCTAAAGCATCCTAAGGGCCACAGCAGCAAATCCTACTGGTTTTAAGAAAAAGCTGTCTTATGGGCTATTTATGAGTAAGCGAAGGAAAACCCACTCTTGTGCTGCTGTTACCCACTAATCTAAGTTGGCTTTCTAAATGCAATGTGGTATCTGGACTGGTCCTCGAACACAAAAATGCCAATACTGAAAAAATTGTAGAACTTCAAATAAAGCCTGTAATTCATTCAACAGTATTGTGCCAGTATCAAGCTCTTAGTTCTGACAAATGCACACGGTGACCTGAAACATTAGGGCAAACTGAATAAAGAGTACACAGGGACTCTATTTACCATGTTTTCTACTCCTCTGTAAGTCTCAAATGATTTTAAGTAAAAAGGCTATTACAAAATAACAGGCAGGTTTGTTATTTACTGCCTGCCTTGCCAGAATCTTCACTGTGAAAGACAAAACTCACATGTCCAGATGAACCATGTCCCTGCCCGCTCCACATACAGCCCTGGGAAAGGCACAGAGCATTTGCTGTGGATCTCTCTGTTCATGTGACTCCCTCCATCTGGGCCAGAGGTTTGTCATGGTCACTCCACGGAGCTGGAATCAAAGCTCCAAGAAGCAGCCATCGCTGAGTCGCTCGCAGCACACAGCAGAGCCGATCCGACTGCAGTCACAGATGTGCTTTCCTGCCCTGGCATGTTAGTCTTGACTAGAAACAGACACCCACAGCACATACACTGAGTGACAGGCACTAGTCTCAGTACTCCCAGGAATACTTTATGTAACCCTCACCATTTCAGAATAAATTAAGAAAAATATGAAGCCTACCACTACAGAAACAGAAGAGTGAACACCCTCGGTCAGTCCTAGTTAGTTCTCAACTACCCAAGGGCAGAGCAGAGCTAGGAGACTGCCCACAGGGTCCTGGTGAGCAGCCACAGCAGCCTCTTTGGAGAACTTCAAATAAAGCCTGTAATTCACTCGATAGTTTTGAACCAAACTGCGCTTTTTGTTAAATGCTTATAGTTGTTAAAATTATTTGCCCACATTTTACTCCAAAATAAACCTACATTTGTTTTATACTAAAATGTTTCAACATATTTGCAAGGTATATTCTGATATTTCTTATTCAAAAATCTTTCAGAAAAATAAGCACGGAGGCCAGAGGCACTGTGGGGCACTGACCCACTGGGTTTCTTGGGTGAGAGGCCTGGATGCCATTCCTCTGCTGGCCCTACAAACACATGGCAGAGGAGCATGTAGCAACAGGACCAGGTACTCCCAAGGTGTGGAACACACGATGGCCACACAGGAGCAAAATTGTCAAGGAGCCCCCTCCAGACCCCAGCAGCTTACCCAGGGGCTCGGCATCCGTCTGGCCAGACTTCCTGTGCACCACAGCTGGATATGTGATTGTCAGCTTGCTGTTGTGCTCCTTTCGAACAACTGACCGCCCAGTCCTGTGGGTAACGACACAGTGGTGAAGGAAACACTGCCCCACAAGACACTCGGGAGTGAGGCCAGAGACCAGCCAGCACCTTTTATCCTAGGGAAGGGAAGGCAGGTGCCCAACACTCACTTGCAGTGGGGACATCGCTTAGCAGACATGTGTGCCTTCCAGAAGTAAGCAATGAGTTTGCTTCTGCTCTCACACACATTTTTCACCTGTCACAAAAAACCAGAGGACTTGGAGTGCCATTTTCATCTCATGGTTTCCACCATTTTTAACCACAGGAAATCACCCTTACTTTCTTAGATGAAAATCTCCCAAAGCTGCTGGGGGGCAGGGGTAGCTCCATGGTAAAGCATTTGTCTAGCATGAGCCAGGCCCTGGGTTCAATCCCCAGTACCACAAAAGGTACTCAACAAATGCCAGTTACTCTAATTTTTAAACCAAAGCTTTCTGGATGCAGCTGCTGTTTGTGCTGCTGCCACCTCAGGGGGCCTTGGGCTCTGAGGAAGGCACATCCACATGGTTCTGTGTCCAGTGCAAACAGGCCCCAGGAGCTTTGCAACCTACACATGGGCCCTACCCCAGACCAGTTAAATCAGAACCTCTGGTGGGAGGACTGTGCACAAGATGAACCAGGTCTCAAGATCAGTACTGCAGTCAACTGTCTACCCTATTCGTTCATTCAGTGACTAAATGGATGCTTACACAGTGCTGTGGAGAGGTGGCCAGGGCAGCAGTGGTTTAGAGAGGCACTGGAGGAGGGAGAGAAGGAAACAGCTGTTTCCTAACTAGGACTGACTGAGGGTGTTCACTCTTCTGTTCATATTCTCAGAGTGGGTGCTGGTGGACACTATACCTGAATGACCTATGTCATCCCCTATCTTTGGTCCTGCAGCAGGCAGTAAAGATGGGAAAATGGGCATCTAGGGGCAGTTACATAACTTGCAAGGTCACAGGCCTCGAATTTAAATCCAGACCTACTTTGGATAGCCAATATTTGCAAATGAAAGTACAGAGGGAACCATGGTAATAACACCAAGAACCCGGTGTCACAGGAAGAGACACAGTGACAACTCACGTGTGCGCCCTGAGTCCCCAGGAGGTTGTTCTGCAGAACCTTGGTTGTGTACTGTTCTAACTCTTCCTGAATTTCAAAGGCAGAAGGATCAGCATTTTCTTCCAGAAACTGAAAACAAAAAGAAAAACTGTATTATCAGAGCAAAGAAAGCATATGTCTGACGTGCAGCTCTGCCAGGGCGAAGAGGGAGCCTGGAGGAAGAGCAGCACATGATGCCACACCGCACCTCAGAGCAGGGAGGCGCTGTGACATCCCAAACACCTGCTTCCAGCACCGATGTGTTGGCTCCACAGAGCAAATCAGCATAAACCACGACTGCAAAGGACCAAGACAGATACGATGGCTTTGTAATCTTAACCCTCTGGGGTCCTGACAGGACAAACTGAAGGGAAAACAGAAATCTGGCAAGGTTACAGAGAACATGGGCGTGGCTGAGCACTCTGCCTCCAAGGAAGATATGGACATAGATGTCCACAAGGCTCCCTGGTGCTGTGATATGACAGCACTTTGCACATTTTCCAATTAGCAAATTCTGACACCCTCAAAAAGTGCAAGAGACAGCGATCAAAGCCTAGAGCCAATGCCAGGACAGAAATCTACAGGACATCGGCTGCGACACACAGTAAGAGGACCCAAGGGCCACCCCCTTAGGATCCCCAGCCCTCACACAATCACTCAGGTAGTCCAGGGAGCCTTAAGCTCTGAGCCTGAACTAGAACAGTACAGGTTGGCAGTGCAGCCAAACACACAGCAGAAGCAACCAGACGCCTCTCTGGAGGAAAGCAGCAGCATCCCAGGCCTCGAACTCTTTCCTGACAGATCTCTAAATACATCCAAAGTCAAAAATCACTGCAGAAGGACAGGGAAGAAGAGGGGGTTTCTGGATGTGGGCAATATCTTCATTTTGTAAACGATCACATTTTTATGTGCATATTTTTAAAAAGAATTTCAAAGACAGTAGATACCTCAAGTAATTTAGTGCATATAAATTTAAAACTTTAGATGAGATGAACAAATCCCTAGAAAAATGCTACTTACTTAGAGTAGTTTTAAGTAGAGTAAAGGTTTAAGAACCACCCCCCCTTGGACAAATTTGACCCTGGGTTACCTTTTTAGCTCTGTTCCCCTGGAAATGTGGCTAAATGTAGAAATGTAACTTGTGTTACTAGGCAATACTGCTGAGGGCAAAAATGACTCCAACTGGTTGGGACTGCATCTGGACTAGAAAGACGATGACCTGGAACAACATCCTCTAGCCTCCCTGACTAGCATGTCCTGGGGGGGGGTCCCCGGCAGCTCAGCCCACAGAACTCTAAAGACACTGCTTCCTCTTGGGGCATGGAGTTTCTAGTTCAGGTGGCTCCCAGAGCCACAGCTGGGGTCTTGTTTTGCTACTCTACAGTCAAGTGGAAATGACTGTCAGAACATTGCCAAGGAGAAATGCCCAGCACCATCTTGCTGACACACGGTGTGTCCAATCTTCCACAAACTCTCCCAGAGCATTTTAGGGAGAGAGATTCCTTAACTCATTTTAAGGCTGAGAAAAATCTACATTTCCAAATTCAAAAGGCCAATATGTGAAAGCAAATTGACAAACCAATCTCACTCATGATTATTAATGCAAAAATCATAAAGAAAATATTAGGAAATCCAATCCAGTAATATATATAAAAAGAAATACATCAAGAACAAGTTGAGTTTATGCCAGGAATCCAAAGTCACCATTAGAAAGGAATCAAGTAATTTCACTATGTTACTTAGTTAAAAGAATAAGGAAGCAGATGGAGATACTATTGCCCATTTTCCTATAGAAATGGAATGGAGAAGTTGACTGTGGAAGTATAACTGTCTACTTTATGCTTTGAATGTAGCCCCTGCTGCTCTGCCACTGCGACTGACTTTTTAATGAATGTCAACTCCAACAGAGAGCACAGGGAATGTAGCCTTTGAGTCACCTCTTTAAAAGCCCCATGTTCCCACTAATGGGCAGAATCACATCCTTTGGGACAGAAGCCCCCTGTGTTTCTTCTTTCCTAGCAAAGTAATAAACCTTCTTTTCCTTTTTCTCAAAAAAAAAAAATAAATAAATAAATAAAAACCAAAAAATAAAAACAAAATCACCAAAGCAAAAAAAACTTGCAAATCAGTAAATTGAAATTAATAAACACTACCACCTAATCCTCAGATACCATTCAAGTTTTGTCAGTTCACGCAATAGCATCCTTTTATAGCAAAAAGCATCCTGTTCTGGGCTGGGTTGTGGCTCAGTGACAGAGCACTTCCCTCACACATGTGAGGCACTGGGTTTGATCCTCAGTACCACATGAAAATAAACACACAAATAAAGATATTGTGTCCATGCATAACTAAAAAAAATTAAAGAAAAAAAAAAAAGCATTCCGTTCTGAGCCACCTGTTATACTCCTTGTCACGTCTCGAATCTCTCCCTCTCAATAGCTCCTCAGTCTCTGAAGGCACTGAGGCTTCTTCTGCGCATTACAGGCAAGGTCCATGACTGTACTTCAATTCAGGTACAGGATATATCCTCAGGGTCAAGGTCAGCCGGGCCATCTTGGCAGAACACCCAGAAGCACCATCCTTCTCCCTGCAAGAGGGAGTGCCGACCTCCCCTACTGTGGAGCCCCTACTCCCCAGCCTCTGCTGTTACAAGATGATGGCGTGGTGCTTGAGTGTGTGAGGGCCCAGGACTTGCACTTTAGACACTCTTCCACTTTCACCAGTGAGAACTCATGGGTTCCTATTCAATTCCATGTGTTGAAATCATTTACTATTGTCACTTATTTTTATGTTAGAATTGTCCCAGATTCAGCTAATGTGTGCCTTTGTGTTCTCCGATGTGTTCCCCTTACTCTCTGAGCACGATCGTGCTCTCTGGCACTTGCCGTCCCAGCCTCAGGATGGCCATCTCTTCAGAGGCCCTGTCAGCAGGGCATGGTCTCGTGCTACATGTGTGCGTGCGACCACACTCCAGACCTCTGAGGGGCAAACCACATAGCACGGGCAAGCACACGCACGCACGCACACGTCTGATCTCCACACTGCAGGACGGACTCTAGCTTCCTGCTCTCCCTGACAGGGGAAATGCAGCTGGCACTGTCCTTCACTTCCGATTGATCTGATCAACCCCTTTCCATGCACACGACCCTCTCCCATGGCTGCCACCACCCTCTTCTGTGTGGAACCCTCACATCCACGCCAATCCAACCCCTTAGCCGGCCTCTTCCTTACCCTCTTTGGGGTCACCACACAGGTACCTTTTCACTGACCTGGCCTTATATCACATGCTCACCCTTTATTCCAAATGAACATCCCTCACCCTGTCTGAGCACTGGCATTCCTTGCAGGGCTGCCCACACATGCAGGGACCCCTTCTAGCTCTGTAGGCCAATGCTTCTGCTAGATGCCCCCAGAGTATTTCCTCTCCTGCTGGAGGGCACACTTTCACCCTGGGCCCCGCCTCTGTGGAGGCCACTTTGTTCTGCCCTCCTAGAGTCTTCAGGACTTCAGTACTCAAGAGGAGTGTGAAGGAAAGGCCAGCGCCTTCTCTTTGTGAGAACAAACAAGATGAGGACGTCCCACTACCTCTTCAACCTGGTAACACAGACAGCCACCAGAGCAAGGTACACCAGATAAACAAAGCAGATTTTGCAGGTGATGTGACTGCACTTAAAATCTGAAAGCAGCTACAGGAAAAGTATTAAAATTGATAAAACAGTTCTGAAAGGTTTCTTCAAATGAAAATTAATAGTATTTTGGAATTCTAACACAGAAAGTGAAAATTTTAATAAGGTTTTTAAAATATCACCAGAAAGCCTACACTAAATACTAATTATGAAAGGAAAAAAACACTCTTTGGAGCACAGAGACCCGGGGATCCCCACCTTATCCCGAAATAGCCACACAGCACAAGCATCAGTGGAATAACCTGACGCCATGCATCCCCCGAAACAACACAATACAAACTCTCCCCGGTCCTAGTGATTGCACTCTTACCAGAGGCCAATCTAATGAGGAATAATCTGACAAATCAGAGTGTTAGAAACGCTGTAGGACAGCTGCCCCAGAATCTTCAAAAAAAATTCATCGTCACGAAAAAGAATTTCCTACATTAGAATGTTCTACAGCCCAAAGGGCTGTAATAATCAAAAGGCCTGGGTCCCTCCAGGATCCTGGGTCCCGGCAGGAGATGGCTGGCTCATGGACAGACCCGGGTCCGGGCAGGAGATTGCTCACTATACCGCCTCTCCCTGCTGTCCTCATCAACACTACTCTGACCACTGTAGAGCCTCGGTTCTTATGCCCAGCTCCTGCAACCCAGTTATAAAGATCACATATTCTGGGGACTAGCAGGGTGGCAATTAGGAACATCATACAAACATCTCAGTTCCCACCATCTGGCTTTCTGCATTCCCATGGCCACCACTTTCCACGTACCCTGCTCAGAATTCGCTCCAGCTCATAGACTGCTTGTAGGGCCCCAACTTCCAGAACTCTCAGCTGGCAGACCAAGAGGTGAACCACAGCCCGGGGACAAGTCAGCATGTGGCAGTTTAAACAGGAGCCTCGGAGGAGCAGGTAGAGTTTCTGAAAAGAGAGGATAAAAAGATACAAGACATTAAAAAGAGACAAGTGCTCACGGGATTCCCAGGGCACTCACAAGATTCCACTCCCTTAAGAATGCCACAGCAGCCTAGACATGTAGAAAGGCCTTTCTGATCCTAATTAAATGTTCTCCTCTCTTTTTTTAAGGTTTCATTTTAACCCATTAAAATTTGAAATTTACTTACTAAGATGTATAGCCTGAGGTTGGGAATTACTTTAACTCAACTACTTAGCAGAAACAACTTTTCTTAACAGATTAACAGACAAATCACATCCATGTACGCCACCACCTCAGCTTAAAAAACACTCCTGGAGGTTGAGTTAGCTGATGTAAAGAGCTAAACACGCACGAGCAGGGCCCTAGACAGTAGCTCCATTTTCATCTAACTCCTGGGCTTCCTGGGGCTTTGCTTCTCCTGCCACTGAACAAGACCCTAAGGCCTCACCAGAAGGACTCAAAGGCCTTTCCACTCAAGTTCCCTGTTACTAGGAGGAGCCACGCAGGTTTTTGAAAGGCACAAAGGCCATGTAACAAAAGTTGCAGAGGGTAAATCTGAACATTTTCCCCCTAAGTGAATAGAATCATGCTGTGGTTCTTCTCAATTGGAATCAAGCTGAAATTTCAGTTAGGCTATAGGTAAAATGAAGCTAGAGACTAAGCATCCCTAATCCAAAAATCCCAACATGAGACCAGAAGGGGAAAATTCCATATCTGACCTCATGTGACAGGTCACAGTTAAAATACAGGCATTTTAGAAACACTTCATGAAATTGTCTTTAGGCTGTACATATAAGGTGCATGTAAAACATGAATGAACTTCATATTTAGACTTGGAGGCCATCCCCAAGAGGTCTCAACACGTATGTGCAAATGTTCCAAAATCTGAGAGTAAAATTCACAGCACTTTTGGTCCCAAGAATTTTATAAAAAGGACCCCGATCTGTGTGGCATTTTGCTACTCAAGGTACTCCCTTTCTTTCTAGAGAACACTTGAACTCACAGTATAGGAATGCAACCTCCTCCCACACACCCTGCTGGGGAGACGCGGCCCTCACAATCCCATCAGCACACAATCCCAAGACCCGTGCGCCCTGGGCAGCACATACATCAAAGAGGAGCGGGTTGTACACTGTGAGTGGCAGTTCAATGTGGCCTAGGTGTCCGGAGCAGTTGTTGAAATCTTGCACACAGGTGGAGCACACCTCTTTAGAATCCGCAGGGCCCAAAGCTAAGTCATATAGGCCGTTTGCTGATGGGTTCCCCAAGCTGTCCAGGTACCGAGGGTTTGTGATAGATTTAACGCTTAATTTCCTAAGGAGATAAAAGAAATTAAAAAAAAAAAAAAAAACTCAGGCCACCAAGTGCTGAGCATAGCTCCTCTAGCCATTCACTCACACACTCAACAAGCACCTACTGGATGTTTACCATGGGCCAGATGTAGGTTTGGGTGCTGGGTAACAGACAAGAATGCCTGCTTGTAGGCCTTCCATTCTAATGGGGGGAAGAGACAGAAAATGCTGGAGAAAATAACGCAAGGGAGGGAAGACAAACAATGCAGGGGTATGCCAGTGGCCAGAAAAGCCCACGCCAAAGAAATACCTGGGCAAACGCCTGAAATAGATGAGGGAGCAAATGCGGTCACTGAGCAGAGAGGGCTTTATAGAAACAGCAGGAAAGTGCAGACATTCTGAAGTGGGTGCATGGTGGGATAGGAGGCCAGGGTACCTGGAAGAGAGGTGAGGTCAAGGACCAGAAGAGTAGAATGACCCTTCCAGGTAATTTTAAGGACTTGACATTTACCCTGACAGAAAGCTGCTAAAATATAACATGACGTGATTAGAATTTCTAGGGTAGCACATTATTATCATTGATACCTGTAGCTCAAGAGTTTGTTTATCTTTTTATTCAACCAGATTTAAGGATAAAAAATGAATAAGACTGAGATGGAAGGCTACGGAGCAAAACGTTGGTTGCCAAAAAGTAGAGGGAGAGGGGCATGAGGAGCGATTGTATAACAACTGTATTAGCTTTACATTCAACTCCAAATCCAAACATGTCTATGATCTTAGCAATGGATATAAATTTGCTCATGCTCTTCTCTGAAAACTCCACAAGTATCTTTTGAAGAATTCAAGCAACCTAAAACATTTTTGCTTTTGCATGAAATTGTACTAGAATTTCTGGGTGAGCATATGTTACTGACTGGACTGGTAGCTCAGGAGTTCATCCATGCATTCAACCAGACTGGAGGATAAAAGAAAGGAAGGAGACATACAGCAGGAAATTCAAGGATAGAGAAAAGAACCGAATATAAACATGCATGGAAAGTAGGCAGGACACACAGAAAGATCTCAGAAAACAAGGACACTAAACCAAGACCTTAGGCTTGGTGGGGACAGAGTGAAGTGAGTCCCTCTGGCTAAAAGGATGTTGCATGCAGAGGAAACAGCTTGAAGATGCTGAAATATGACAGCAGTTTCTGCAGTATCCAAGAGGTCCAGGAGGGCAAGAAAAGGGTCATGCCATAGCTAAAAATCAGCATTGGCCTAATCATAGGAGTCTAAGTGGGCTATGCTAAGAAAGTAACTTTTATCTGAGGGTAACAGAAAACCTTTGGAGAGTTTTAAGGCTAACACTCGGAAAGACTAATTCTGTCTGTAACGTGAAGGGATTGGATAGGCATCAGGGTGAAGAGGAGAAGGTGGGAGAAAAAGAATTCAAATTCCTTAGAAAAGAATTCCTAATTTCTTAGTTTAGGAAAGGATCTAGTCTAAGGCAAAGGCAATGGGGGTGAAAAGAAGGATGAAAAATATGCAGGTCACACACTGCAAGAGTTCAGTAAGTAAACTACGCGTCAGGACAGAGGTATCACCATTTTGAAGATGCAGGTTTCCCTCAGCTGGAGGTGGGGAATGAATGTTGATTTTTTTGATGTATGAGTTTAAGATCTCTGTGAAATTCAAATATTTATTCAGAAACAGCTGAGTAAATGGGAAATCAGGTGACTTTTCAGGAAGATGTTTGCGCTGGAGATTTAAATTTGAGTCCCAGTAGCGAAAGTGTTGACACTGTATGGGGGGCAATATTTACAAAAAAAGAAAAGTGACCAGAAAAGGACCTCCGGGGACGCCAACAATTCATTCCCCAGTGAGTGGTTCGCGCCGCGGTGCGCGACGAGCGCACGTGGACGCTGGGAAGCGTCAGTGGGCGGACAAGCTGAAAACGAAGCAGGGACAGCAGAGGTACTTCTCATGAAAGTTAAAGGAGGACGTGTTCAGAGTATAGTCGCGAGTTGGAATGCTACGGTCCCGATCTGGCGGCCAGGCGGGACACGCGGCGGGGTGCTGGCAAGGCGTGAGAGCCGGAGCCAGCCCCGCAGGGTACCCTGACAGGGAACGGAGCCGACGCGAAGCCCACCGGCCGCCCGCCCGCCTACCTGAGCTCCTCGGCCGAATACATCCCGAAGGAAACGCCCTGCAGCCGCCGCCAGGGCGTGTGCCTGGAGCCAGACATCCTAGCCAGCGCGAGGCCCAGGGTACCTCAACAGGGTACCTCAACGGACTCCCTCACAGCCTCAGGTCCGCAGCCACGCTGCGGTTCTTACTGCGCATGCGCGGACGCGGCCTCCGGAGCCCGCGCGGACGACACCACTCCCGCTGCGGGGGGGGACAAGCAGAATGGCTTCGGATTCCGACTCCCATTTTTACCTTGAAAACAGCCAAAAAGACGCGAGACGTTGAGGTACTACTTTAATAAATTCCTCGGAGGCCAGTGAGGCTCTCTGACTCCGCTCTATAGACGGCCTCCCAGCCGAGCGTGCACGCGCCCCCCTTCCCGGTGGCGCTTCCTGCTTCCCAGGCCCGGGTCGGGGGCGCGCTTTCCCAGCACGCTCTGCGAGGCGGCGGAATGGCGGCGGCGGCTTCTGCGCGCTGTCTGAGCGTCCGCGGCGCCCTTCGTCTGCCTCTGCGGGGTCGGTGGGCGGGCGTGTGTGAGCCGGAACACGGCTGCAGGTGAGAGCATTGCGGGGCATCCACGAGGGAGGCCTGGATCAAGCTGGCCCGGCTTCCCCGGGGGCTGCGGGGTCGGCGGCACTGATGGCGAGCGCATGCGCGAGCTCGGTGGCTCGCGGTCGGCTCTTTGCAATCCCGCGGCCAGCACCTGCGCGGAGCAGGGGACTGCTGGCGTGGATGGCCGCGCAGTGGGGGACTGCTGCCAGCCCCCCGAGTTAGGAAGTCGCCGCCCCGCCGCAGTTCAGCCGCGGCGCGAGAATCCCGAGCACTCGTAGACGTTCCCGAGTGAGGAAGCCGTCGGCGGCGACCACGTGTGCTGCACCGCCGCGGGACCTCGACGAGGAAATCATCCGCCTTTATAAAAACGGAAAAGCCCCAAATGCCTGGTCACGTAACGTTTCGGTCCGGGAGCAGGGCTGAGACATGCGCCTGTCCACGTAACCGCTGAGCTCAGTACACAGGTGGCTTGTAGAAATGAGAGGCCGTCCCGAGGGGCGAGAACCCGAGGGAGGCCTGCTTGCTTTACCTGGTGGCTGATGCAAGGGATGGAATTAGGACCTCACGCTCGACCGCGGAGCTGCCCCACCCCAGCCCAAGAAAAGCCTGATGTTAGATTCGATATTTGCATTTTCCCAGGTTGGATAATAGACAGATTTTCTGATGAGTCGATTGTAGCTAATTAGAACCATCGGAAAAAATTCTGCGGAATAAATGGGATTTGTAACTTACCATGTGTGTTTTACATGTCCTTTCCTCAATTACCCTCAAAAAGGAGGAGTCACCTCTACTGGTGTTGCAGAACCCTCCGCGATTCAATCCTAGCGCTTGTTTTCCTGCTCTTGCTTAGAGTTGACATTCTTATGTCTGTTTTCTTTGCCTGACACAGCACCTGCCTTTAGCATTGATGGTCAAGGCAATACTGATCTCTCGTTCAGAAACGGGGTGGTTGGGAAAAAAAATAATCCTTTTCTGAAACATCCTTAGCATAGACAGGTAATATTTTAAAATGATGCCTGAGACAGACACTCAAAGAGGAAGTTTTTGTTTTTTTTTTAATATGTTATCCCAGCTTACTTATCTAGGTAGTTTGGATGCTGTTTAAGAAGGGAATATTCAAAGCTGGGCCACGTGGCACAAGCCTGCAGCACATGAGGCTGAGGCAGGGGGATCATGGTTTTGAGACCAGCATGGGCAACTTAAACCCTGTCTCAAAGTTTAAAACAAAATGAAAGGAGTCGAGTAGTAGCTCTGTGGTAGAGAGCCCTGGTTTCAATCCCCAGTATGAAAAAACCCACAGGATAATATCAGCTGTGCATACTGTCTATATGGTGTTGATTAATTTCTTAGTATGTTAATAAAGTAGAAATATAGTTATCCCGAATGAGACATTTGAAAATTGAATCAAGCATCAGTGATTCTGTATTTGGGGTAAATAACAATTTCTGAGTCTCTGGGAAGCTGTCAGCAGTTCCAAGTCTAAATTATGCCTCATGTATTTAGTATGTTCTTGGTTGTTGAAGAAAGTGGGGTATAAGGTCATTGGTGATCTTAGCTTTGCCATGATTGATTACTACAAAGAGGTAGGCCTGTTTATAAGGGCAAGCTCACTAAATTGTTCCTCTTAACCTCAAAGTATTCTGAGTCCCCAGAGTTAAAGTACCTTGTATCTTAAACCAGCTGCTTAGATTTTTTAGTGCTATTAAAAATTTCTCTTTTCTAATTTTTTATGATGAAATTTCTTGGTTCAAAAATTCTGACTGTTTTGTGTCTGTGTCTTGTACTCATTCTCTAGTAATAGTGCCACATGCTGATTAGGCCATGTCTTCTTGGCATACATTGACTTATACATAGAGTTATCCAGTCTGTTGGATCCATGGTAACTGGAAAATTTGGGCTCAAAATGCACATAAGTGAGGGTAAGCTGATTGATTGACGAGCATTAGCTTTCAGGTTTTTATTTTTTTGCAGATTTTATTCTGAGAGTGTAGCCCTACCAAAGGATGAAGGAACTGATGTAACAGGTATGTTTAAGAAAACTATTGAAGTAGTTCCAATTTTTAATCCACATGTTGTATTTTGTTGTAGTTATAATAGTAGGAAACTGGGCTGGGGATGTGGCTCAAGCGGTAGCGCGCTCGCCTGGCATGCGTGTGGCCCGGGTTCGATCCTCATCACCACATACAAACAAATGTTGTGTCCGCCAAAAAGAAACCTAAAAAATAAATATTAAAAAAAAAAATAATAGTAGGAAACTGATTCATTTTTTTCTTCTCATTAAGGAATTGAACAAATAGTCATTCCAAAGAAGAAAACTTGGTAAGTATTCAAATTGTTGTTCATTCCATAAGTGATTGTGTGCTTAGTGTGAGTGGATATGAGGGTCAGTTTAGGAGTGGTGATGTGGAGTGCTAAGGGAGTAGCCAGAGGGGAGAGACCTGGGAGTGTGAAGGACAGACAGGAAGATGGGTGGAGAGCGAAGAATGAGATTGACTTAGGCATTCAGAGACCTTCTGAACTGTCTGAGCTAGTGTGTACGGAGCAGTGGTTAATCAGGAGTTTCAATATTAGATCAATCTCTTTTTTTTTTAAGTGAGTTCTCTCTCACATGATTGGGAAACCAGACAGAAGTTAGCTCTTTTATTCACTGGGTAGATCCTTAAACAGATTGCCTTGTGTCGCTTACACAGCAATTGTTGAATATGTAAGAACTAAAACTTCTCAGTACTGCTTGTTGTAATATGATTTTGTTGAATACACTTAAAGGTCCCTCAAAAAGCCAAGTCTTAGAATTCTGATTGTAACTTAAAGACTCAGGTTCATTTAAAAAAAAAAAAAAGGCTTTGTTAAATTACAAAAGCAAGCAAGGTCATGGTCAAAAGAGGAATGGAGTGATAGCTCTAACATGCAAAAAGGAAACAGAATCACTGACAGTCCCACATCGCTCAACTTCCTGCCAGAGTGGAGTGTGAATAACCATAGTGCCCACCTAAGGGGTTAAAAGGGCATTGCAAACAGTGCCTGTTGCAGAGATGGCTGTTTCCAGTGTTGCAGTGTGGTCTTTTTTTATATAAGCTGAGCGTGTGACTTTAGAATTGAACCGTTAGATGTAATTTTTATACTCTGCCTTTAATTTTTAGCAGCCATGTAGTATTTCATTATACAGATACACTAAAGTTCAATTCTGTCTTCCCTGGACTGAAAATCAGAACCAAGAGAAGAATGTAGTTATCCACAAATGAGACAGTCCCCCGAGGGCATTAAAGTCCAAAGCCCTTGACCCATTTTACCTCTGGCCCAAGGAGTGACCTGCAGGAAGTCCAGAACAGGGAGCTTTCAGAGGGTGTGCTGTGACCTTGCTGAGTCACCTTCACATGTTCCACCCAGTAGTCCTGTCAGTGTGGAACATGCACACAGTTAGAGGGATGTGGAATGTGATATCCAGAGTGGGCATGTTGTGCTCATTGCTTTGGTTTCTTTTGACAATGTAGACATTTACCAGTGTCTTCGAATGGGTGGAGTCATCTTATTGGCATCAGAATCACCTAGGGATTTTGCTAAAAATGCATATTCCTGCCAGTAGTTCTTATGGATCATAAAGTATGTGGCCCACAGATACAGAGGCCAGCAAGGCAGGGGCATGTGATTGTGATGCACCTAGTGGTCGGAGTCCAGGCCAGCCTGGGGAGAAGGTGCCAATAGAACAGGGAAATGAGGAAGCTAATACTGGTCAGCAGATGAAGGCCAGGTTTTGTGTTTTCCAAGTTGGAAATGATTTTTATGTTTTCATACAGTTGGGAAAATCAAAAGAAGACAAGGTAACATAAAAATTACATGAGATTCAAATTCGTGTTACATGTTTTGGGCAGCACAATCTCACTTATTTACATATTGTCTGGCTGCTTTTATGCCACACTGGCAGAGCTGAGTAGTTTAGACAGTACCCTTTGGCTCCCAAAGCCCCAAATCTGTATTCTGTCGCTTTACCAAAAGAGTGCTTCGTCCCTGCTAGAGCCTCTGACTTCCAGGTCAGGACTCCATGTTTTTAGGACAAATTCTTGTTGCCTGATTGTAGAGATGAGGCATTTTAAGGCTCTGATTTCCCAGATCACAAAAGTGCCGAGAAGACTTTGATACATTGTTGAAGTAATGGTGAGTGTTTGTATGTGAATATGATGCAATAAAGGCAGTGTTCTGAACGGGTTAATCTGAACTGGGCACTTACTTTAGAGAGAGTGGGAGCCAATTATGATCAGTGCATAGGCAACTGGACTCATTGAAGAAATGTAAATTAAAACCTATTAGATTAGCAAGGAGAGGATGTAGAGAGATGAGAGCTACATATATTTATTGACGGACCAGAAAATTGGAATGACTGGAGGGAAATTTTTTTGAGTCAAAATTTTTAAATGTGAACACTGATTGGCAAGAAGTACACTTGCATATATACCCAGAGATGTGAGGGAACATATTCTCCATACCTGGGAATAGTAGCAAATGGAGACAACCTGCATGCCCATCAATGACTAAGTGAATAGTAAAAATGGTCATCATATAATGTGACATTTAAAGGAATTAATTAGATCTGTTATGCCGGGAATAGTACATTCGAACTTTTATAACGTGTAAAGTGACATGATTTTTCTTTTATGGATATATGTCTGTGTAAAAGTACCTATGAAAATCCTGGGATTATACCAGCCTCGTGGATGAGATCTTAAGGTGATACCAGGCACTTTAGGTTCTTGTAACCCTAGATTACTTTTCAAAGATAATATGTTCGTTGTGATGACTTCTAAAAACAACCCTTTTTAAAAAGAACTAGTGGTAATCCGTGAGTTTTTTCACTGCCATCTGTTAGTACGTTATGAAGAGACTCAGTTATGCCAGTGTAGGGTTTAGTTAAGGAATCCTGAGCGCTGAGAGAGTGTTTCTTTATCATGTGCTGGAATTATATACATGTGACTTAAAAATTGATAGAAAATTCAATGGATGTTATGTGCATCAGGGGATTAATATAAATTTTTTATTTAGTACTAGGGATTGAATCCAAGGGCTCTTAACCACTGAGCCACATCCGCAGCCCTGTTTTGCATTTTATTTAGAGACAGGGTCTCACTAAGTTGCTTAAGTCCTCACTAAATTGCTGAGGCTGGTTTTGAACTTATGATCCTTTTGTCTCAGCCTCCCAGGCTACTGGGATTACAGGCGTGTGCCATCACACTTGGCTCTATTATTCTTTGGTCTCTGGTGACTTATGTTCTTATGAATGTTAGGTCAAACTTTAATTAGAAACAGTACTTCTGGTTTGTTAAATTTATTGTAATTCTCTTGGAAATGGACCACATTAAATCTAACACAGGAGTTAAAAATAGAATTGAAACCAAATTATGTCATTTGTCTTTGATGCCAGTTAAGCCTTTTCCAATAGCTGAGTGACAGGTGCCCAGGACGCTGTCCTGCAGTTCTCCTGTGGGGTTGTGTGTGGTGGAGAGCTGCCCCACACTGGGAGGCACATTGGAGTCCTCTGGGAGTCCAGTGAGGAGGCACAGGCCATCCTCTGTGTATCTGGGGGCTGTGACTCCATAGCTGCAGGTGGAGCCTGTGGTTTCTTCTCGTGGCCTGAGGAAGAGCCACTGTTGGCAGTAAGACAAGGGTGTCCACACAGCTGCAACCCAGATGCACAGGGAGGGAGTAAGAGGAAGTCAGCAAGTGGTGTGAGGAGGCGAGAGTGCTCATCGCTTGCTCTGGGTGGGTACAGACAGTGAGGAGGGCATGTGCTGACCACCTGCAGGCAGAACAAGAGGACCTGGCCCTGTCTTCTAGCTTGCAATCTTGAGCGGGAGGTACGGTCGCCAGGCCAGGCCTGAGCTGTTACAGGTAACTGCCTGATCGCTCCTTCCCTTCGTGTCAGGAGTCCAACTAGGGTCAATCTGTGATTCTTTTCCTAGGGATAAAGTGGCTGTTCTTCAGGCGCTTGCATCCACAGTCAACAGGGTAAGTGGGACTTCTTGGTTTTAACGTGGCTGTTAACACATTTGATCTTCATTATTCAGAATTAAAGTATTGCAAATCCATGAAGTTTATTTAAAATTAATCCAGTCTTTTCATTTGAAAAGTGGGAAAACTTAAGGCCATTAAAGTGATTGGCCAGGCTGTTTCCTACATTAAAATCTTCACTTAGCTCCACGCCCTTTGTTTCTGACTGTCGTGTTTTTCCATCATACCAAGGATTGTTCTAAGGTGCTGGGACTTGAACACAGGGCCTTGTGCATGCTGGGCAAGTATACTGCTGAACTGTACCTCCAGCTCCACACCAGTGGGTTAGAATCACTGGTCGACCTTGTTGAAATGCCTGTGTCTGAGGGATGGTGCCTTGGTGACCATAGATGTGGTCCCTGTGCCAACTTGGAGAACTAGTGCCCCTGCCACGAGGCTGCAGCTTGGCAGTGAGTAGCAGAACCAGATGAAAGGAGCTTTGCTGAGGTGGGGCTTTCACAATGCTGCAGAAACCTAGTGCAGGAGGAGGAGAAAGAAACCTGCCTCCAGGTCACAGGAAGAGCCCCTTCCCTTAAGGGCCTCAGGCCCTGGAGGCCCTTAGGCACAGAGGAGAGCTGCCAAATATAAATTGAGCTTTCACTGTGAACAGAGCCCAGAAGGCCCCAGTAGGATCAGCCTAGGAGAACAGTAGAGGAGGGATTGTGCTGCTGTTTCTAAGTGGGGACCTTAGTGCTGGAGGGCAGCTTTGACAAGTATAGAGCCTTGGGACACTGCTGTGCACATCTCAGAGGGCCCAGTGGTTTCTTGCATTTGGTGGAGGGAACTGTGCAGGAAATCCTGTTCCACAGAGTGGGTGCAGAACTTTGTAAAGCAGAGGATCCTTCAGTGGTCCCAGTGACAGTGCACTCGCACCTTAACAGTGGCCTGGGTTTGGGCCATTATCTGCGTTGAGGTGTACATAATTTTACGCAACTCTTGCAGAGCCAATGGGACAGTATAGGTGTCGATGTGTGTGGCTTCTGTCTCTGGATGTGTGTATTTTAATGTGTACCCACGTGTATATGTTCCTGCATATGAGTATATATTAAGACTTCTTGTGCAGAACTTGTGATCACTGATGAGACCCCTCCCAACCCAGGGTGCTGTGCCACTGAGCTATACTCCTAGATCTGTTTAATTTTTGAGAGAGGCTCTCGCTCAGTTGCCCTGGCTGGTCTGGAACTTGCAGGCCTCCTGCCTCAGCTTCCTGAGTCCCTGGAATTACAGATGTGTGCCACAACACCCTGCTGGGAGGTCTTAACGGTCTAGCTGGAAGAGTGCCTGTGTCTTTTCCTCAGGACCCCACGGCCGTCCCCTACACATTTCAAGATGACCCTTACCTTATACCAACGTCCTCTGTGGAGTCGGTGAGTGTGTTCATGCAACTTTTCTGATGCTGTTTTTTTATTTTACTGGTTTGTGTATAAGAGTACATACATAATTCAGTTATAGAAACCTTTGAAAAGTTTGTAGATGCTGATAAATTGGTGGACTTTATAAATCTTTAACTATTTTTATCAAAAAGAATTTGATTTTTTTCTCTGGAGAGTTTTGGCTTGGTTTTTTATGTTAGGACTTTTTCACACGGAGCGGATGATTGGGTGAGGCTGTGTTGTTTTTGTACACGTCAAGATGTGCTGCACGGGGCCTGAAGTCGGGCCCACTCAGTAGAGTGTGGGAGGCCCTGTAATTGGGGTTCTCACTGGGAGTCCGTGTATTGTGGCTTCCTTTCTTGTGGAGGGAGAATAATTCTTGCTCAGAATTTACCTTTGAACTTATTTGAGTCTAAATTACATGCGAATTCCAATTTGTATCTAAATCTTTTTTTATACAGCGTTCATTTTTATTGGCAAAGAAGTCTGGGGAGAATGCAGCAAAGTTTATTATTAATTCACATCCCAAATATTTCCAGAAGGACATAGCTGAACCTCATATACCGGTAAGGAGGGTGGTGCCTTTTTCACGTAACACTATATAAATGTGACTTAGACCAAGTGTGGTGGCCAGTGACAGCTCTTGGTCCTCAATATGTGAGTGAAAGCTTTACTCACTGTTCAGTGCCTTTTGCATGCGTTTGCTCTTCATCCTGCTGTCTCTCTGTTTGGACTTCTGTGACGCCTCACTCTGGGGTCTTCCCTCTGTGCTGCTCCTCGGTCTCTGCACTGCTCAAGCATGGGTGTACCAGGCTCTGCGTGCTGGTCACCACCTCCTACCCATCTGCCCTGTGATGGTCGCCACCTCCCACCTGTCTGCCCTGCGTGATGGTCACCACCTCCCTCCTGTGTGCTCTGCTGCATCAGCAGCTCTTGCATTTCACTTGGCCTCTTGCACATCCAGCCCCGACCCCTGTGCTTGGAACTTCCTGTTTCCTACAGCCTCTCTGTCCTTTAGCCCCGTGGTGAGCGTTTATGCAGCGCCTGCTGTGTGCTGGGTCGTGTGCTCTGCATCAGCACATGGAGAGCAAAGCTGGTGCACCTTTCCGCGAGCGGAAAGCTAATCTGGAGAGTCATCTTGTCTCCTCTCACGTCACCCTGCTGCCCAGAACTCAGACCTAAGGATAGCCTGCCCATCTCATGCTGTGACTCCCAGTGACAGATTAGGAAGCCAGTGTGATTGTGAAAATGTTACAGTCCTGAGCTAGGACAGTGGCAGCCGTGGAGTGACCACTTGTTGGCCCGCCCTTTCTTCTTTGTCTTTGACTGACAGTTACTTTCCAGTTACTTAACTGACAGTTACTTTTCCTGTGACAGTTACTTGGTTCAGCTCTGGAGCCACTCTTGTGTGAAGCCTTCCAAGGGTCCCCTACTTGTGTGTGGTGGGCAGTAACATTCACATTATATTGTATTTTGTTTGTTTTTTTGCCAGTGCTGGGGATTGAACTAGGGCCTTGTGCAAACTTTCTGCCTCTGAGCTGCATCCTCGGCCCTGTCATGATTTCTGTATCTGCTTCCTTCATTAGACTGGGAGGGTAGAATGCCTTTCTTTCATCTCTGTGTCCATGAAGCCCACCTGAGTGTCTGGGATAAAGTAGTACCCATTCTACAGAACTGGAATCAATTAGTCAATAAGTGAAGCCAGTATTCCTTGGTGGTATTGAATGTGTAGAAGAAAAACCACTCAGGATGAAGGTTCTCTGCCTGAGGGAACTAGATGTCCTCTGACATCTTTAACCAAGCTTGGGCCTGGAGGAGGAAGAAGGTCTTAGCAGGGAAAATGTAGTCAGTCAGCCTGAAGCCGGGAGTTTAGTTGGAAGCAGGGGTCTTCCTGAACGGTTACATTAGGGTGTTTTTAAATCTTAGGGTAGGCCATGCTGAGTAGTCTGTTTTGGAGTGGAGAAAAGGTTTTGTGTCTGTCCTTGGTGGTTTCTAGTTGGGTTTCCTAGTGAGGCGTGCATGTTAGGAGCTGGCTGATATCTGGTGCAGGAAAGTGCATGGGGCTCTAAGGTTTTGCCTGTGGGTAGACATCTTGTGTGGCTGTCCTGTCCCGTTTGCCTCCTATTGTAATGTCCACCATCTTGTCTTCCCAGTGTTTAATGCCAGAGTACTTTGAGCCTCAGATCGAAGATGTAAGCGAAGCTGCCCTGAAGGAACGGATAAAGCTCAAGAAAGTGAAGGCGGCTGTGGACATGTTTGATCAGCTCTTGCAAGCAGGTGACGCAGTTGGGTTAAAGCTGCTCTGGGAACAGAGATTGCAGTGGCATGAGCCAGTTAATGTTGAGTGAAGGGTAGGGGCTCTGTGCCTTCTGTTGGATGGCTGTGTCGATTCCGTTTGCATAGTTAACAAACCATGTTTGACATTCTGCTCTGGCTGCACAGGAAGGTAGAGTTTCAGCCCTGTTGATTTGTTGTGCCCTTGTACTGTGGCACTGTGGAGAAGTGATATAGCCGTTCTTAGTGTCCACCTCTAACCTGAGATCCGAACGTACTGAATTGAGTTTTCCTGGACCCTTTGTATTTGGAAGGCAGGACCACACACAGTTGACAAATACTCCAAAAAGAAAGCACACTAAGCTGGGATTGGGGACTTTGATATTGGTGCTAGCTCTAACTGAATTATCTGTGACCTAGAAAAAGTCACTCATTTCCTCAGGGCCTCTAGGTTACAATCAATCCTGTGCACTCTTGAGTTAGATCTGATGGGCCTCCAGGAAGACACAACTGGAGAGCATGACTGAGGAGCTCTGCAAGTCATCCCCGTCAGCTGGCAAGAGTTATGGTTTTGGAATCTGAAGCGTAAAAATCCAGTAAGCATGGAAGAGATGGAAAATGAGCTGAAATCAGCCAGTACACATTTGAACACAAGAAACATCTGCATAATGCTGTGTGCCAGTCTTATTGTGTGGCCTACTAACACCAGGTGTGCAGCAGACAGTGACTCTGTGAGCAGCACCTGCCAAGAGCCTGATCAGAGTTCTTGGTGTTAAGGCTCGTCTCTTTCTAGTTTCACCCCCACTGCATGGGTGTGTGCAGATATTCACTGAGCATCCTATAAAGTCAGTTTGTCAGAACCATAGCTCAGTAATAGCCAGTGCATCAGGGAGGGACTGTAGAAAACTTTGTTATCAAACACTTAGTATGTGCCAGATATTCTGCTAGGCCTCCCACGTACCTAATCCTGTGGCACCTTGTGAGCTGGAGTGTCCTATGGTAACTTTATAAAGGAAACTGCCTCAAAAGCCATGTCCCAGGGTTTCATAGTGCTGAGACTGAGGATCGCTCCGTAGCCTGCACCCGCCTCTTCTGCAGTTTGCATTTTTCAGTTTCCTAGTGGGTAGTTTTATAATTTTTAGTGTATTTTGTTAGAAGCTTGAGTTGCCCTTTTTTTTTTTTTTTTTTTTTTTTTTAATAATTTGTGTTAGTTGTAGGTGGACACGATAACCTTTATTTTATTTTTATGTGGTGCTTAGAATCGAACCCACCACCTCATATGCTGAGCCACAACTTCGGCCCTTGAGTTGCTTTATTATCTCTCATCTTTTCTCTGTCCTTTCTCCCTTTTGGGGGGGGCGAGGAGGTAGGGGATGTACCAGGTATTAAACCCAGGGGCACTCCACCACTGAGCCACATCTCCAGCCTTGCTTTGTATTTTATTCAGAGACGTGGTCTCACTGAATTGCATAGCGCTTTGCTTTTGCTAAGGCTGGCTTTGAACTTGCGATCCTCCTGCCTCAGCCTCCCGAGTCGCTGGGATTACAGGTGTTCAGCACCACACCCAGTCTCTCCCTTTTTAATGAGTGCCAAAATAGGAGCATAACATTTTCACAAGTTTTTTTTTTTTTTAATGTTTATTTTTCTATAGGACTTACTTATGGAAGATTAATTTTTTAAAAAATATTTATTCTTAAGCTTTAGGTGGACATAATATTTTTGCTTTACATTTATGTGGGTGCTGAGGATTGAACCCAGTGCCTTGTGCATGCTAGGTGAGCGCTCTACCACTGAGCCACAACCCTAGCCCTTCACAACAGTTTTTAAAAGACTGATCTAATTAGGCAGTTATGCTCGTATTTCTGGGCCAGTGGTTTGGTGGAGGGATGTGTGTGTGTGTGTGTGTGTGTTTTCACATGGGTCTGGGCCAGGGTAACTAGCAGTAATTGGCAGTGTTCTGTAGGAAATGATTGTTAAAGCCATGAGATAGCATCTGTAAGTATGTAAGTACATGAAGTAACTGGGCTCAAGCTAAGCCTTCCTCTTGTATTTTAATCTTTTATGTTAGACTTTGAGGGTAGTTGGGATTTTGTTGCTCTCTTATCAGTCTAGGTGTTTGAGTCCATGCATATTCAGAAATTGGTAAGGTGGGATATATTAAGTATGTATCCGAAAGCACACTAACAGAAATAAGAAGAGAGTTCTTTTTTTGTTGTTGTTTTTTGTGGTGCTGAGGATTGAACCCAGGGCCTTATACATGTGAGGCAAGCACTCTACCAACTGAGCTATATCCCCAGCCCTAAGTAGAGAGTTCTAATGTGTGGGTTTCAGTTTTTGGGTGTCTGAAGGTTTCTTTCCCTTCTATTCTCCTACCTACAGGAACTACTGTATCCCTTGAAACAACCAACAGTCTCTTGGATTTACTGTGTTACTATGGTGACCAAGAACCTCCAGCTGATTTTTATTTTCAACAAACTGAGAAGTCAGAAGAATTGGTAATGGCTTTTTGCCTTGTCTTTTATTCTTTTTAAAGTTCTTTCTTGAAATTAGATGGGTTCCCATGCCATGTGTAAGTGTGGTTGTACGAGGTTTGTACTGAGGCATGGCATGGTTTGGTATTTATCATAAAATGGCTTTGATACAAAGTGGAAGGAGAGCTGGGTGCTGTGGTGCACACTTGTAATTTCAGCTATTGAGGGCTGAGGCAAGAGGATCACAGTTGGAGGTCAGGCTCAGCAACTTTGCAGGCATTGTCTTAACAGAATAAAAAGGGCTGGGGCTGTAGCTCAGTAGTAGAGCACTTTGTCCAGCTTGGGTAAGACCCTGGGTTTAGTTCCCAGTATGGTGGGAGGGGGCGTACGATTATTTTAACCCTAGCCACCTTCTTTGAAAATTTTGTGTTCACCTACTACATATTCAGGCAAAGCTCTGACCCGAAATGCCCTTCTGTCAGTTACGGTGCCAGCATGATGTCTGGTGGTCAGGGAAAGCCTGTGTGGCGCTGGCACCCTCCGGCATGCACGTGTGGAAGAGCAGGGAGAAAGGCACTGGGCCTGTGTGCAGGGTTGCTTGGGTGGATTTGTACGTAGCCTCTCAACCCACAGGTTTCTCTTCTGGAAGTCGATTCCAAGGAACCCTCTGTATCAAGTAAGCAGAAGCAAGGCTGGCCTTGTTCTTGTGGTCTTTATACCCATAATTGCTGAGGTACTGAACGTAATCCACGTCCGTCCACTAGTGTGTGCTGAACTCTTTGAGGGGGTAGGTGGGTGTGAGTCATCTTAAGACCACTCATGCATGGCTGAGTGTGGATAGAGTCACCATCTAAGTGGGACAGTGTGTACAGCAAGGTACAGGCAAGCATCCCTAGTCTCAAATCCCTAACCCAAGTTTTTGAAGGCAAATGCTCCAAAATCTGAACTTTCTGAGTGCCGCTAGTGGAAAATCCACACAGGACTACTTGGAGTCATCTCAGGTACTAGAAATAAATATTACATAAAATCACCTTCACTGTTTAGTGTCTAAGATGTGGATGAAACACAAATGAATTTCATGTTTAGACTTGGACCATTCCCAAGTTATCTCGTTATATACATGCACGTATTTCGAAATGCAAAAGATCTTAAATTTGAAGGACTTTTGGTCCCCAGGATCTTGAACAAAGGGATGTTCAACCTGTGTTTTTGTGAAAGTGCTTCTCTCTGAGCGCTGGGCTTGCCTGCAGTGGGCGTGGGTCATTCGTCAGCATAACTGTTCTGCAGTGCAGGACACAGGGTAGTGCGTGAGTCCTTCTGGCCTCCTAGTGTCCCCTTGTCCAGCCCAGGCAGCGCTGGGCAGTGTGGCGCCAGGAGGCATCGACATCTGTTGGCCCTGGTGCTGGGTTTGGGTCTGTGTCTTCGCTGGCTTGTGCCCTGATGGGGAACCAGGTGTGGCCTCTGAGACGCAGGCTGTGCTCTGGCGTGCGGTTCCAGCTCTGTCTTGTCTGGGACCTTCAGGGCCTGGGCTTTTCCTCCTTCTCTGGAGCCAGCTTGTTCTTCCTCTGTCCTCTGCTGATGCTTGTCTGGGCACAAGCATTTGGTGGGTTTCTCTTGCCTTCTCCTGGATCTGTTTTTCCTTTTTTTCCTGAGTCCCTGCTGCCTTTTCAGTGGTGAGCCTGGGAGAGTGCTTTCTGTGGTCTAACCTTTTATTTCTGTTGATGCTTCATTGCAGGAGCAGGCCACGGAGGAAAATAACAAAAGAGCCAGTGTGAAGGCTGCTCATCAGGCTGGAGTCACTTGGAAGTAGGTTACACAGAATTGGAACCCTGTATTGCAGCTTCTCTGGGTGGGTGGGATGTGCCCCAGCACCCCCAGGAGGATGTGATCTGCCGCCGCTGTGAGGTTCAGAGTCCTGTGCATGTGACAGAGACCCTTGTCTCTCCCAAGGGCGTTACCTTCAGCCTGCAGCACAGACCATTCAGGCAGTGCTCATCGTCTTGGTTTCCCCATTTAGCTCAGTGTGGCCATCACCTACTTTGGTTCCTGTGGGGGGTCTCATTACTAGTGCTACTTTGGATTAAGTATCCCTAATTCTGAAAGATTTGAAGCTTTTATTTACTAAAAATGCAGATGCTAGAATATGGTGCCAAATTAGGCCTTCCAACCAAGTAGTTGTGTCCACAGTTCTGAAGGACTGTGCGTAACACTTGACTGCATTTGAGAGCATACACAAACCTGGAGGTGTGGCCGTCTGGAAAGGGAAAGTGTGTTGACATCAGACTCCCTGCGGGAGGGATGAGTCTGGAAGAGGATGGGGCAGATTTCTTAGGTTGTGATGATTAGGAATGCTGAAGAGCATGGCGTTTGGGGTCTGGGCTCGCGTCCTGGGGTAATTTGTATTAAGTGCTCTCTCTTTCTAATAAAGGGAGAGGGGACGTGCATTTGCTAGACGATGACGGGATCCGAGCAGCTGTTGTCAGTGGTTCCCCTGGGAGTTTCTGGGGTGGGGGCTGCTGCACCACGCGCCCTGTCGCAGGCTGGCCTTTATGTCTGCAGAGCCCTGGGTGGCTTACTCAAGGTCCTTGAGACCAGGGCACCGTGTCTCCCACTCTGGGTGTTGGGACCATTTGATTTGAGACTGCGCCTGCGGTGCCTGGGCTTGTAAACCCGCAGTGCCTGCCGCAGCTGGGAATGGGCTGCCCTGCGCTCTGGCTCCTGTTTGTTTTCCTGTCTCTAGAGCCAGAAACAACGCCGAGAGGATCTTCGCGCTAATGCCGGAGAAGACTGCACGTTCCTACTGCACCATGATCCGAGGAATGGTGAAGGTACTTGGTTTTATTTATTTATGTTCCTTTGTAAAGTCCACTGGGTCGGGTTTCTTATCCTCAGAGCTACAGGTTGCTTATCCCTGTGCAGAAGGCTTGGGACCAGGAGTAAGCATTTGGGATGTTTGCATCTGTCCATGATGGCTGGGCTTTGCGGCTATTGAGGTTCCAGATGCAGTGCTCAGCCTGTGCTGACGTTTTGGGTCAGGTTGTCACGGGGGCTGTCCTCTGCTTCATGGGGTGTTTTAGCCTCTGCCCACTGGACATGGTGGTGTGATCCTCCCTCACCCTCAGACTTGACACCTCAGTCTCCAGGCAGAGCCTGGGCCCTGAGTGCGAGCCTTGGGGAAGGGGCTGCTCTGGTGCTCCCTGCTACAGTGCCACCTGGAACAGTAGGGGGCGCAGGCCTCTGATGGAGCAGCTGATGACCCTTCTCCTTCCCTCCGCTTCCAGCACCGGGCATACACACAGGCATTGGACTTATACACCGAGTTACTGAACAGCAGGCTCCGAGGTGAGCTGGACAGCTTTTCCTGACCCTCTCCTCTCCTTCTCCTCTCCTAAGAGCCCTTGGGAAGTCCTTGGGTCTGGCCTCAGTCATGGGCCTGCCTTTTGCCTTTCTCTGTGGCTGTGGTCCAGAGGTCCAGTTATGTGGGTTTGTAGATTAGCCCAGGGACACGCTGGAGACCACTGATGAGAGGAGAGCCTCAGCCCCAGGTGTTGTTTTTCTGGTTTTCTTTTCCAGCTGATGTTCACACCTTCAACGCGTTGATTGAAGCGAGAGCCTTGATGGCCAACGAGAAGTTTGAGGAGAAGTGGAACGGCATGCTGGTAAGGCGGGTGGGTCGCCTCGGCCCACGCCACCCCGTGCTCGCTGCCCTCGGCTGACGTTCTGTACTAGAGCGTGCAGCAGGCGTTCAGGACACCCCTGTCACTGCTTCACGTCAGTATTGTTGCTGTTGTGTTGTGTGTTGTGAAGTTCCTGTCGGATGAGTCGTCTATGATCATTGGCCTGCTTCAGACACAGCCAGAACACTAAATTTCTCTCTCCTTTTGTCATTGACATCCTTTGTACAACGTTCATTACAAATTGTCCACCCAGGCTTAAGAACTACTTCATGCTTCTGATTCACCTAGGAGCTGCTGAAACACATGTCTGTGCAGAAAGTCAAACCAAACCTGCAGACTTTTAACACCCTTCTGAAATGCCTCCGGAGGTTTCATGCCTTCGGGAGAATGCCCGCCTTGCAGACCTTGCGTGAGATGAAGGCCATTGGAATAGGTGAGGGCGCGTTTGGAGTCCTCCCTGAGGGCCAGAGACTGAGCAGAGGCGATCTGTGCGTTCTGGTGCAGGCTGCGTGCTGTGAGGGGTTTCTTCCCAACCTGGGCGTACTCAGTTGGCCCTTCAGAGCCCTGGGGTCGAGGAGGCCTTGATCCTCTGAGGGTCTGGTGCTGGGGTTTGATCCTCTGGGCCATTTCCCCATGGATTCCCAAGGACAACCAAAGTACTTTCATCTTGGTGTCCTTTAGAGCAAATTAAGGTACCGTTTTATAGCTCTCGGTTCTGAGGATAGTTGATTACTGTTGGTTAGCTTTAAATTGCATGACAGACATTTTCCTATGACAAGGGGTTGAACCTACGTGCTGCTGGTGTGGCGTGTTCAGATGGGGCTTGTGGAAGGGTGCTCGGGCATCACTTTGCACCATTTTGTCCTGCTACTCACGGGGAGTCTGCTTGGTGAGGTGTTAGAGAGGGGCTGCCGTCTCGGGTTTTCCACCTCTGCGATACTGAGACAGCGGGCAGGGTCCCTCAGCGTTCACATCCCTTCAGCATGCTGCAGTGAGCTATATTTTGAACAGCTGTGTTTTTACTTCCATTTCTTATTTTTTCCATCCACCTGGTGTTTTGAGAACCCTCGCTTGCAACATATCACCACATCATTCAGATGTTCTACCAACCAGGTATGTATGATAATCTTACGTTTGTGTGATTAGTTGTTGCAGATTACCTTCTGTACATGTGAAGTGAGATTAGAGAGTTCACAAATTAACCCCTGTAGCCTGAGCGAGAAGCTCTTCTTAAGGTGGTCACCTTGTTGTGATGTGAGATGTGAGCTCGGAGCTGGAGGGCAGGTTTACATTGTACTCGTGTTGTTGGAATGGAAAGAGGGTGGACAGAGGGTTTCAGCCTGGAGTTCCTTTTGGTCTCTAGAACTGTGTGTACAAAAGACAGTAGCCACATGTGGCTGGTTAATTAAAAGAAAGGAAAATTTAAAGTTTTGGTGCCAGAGGGCTCAGCAGTCCTGTGTACGCCATTCTCAGTGATTGTGTTTTGTAGCCTTTGGGAGGACCTCATGCTCCCTTTGTCACCTGCGTTAGGTCAGTTCCTATGGGAGCTGTCACCTGCGTTAGGTCAGTTCCTATGGGAGCTGTCACCTGCGTTAGGTCAGTTCCTATGGGAGCTGTGCGTGTGAGGCACTTGGAACACCAGGTTGAATTTCAGCTCTCATTTAGTTACCACCCCTGTAGAAAGGGACAGGGTGACAAGTGACAGCAAGAGGGTGGTGATGGTGTCTTGTCCCATGCTTCGAAGGCACATCGCAGGCACTGAGGAATCTTTAGGTTCTTACTCCCTTGTCCCCAGCCTGAGAAGGAGCCCTTGAGTTCAGAAGTGACAGCTGAAGCCATTCCTTCCTGTGGTAGGTCTTATGAAACAGCAGAAGGAACCTCGTTCTCTGCCTTGGAGGGCCAATTTTGCAAAGTGTTCACCCCCATCTATAGGCAAGGGGTTTTTTGTCTTTAAGAAAAAACCAAACATGGGGCTGAGGCTGGGGCTCAGTGGTACTGCGCTTGCCTAGCACATGTGAGGCACTGGGTTCAATCGTCAGACCATGTGAAAATAAATAAATTAAAGGTATTTTGTCCATCTACCACTAAAAAAATAAAAACAAATATGCAACTGGTTTATTTTGGTGACAGATGAAATTTTCCATGATAACTGTGACCTCTAGAATTCTACTCAGCCCTGATCAGACCACTGTGAAGCCAGTGCTCTGAGCCCAAAGGCTGTTTCTCTTCTCTACCATCATGCACGACTTGGCCTGTTGCTCACCTGAGTCCAGGTTGTTTGTATTTCCTAAATGGACAGCTGTGGCCGTGGTGGGCGTGGGAGTATTGATTGGTCTTATATACATCAGTTGGCTTTCTGCGTTAGTAATTCGTAGACTTACCCAAGGGAGAGAGCCCGAAGTAACAAGAAATACACTTAAAATGCAATACGTGTAACTAGTAGAAAGGAATGTTAGCAAATGGCCACATGCTTCAGGAAAACATAGCAAGATAGCCCTGCACTTATTACTGGTATTTTAATTAGGTGTGGAGAGGTAGGGAATTATCTGACCAGAAATGCTGTAGGTGAATTTTTTGACCTGTTAATAGTGAGCTCATGTGATCCATTTCTTGTGCAGTTGACCTTTTTTTAGCACGTTGGTTTGGTGAGGGGTATGTTATGCATAGGGATTTGCTCCCCTCCAATGAATATCCGAGCTGCTTGAGAAGAGGCTGAGACAGAAAGCCAAAGGCTAGGGCTGGAACTTGTGGACAAAGGCTGACTTGGGTCTTGGGAGCACTATGCTCTGTAGGGGCAGTGGTTGGTTCCTGTAGCAGGCGTTTGGCCAGGCCCGAGGCTCAGTGCAGGAAGGAGGCAGCCCTTTTGTACAGGCTGCTGTGAGCTGGGGGTGGTGCAGGAAGTGGATTTGGTGAACCCCTTCGCTTTCTTGTTCTGTAGGGAGCTCTGCAAAAGCACCGTCCCTCATCATCTATGACATAGTGAATGAATTAGCAGGAAAGGCTTTTTCTCCGAAGGACCTTGATGACGGTATGTATAGAAATCGCTGATTTTCCCTCTTGGCCGCTGGCAGCTCTTGATGCTGGTTGGCCTTGGCAAGGGCAGGGTTTGGGTGGTGACATCTGAGAAGGCCGGCTGTATACTTCCCATCATTTTTTTTCTGTTAACTTTACCTGGCACACAACCTACTTAGTTGTCAGAAGTTTTATTAATGTTACTGACTTGAAAATACATTTTATTCCTTGTAACCAAAGTTCCCGTGGACTTTTTCAGATATGTTCTTTCAGTCGGCCATGAGTGTCGTGAGTACCAGTCTTTGCTTAGCTTCATTTTCCCAGTTTTAACTGACCTAACTGGAGGGCGGGGCTCTCCCTGGGCAGACAGGTCTTGGCATGTCTTCACTTCTGTTTTTCCTCTTTCTCCAAAGTTTATACTTTAAGTCACATGGTGCCTCTGTTCATATGAGCTTTTGGAGTATTTTATGTTTGCCTCTGAGTTAACCTTTTAAGTTGGTAAAAATTGATTTTTATTTTGGTCTCATTTTGTCATGTTAATCAGGGGAAATTTCATGTGGCTTTAGGGTGAATGGGGTGCAGCCTGCTTCCCAGGGATGCTTGTGTTGCCGTTTAGTGGCTGTCCTGGTTTTGCCTCTGGGTGCTCAAGTGTGTGTGTGCTCACACCCTGTTCCCTGACGGTGTGTGTGTTGACAGTAGTGTTTCGCAGGAGAGAAGAGTTGTCACTCTCCTAGGTGGCTTTGGAGTTAGTTATTTTATGTGGGTTTTGCAAGTACAGTGGTGCTGGCCTGAAGGCTCTCTGTGTTTCTTGTAGGATTTATTTCTAAAGGTAAATTGAATTATTTTAAATAAAATGCACAAAGCTTGGGATTTATTTTTCTCCCTATTTATTTTAACTTATTTGCTGTCACTAAATTGATTCAATATAAGCATTTCTGAAGAGAGCTGTACTTTTCTTTCTGAGCCACTATTTGCCTTATAAAACATCAGTATTCTGCTTGCAAATTTTCAGTGCTCATCTCTCAAGGATCTAGAACTTGCTTATGAAGTACATGGCCTTTTAAATACGGGAGACAACCGGAAGTTCATTGGACCTGATCTTCGTCGGAATTTCTATTAGTAAGTGTAGGAAATGTGTTCTTTATTTATTTATTTTTAATATTTATTTTTTTAGTTATATTTGGACACAGTACCTTTATTTTGTTTGTTTATTTTTATGTGGTGCTGAGGATCAAACCCAGGGCCTTGCACGTGCTAGGTGATCGCTCTACCTCTGAGCCACAATCCCAGACCGAGGAAATGGGTCCTTTAATTAGTAGATTTTGCAAGTGGGAGATTCTTGGCCCTGCATATCTCACCTCTGGTTTTAGGCAGCATGCCTATTATTTAATAGGTCGTGTTAATTGAGCACTTAGAAATTAAAGCAGTGCCTAAATTGCCAGATTTCGAAGTCTCAGGTGTGTATGCTTTGAGATTTTATTTTCTTTGTAACACTTTAAAATTTCTTCTCTTTTTCCTTAATGCCTTTTATATTTTTTAAAATTGTCGTAGTGGGAATTTCCTAAAGATTTCTTCCCAATACCTTGCTTTTATTTAAATTTCAAGATATTGAGGTTGGGGCTTAGTGGTAGAGTGCTTGCCTAGCATGTATGAAGCACTGGGTTCGATTCTCAACAACACATATAAATAAAGGTACTGGAGCTCAGAGAGCCTACATTATTGGGTTTGCTTTTAGGCAGATAAAAACATGAATTTAAGCCAGACATGGTGGACGCCTGCAATTCCAGCTACTCAGGAGGCCTAGGCAGGAGATGACAAGTTTGAGGCCAGCCTACACAACTTTGACATTGCTTCAGAGTAAAATTTAAAAGAAGAGCAGGGGATGGTCAGATGTGGCCCACGCCTGTGGTCCCTTCGGCTCGAGAGGCTGAGGCAGTGAGGTCACAGGGTCAAAGCCAGCCTCAGCAACTTCGCAAGGCACAAAGCAACTCAGCATGACCTTGTCTTAAAAGGCCAGGATGTGGCTTAGTGATTAAGCACCTTTGGGTTTAATCCCTGGTACCAAAAATAAATAAATATATAAACAAGCAAGTGTGGGGATGCAGCTTGGTGTGCATGCTTGTCCACTGTCCGTGAGGCCCTGGGTTCAATCCCTATACCATTAAAAAATACCATCCCACAACTCTGGGGACGTGAACCTAAGGGGCAGCCTGCTGTCAGTGTGGGGACTGTTTTCTTGTGCCCAGACCCTCCACACACTGCTTTCAGTATCTGCTTGCCAAGACCTGGAGTGCGTGGACAAGGCAGCTAGGAATGGCCAGGTGTTGACAGGGCAGCCGTGTGTCACACTGGTGTGCATGCTGAAAACTGCCCAGCCTTCATCGCGTAACTCTGCTCTGAATTCACTGATCATGACCTTGTGGTTAGATGTAGAGATTTTAGACTAAACGTACTTCTTTTCTCCATTACAGTTCCAAGTTTTTCGGTCTGCTTTGTCTAATGGAACACATCGATGTCACCTTGAAGTGGTACAAGGACCTGGTACCTTCAGTAAGATGGCTTATCACTGTCCTGTCCTTGCAGATGGACCTGTGGGTGTCTCCACTGATCAGTGCTTTAAAATTGTATCTGTGTTCCTCTTCATTAGGTCTTCTTTCCCCATTCCCAAGTGCTGATAGGTCTTCTACAAGCATTGGATGTGGCCAATCGGCTAGAAGTGATTCCTCAGATTTGGAAAGGTCAGTGTTGGCTTTGTGTCGAGGCCGTTCCTACTTCAGTGGCCTGTGTTTTGATTGAGATGCTAACATTATTGTTAGGGATAGAAACTTCCATTTTGGCTGAATCGAAAACATTCCTTGATGTCTGTTTCGAGGTCACCTGCTATGTTTCGTATCGTTTAAGGAAAGTGCACCTGTGTTGAGTAGCCTATGTTCATCCCCTGGTGAGGGGAGCAGGCCCAGGCTTGTGTCACTGTTTTACTGTGACCTGGTGAGGGCCGTGCTCTTCCCAGGCCGACTCTAAGTCCATGCCTGTCACTCTGGCTCCTCTGCGTCCCTGTCTCTCAGCCGTGGGTGTGAGCCTGATCTCCTCCCGTGCAAGTCAGCGGCAGGCTGAGACTGGGATATCCGTCCCTCTGCCTTGGGCGAGCACCATGTTAGTATGAAGCCGGTTTTTCTCTACCTTGGTTTTATGTGAGAAGCCGCGGCCGCAGTCCTGCTCTGCTCCGCTCCTTCACTATGTCTGGGGGAGCCCTGGAGGTCCCCGGTGCTGTGGGACAGCGGCTCATGAGGTGCTGGTGGCACCAGGAGGGCATGGTTGCTGTGCTGAGCACTGGCTGAGACGTGGGGTTTGGCCCTCACTGCTCCTCTGGGGGCCACTCTGGTCTCTGGGACTCTAGGGGCCACTCTAGGACTCTGGGGTCACTCTGGTCTTCTGGGACTCTGGGGCCCACTCTGGTATTCTGGGACTCTGGGGCCCACTCTGGTATTCTGGGACTCTGGGGTCACTCTGGTCTTCTGGGACTTTGGGGCCACTCTTGTCTTGGGCCACTCCGAGGTCACTCTGGGATTCTGGGGGCCACTCTGATCTTCTGGGACTCTGGAGGCCACTCTGGTCTTCTGGGACTCTGGGGTCATTCTGGTTTTCTGGGACTCTGGGGTAAACCTGGAATAGGTGATGTCAGCAGCTTATTGTTTTTACCCCCACAGGATAAAAGTGGGAGCTGAAGGGGACAAAGGCCAGCCAGAAGCTGCTTGGGTGGTCACTCTCATGTTTCTTTCTGTTTTTAAGACAGTAAAGAATATGGCCACACTTACCGCAGCAACCTGAGAGAGGAGATCCTGATGCTCATGGCAAGGGATAAGCACCCTGCGGAGGTAAGTGGGAGTCAGCTGCAGCTTCGTCACCCTTACAGTACACGGGCACCAGCCGCCTTGACCTCTTTGCTGAGGTCCCTTGGGAGTGTTCTGCCACCCAAACCCAGGTTTGGGTTAAGATGCATGTAAATATACTGCTGTTAGTAGAGTCCCTTCCTGAAGTCACTGTCCCCTCTGGCCTATAGCATACAGTGGGGGTGTCTTGTCCATCAGTGTCCTGACAGTGAACAGCAGCCTGCTTTAGAGAGAGAATGCATGGTGGACTTTGAGCAATATGGCTGATCAAATGATTGAGGACAGGCTCTTTATCTTTTTACTGTCACTTCTTATGTGCCGTTCATGCAGTAAGGTCAGCTGATAGAACACATGGCTCAGAGACCTTTGGTGGTTCTCTGCTTTTCCTGAACTTAAATTCCCCGGGGGACCAGGTGGGCATTTCTGCTGACTCTCAGCCTTTCAGCTCCAGGCGGCATTTGCTGACTGCGCTGCCGACATCAGATCCACCTATGAGAGCCAGGAAGCCAGGCAGACTGCTCCCGACTGGCCCGCCACTCCCCTCAACTGTGTGGCCATCCTCCTTTTACGGGCCAGGAGGACCCAGGAAGCCTGGTGAGTACCCAGCCTCAGGCGAGTGTGAAGAACACTTATCCTACCAGGCCAAACCAGAATGCGGGAGTTTGGGATGGGAACTTAGAGGTTCCAGGTTAAAAATCAGAGTTTTGGAACACCAACATGCACGGTGAATATTCGAGAAGAGGGCATGGTTCAGATGGGCCAAGAACTCTCTTTCCTACCTGGCTTTTCTGCTTTCTGGGTCTGTGGGCTTGGAAATGGAAAAAAGTGGTCAGATACATTCATTTTGGAAAATGCCTTGGTCACTTGGGTTATTGACATATTACCTGCAAGCACTTTGCCTGCACTGTCCTCTACCTCAGCATGTGGGCTGTATGTGGGACTGGTGGGAAGGCATGTGCTGCGTGCCCTGGCCGTGTGTTTGTCAGCACCGCCTCATGCTGGCTCAGTGTCCAATGGTGTCCCTTCCTTCAGTAACAGGAAAGTCGGCAGAAGGCTCCACGTAGGGTAGCTACAGGCAGGCAGAGCTGCCAAGTTTGTGTTGGGTTCAGAGGTGGTCAGTTCTCAGGTTCAGGAAGCAAGGGTGGCCCCTGTGCCTGCCTCCTGACTTGAACATGGAACCGCCATTCCAGAGTATGGTGGTTACCTGTGTGACTCAGATGGGTGGCTTCTCTGCCACACGCCTGTCTCTGGGGATGGAGACGTGCGTTTCCTATGTTGGCTGGTGCGGCAAGCTGCAGGCTGTGATGATTGGCGCAGGGGTACGGACCTCAGCTGAGTCATGGGAGCTGAGTGTGTGTGTCTGCCTCCATCCTGCACGTGGCAGGCTGGTGGCGGCACCTACACGAGACCGCGCGATCTGAGCCTGCTCTGCACCACCCTGGAGGAAAGCTGTTCTCTGCAGAAGGACGTGGCACCAGCAGTTTCTGACACCGGTCACGTCCGGACCTCCTGAGGAACTGACCATGTGGAGTGTGGGTTGGGGCGGTTCTGAAAGATGGGCAGGGCAGGCGCTGGCCCTCTGCCTCCTGCTGCTCTGCTGGTCACAGTGTCTGGTCTCTTTTTGCACAGGAGGATGCTGGGGCTTTTCAGGAAACACAATAAGATCCCTAGGTGAGTGGACGGGCAGGCCTGGCTGACCTGAGCTAGAGCCAGCCATGCGGGCTTGGCTGGGGCCAGTCGTGGGGCCCACAATTTGGGCGCTGGGCACGTGGAGGGCGTGACCCTGGAGGGCGCTGCGCCTTCATGCCTCAGAAGGCCTCCATCCCTGAGTTCAGTCCCTAGCACTACAGGGTCAGCGGTCATGTGCGTGTCTTGTTTGCCTTCATAGAAACGAGCTGCTGCGTGAGTTCATGGACAGTGCGAAAGAGTCCAGCAGCCCTGCCCAGGCCCTCGAGGTCGTGAGGCTGGCGAGTGCCTTCAGCCTGCCCATCTGTGAGGAGCTCACCCAGAGGGTGATGGCAGACTTTGCAATCAGCGCAGAACAGAAGTGAGTGGGGCCTGAGGGAGCAGCCCTTCTCCTCTGCGTGGAGAGGGCACAGCTCCCTCTTTCCTGAGGTCAGGGAGGCCTGCAGGCAGGACTGGGCTTCTCCTACCCCGTGGTGTGCACTGAGGGGCAACTGCAGGTGCCTGCTGACTGGGACCGTGGAATCCACCGGGCGCCGGTCACAGGTGCACTGCAGCAGCACCTCGCCTCTCCCCACAGGGAAGCCCTGGGCCGCCTGGCTGCTCTGAGCAGCGACAGCGACGGTGACAGCAGTGACAGTGACAGCAGCGACGGGGACAGCAGTGATGGTGACAGTAGCAAGGGCAGGTGAAAGTGAGGTGGCCTTGGCCACGCTGCCAGAGCGTTCACAGTGGCCCGAGGAAGCAGGATGTGGACGTGCGGCGCGGTTGACATGCTGCTGCGCTGGCTGAAGGAGTGACCCCCAGCTGCCACCCTCCCAGCTCCCTCAATGCCAAACCTGACTCCTGTGCTCCGGATGCTGGGACTTCCTGGGTCTCGGGGATAGTCTGGAGCTTCGCATGCAGTACATCACGTCATTTTGGCTTCGTTAACCTGGAAATGACCATTTTAGGTTGTGCAGTGGTGTGCATATCTGTCATCCCAGCTGCTGGGGAGACTGAGGCGGGAAGAGTGGGTCGAGCACCCCTGGGTTCAGTCCCCCAGCACGAGGGCAGGCAAGTGGGGGGGGGGGCAAAGTAAACCCAGCGATTGGTATGCGTGTCTTGTGTGTGTGTCCTTTAAAAAACCCACGACAACTTTCGCCATAGGCTGCCCACTGGAGCAAGCCGGGCTGGGAGCGGGGCTCGTGGTGGAGCCCAGGGCTGTCCCCAGCACCACAGAGGACGGTGTCTCGGCTCTCCTGTTCACTGGCCTGTGTGCTGCACTTACAGTTTGAGCGCAGGCCCGTCAGGGCAGGTGGTGCCCTCTTGAAGGGGTTGGTGCTGCTTGTTGGGCTGCTCAGGAGCAACTGCCCCACCAGGACTTCCTCCCTCACAAGCTGCTCTGGGTGTGTGCCCCATGCGCTGCCCTGGACCTGTGCAGTGTCTGTCCTATGACACAGCCACCCTGCCATCCTCCCTAGGCCAGGACCCACACATCCTGAGAACCTGGTTCCCGTTTCCCCTGGAAGCGTCTTAATGGAGCACACAGGGTCGGCATTCCAGTGTGGTAATCACTTAGAAGTGGACTGGGGACGGGCAGAAGGCGTGGTGCTGAGTGGGACCTAAGGGAGAGGCTGGTGGCCTGGAAGCCTGCCAGCAGGACTAGCCCTCATCTGGCTCCTTGGCACCTGTGGGTGGCCAGCTGGCAGTGTGCCAGGGTCCTTGGCTGTGTGGCCTGCCTTTCTGGTGGCTCTCCATCTGCTCTGCAGCCCAGCTTCACGCTGCTCTCCTGAAAGGCACTTGTTTTAAAATAAGGGCGTCTTAGTGCTACAGGACCCCCCCCCCTTTTTTTTTTATGATTTTTTAGTTGTTGATGGACAAAGTACCTTTATTTTATGTGGTGATGAGGGTCGAGCCCAGGCCCTCACACGGGGACAAGCACTCCACTGCTAAACCCCAACCGAAGCCCCAGACCCCTCCTCTTCAAAGACCCACTCCAGCGGAACAGGACCACAAACATTCCTCAGCTGACCCTTACCTAAGGAGAGTTTTGTGTTTACAAGTTTAGACATATGGAGGAGAATTTTAAGCTGTGATTCAGATCCAGCTAGAACCAGACTTGAGTTCAGAAAAATCTCAGTATTTAAAGGAGATAAACTACGCTGCTCTTGGTGGGTGACCACAGAGCTGAGGGGCACATAAGCAGCCATGGCAAAACCCAGCAAGCCTTCAGCCTTTCCTAAAGCTGGGACAGGCACAGAGAAGCAGCTTCTGCAGGAGCAGCAAGTGAATCCAGAGGAAGAGAGCCAAGGGGGGCAAGGCTTCCCTGGATGGGAGGGAGGGGTGGGGTCTGAGGAGGGAGTGGGCCTTGGCGCTACCTCAGAAGGACACCATCAGTGGGTGCGAGCTAGGAACTTGCGGGTGCCTGGCTCAGTAGGACATTTTGAGGACTGCTATCTTACCACATCTCTCAGTGTGCAGGCAGGAGATCCCAATGGTAGTAAAAGCCAACTCCAGTCAGCCCTGGAGTCCTAGTAAGTGCTGAACGTCACCCTTGGCAGAAGATTCACTGATCGCAGCCACTGTACAGACACTACCATGTATGAGGCCAGGAAAAGTGAGTGTAGGGCCCAGGCTGTGTGCCCATGTTCTGCACAGGACAGTTGTCCTACAGGACCTGAACTCGGCTTTGGTGGGGATGACCAGACCCTCAGTGGAGGAGGAAGGCGTGGTGCTGAGTGGGACCTAAGGGAGAGAGGCTGGTGGCCTCCACGTCCCTCATGGGCAGTTGGGAGGTGCCTGTGATGTTCCACTGCAGCAGAGATGAGCACACAGGGATCTACTTGTGTAGGGCCACAAGGTTGAAATCTCAACAACTTGTGGTCGTGATCAGTGGGATCTAGGAGCCTAGGTGGGCAGGGCCATCTCAGACTTTGTGCAAGGGAAAGGTATATTGGCTGGTGTCCAGCCACATGCTAGGACATGGAATAGTCAAAGGAATAGTACCCAAGGTCTGTGCAGCAAGCACCTACAGCCTGCTGGTTCACGGTGGAGTCCATCACAAAGTGCTGTCCAGCTGGACCTGCCCAGCTGTGGACACTACTGAGGAAGTACTGCTAGGGGTCAAGCCCAGGAATGCTTTCCAGAGCTCAGCAAAATTCAGGATTTTTACAGATGAATGTCCAAGAGCAGTAAATTTCAAACTTCACCACTGGTACCAATGGAGTCTTGCCACTCTTCCAAAACCAACACACTGGGCAGGGTGGCACGTGCCTATAATCCCAGTGACTCAGGAGACCGGAAAGTCATCCCCAGCAATTCAGCAAGACCCTGTTCTCAGTAAGGGACGTGGATACAGCCCAGTGGAATCCCTGGGCTCATTCCCCAGTACAACCCCAAGAAATTCCCCCCCCCCCCCAGAAAGCTAGAGGAGCCAGCACCCCTCACACACTGGCAGGGGACCCCCTTTTCTCCATGTCTAGATCCATCAAGCAGAAGGAAGCACAGACCTGTGGTCAGGTGAAGGGTGACCCCTGGACCTGGGAAGATAAGTGGCCTGTGGTTTTCCTTTGTGTTAACTCAATGTTCTTGTTGTACATCCTTTGGGGCTTGGAGACTATTCTCTCCAGAACCATTTAGAGAAAGCAGAGGGTGTAAGTCAAGGAATACAGAAGTAGTTTTTAAAAAGCCTAAAGTTACACATTCCTCTAAATCACTGGTTCAGAGGCCTGAGTGACTTTCAGTGTTAAGTTGGGAAGTTTGCATTGAGAAGTATTCACACCATCCTGCACCAGTCAGGCCCAGGGCAGCAGCAGATCAGATTGGGGCTGAGGCACATGGGCAGAGTGGGAGTTTCCTCTGAGTGGCCTTCAGCTAGCAGTGACACCAGCAGTTCAGACTGCGGTAGTGCAGCCAACCTGTATGCCCAGCCCTGCCCAGGCCAAGCAGCCTCCTCTTCTCAGCCACACCTACCTCCTACCTCAGCTGGGGTGGTGGGGAGCTGAGACTGAAGTCAGTGGTTTTATGTGGAGATCCAGCCTCACTCCTCAGTGCTGCCTGCTTCTGGTCAGCTCAGATAAATACACCTGAAGGCCATTCTTCGGGGCTCCAAGAAAATTCCTTACAACCCATATTTCCCCGAGTAAAGTAGAAATTTCAAGAACTTTTGATGTGACAGGTAAGCTGAACTTTGCAAATGGATGCACTTACAGTTCTGTGCCACTCCATAGGGTCCAGAAAACAGCTTGGAAGGCCTTCACCCGCAAAGGGCCTGCCACAAAGCCAGGTGTCCCAGTCCAAGACTGGATGTGTTTTGAATTAAGAATATAAGGAATATTTTGGATGGAACATAAGGAATGTTAACATCAGTCTAGGCCTATTTATCCCAAAATCAAAGACGAGGTCAATGCTACTCATAGAGCTGGATCTACTTAAGTTCAAGGGCTGGTGAACACCAGCAGAAATATAAGAAGCACCTCACCATAATTTGCAGATTGTTAAGCAGATAAAAATGCCTCCTTGGTAAGTTTATGAACATATAAACCCCAATAAAAAATGGCAATTTAGGGAAAAAAACTGGCAATATTTTTATGTAGTAGTGTTAGTCTTCAGGGAGTGAAAGCCCAGCGGTAGGAAAATAGGCTTGGTTATCCAACATGGCCATCACCCCCATCTTTAACAAGGGGAAACAAAGTCCTCTGGGTCCTAGGGTGATCCAAGTAAAACCTAAAATTATTCAATCCCTTTGCTAAGACTCCAGGCTCACTACCCCTACCCCGGACAATAGCACAGCCTGGGCAATAGCGTAGGACAGAAGCAGGGGTTGGAGGGCTGTTCTGTGAGGCTGCACAGCAGTGGGGGCACAGTGTCCCATGTGGAATGACTTCCTCCTCCTGCGGGTGGCAAGCAGCATCACAACAAAGATGGGTCCCCAATTATAAACACACAGGCACCTGGCACATACATCCCTCCTTCAAGTTGGACCAGCAGCAATTGCTTTACTAAAACTTCAAAGCCAAGAAAAGCAAGACTTTGTCTTCTGGTGACCCTAGCCCACAGCCTGGACACTGGGACCAGGGTTCCCAGGTCTGGCTGCTGTTGAGGAGTGTTCTCTGCACACAATAACTAGCAGTGGCACTTTTAAAAAGTGACCAGAGGCTTGGTTTCCACTGTGTCGTTTTATTCAGTTTGCTCCAAGGGCAGAATCAATAGTGGGGATCACAAACATCATTGGACTGGCTCACGAGCCTCATCAGTAACACCTGAGAAGCAGGACACGTTACACAAGTTGCAAAGAGGGCACCCTGGAGTTCAGTGACATGATAGCAGGTGGACCGAGGGTAGATGCAACAGGTGTGGACACACACAGGATCGGAACCTGGTTTCTAGACAATTCTGGGACCCTTGCTGCAAACCCTTCTTGTAGCGCTGCTGTCTCCGACGTGAGCGGCGACGCTGCCCACTCCCCAGGCCTCACTCTGGCTGTACCTGAGTGGTCCCTATGCCCACGGCACTGGCATACGCTGTCAGGATCTCTACTATCTGCTTCGTCTCTAGCGTCATCCGGGCCTCCTTCAGCCAGTCCTGGGCCACTCGTCGGGACTCCCCCTTCAGCTGGTTGACAAACTTGGCCGCCAGTTCCAGGTCACCGTGCTCGATGCAGTAGGAGGCGTATGAGAGTAGTTTAAAGGTGCTCATGTCCTCGGGGTAGAGCTCTGCTGGCGGCTTCAGCTGCTGAGGTGGGAACAGGAGCAGCGACTGCAGGTAGGACAGGAAGTACTGGTATAAGCTGTTTCTGGTTTCGTCAATCATGGCTACCCTGCGGGCTTGTTTCTGAACAGCGTAGAAACGGGCCCTCAGGGTCTCTTCACTGTAGACCCCTCTGGTCAGGGACTCTGGAGGGATGGCCGCAGTTAAGGCTTGGGCAAATTCACTGTCAGAGCAGTTGGCTCTTATGGCCTCCACCGCAGCGCCCAGCGGGACGGTGGGCGTGTCTGCGGACGAGGTCTTCATGCTGTACTTCAGTGCCTCCACGGAAAGCCAGAGCTGGTGGGCCTTTCTGGCTTCTTCTTCAGCAACTGCGTGGCCTGCAAAGGAAGAGAGGCAAAGTCTTTTCTTGATGCACTCAACAGCAGGCCCATCCCTGAGGGCAGCAGAGGCCCCAGGGCCTCTCAGGAAAGGCAGCTGGCTCAGCACAATTCCACAAGGATGGCTGCTGGAGTCATGGAGAGACCAGGGGACTGTGTGTAGCAAAGCCCTGACTCTTCCCCTCTCCCCCAGGCCCCAGGAAAGAGCATGGTCAAACTGCACACGCATTACTCACTCGTGGGCTAAGTCAGATATTCTGTGTTTAGTACTTGAAAAGCAACATGGTACTATTAAGATAAGATTCATTTTAAGGTCACCAGAAATTGTGCTGCAAAAAACATGGAATACTTCCGGCCTGTCATCCCAGCCATTTGGGAGACTGAGGCAGGAGGATCCCAAGTTCAAGGCAACCTGGGCTTTTAGGGAAATCATGCCTCCAAATAAAAAATAAAACAGGCTAGGGGTGGAGGTCAGGGGGTGGAGCACCCCAGGTTCAACCCCCAATACTGGGGGCAGAACAGGGAGGAAGACTTCCCAATGAACTCACAAGACAGGATTGGATTTTGAAAACTGTGCTTTTTTGTTTTTTAATATGGCAAAATGAGATTCTATTATATCCCAAAAAAATGTATTTCACAGGACTCTCGTCATCAGCATGTGTCCCTTGGAATGTGACATGAGGCCTCAGCATAACTCCTATCCACTTAAGAGGGGTTACTTAGCACATCACCTCCAGAAAACCCTCCAGTGCCCAGGGAGGAGAGCAGGTCCTCCCTGGCCTTCACCACCAAGTACCAGACACACAAGCAAGACTATGGGGTGACCGGCCTGAAAACTATCTCATGTCTGTAGTACAGATCATTCAGAGTTGGTCTTTAGCACCCTCTTATCTGATTTCCTCTTAGACACCTGTTAAACGCTTCTCAAATCTGGGGCCAATGTCCCAGGAAATAAGTGAAATGCAGGAGAGCGACTTTAGAGCCAGCATGCTGCCCGTGACGCGAGACCCCCAGGGAGCCGCACTGAGATGAAGCGGCGAGGAGGCAGGGACTTGCTCACTCTGCACAGCCTGCTCGATTCCTCTCAGTCTAGCATAGGCCGTATTGATATCCAGGGTGAAGTTGTCAACTTGCTCTTGACTGAGGCGACGGAACTCTAACTCTTGTTCCGAGAGTTTCTCAGACAGGTCCTGAAATGAAGCACAAGTGGTTGGAGAAGAGCCCCACTGCCCCAGAAGGGGCCTTCCGTCCCACCACGGTGGCCCGCACCCCAGGAGCAGGCTCAGACGTGGCGCATCGTCCTCTCTGGTTTTCTCATGGGACTTACTATTCAAGCTAGAAACTAACTGCCAACTGCAAAAGTCAGCCACTGTGTTGCAGGTAACACTGAGATCGTCTTCTAACCCTCTACTGAAGAGATTAGCCCTTCATGTTTCTCTGAAGAAAAAACCCAAATGGAACTTAAAATATCTTGTCACAAATTCCAATTTCCTAGCTTTCCTTACTTAGAAAGCCTCACTCCTTAGAAGATGGACCTGCTCACGCTCCTGCAGATGCCAGGTGGGGAGGAGCGAGCTGGGATTAGAGGCATCGGACACTCTGCTGTGGCCTCCATGTCTCGTCTCTCTGGGAAGCTCTTGGTCATCAGTTTGAGCACAAGCACACACTTGAAGTCCATGGAGAGGAGGCAGGAAGGGCAGCCTCGCACGACGAGGCGCACCCCAGAACCCTTCGACCACCCCACACACAGACCCCGTGATTAGAGTGATAGTTCTGCAGATACACACAGGCCCCACAAGGCCAGGTGACACCATCGGAACCCTAGAGGGGAGAGAAGGGTGGTGCGGCTCAGTGGCAGAGCACCCGCGCAGCATGGAACAGGCCTGGGTCCATCCCGGCACCACACAGGAGGAAGAGGCCGTGGGGCAGCTGAGCTTCACCAAGGGGCCTCACCTGCTCAAACTCAAACTTGAGCTCTTGTTCTTGCACCCTGAGGACATCTCGTAAGTGGTCAGTGTGCGCGGCCGCCTGGCGGCGGAGTTGGGTCCTCATCTCATTCTCCATAGCATCTCTGACTTCCTCCACCTGTGAGGACAAACGCGACAATGATTAGTTCTCAGTTTTCCACAGAAGGAGAAGCAGAAGACCGGGTGACCATGGTGACAGCGGCTGTGTGCTGACCCCCTACCAGGCCCACGCACACACTCTCATTCCCTGGCTCCAGGACTCCAGGCTGAACCTGCCAACAGCGCGAGCAAGGCCTCACAGCTGGTTGATATCAAGAGTCTAGGTGGGGTCCATGTGGCCTGGAGACTTGTGCTTCCCTCACATACCAGGCTGCCCCCATGAAAACAGAAAACACATACACACAAACAAAAAGCTGTTTCCCGAATCACGACACCCTGACAAGCAAGGGACTGCAGAACTCTGGACTCAGGGGACACTTCAGGCCTCCACTTTATCAGTGGTGAATAATGAGATAACTAGTATCTTCCAAGTAATTTCTTCTTCTTTTTGTTGAGGGGTGTGTGCTGGGAATGGAACACAGGGCTTCATGCTAGCTAAGCAAGCACTGTACCACTGAGCCACACTGCCAGCCCCGCCAAACAATTTCTTCTAATCAAAGGCACTGGGTTAAATTCTCAGCACCACATAAAAATAAATAAACAAAATAAAGGTATAAAAAAATTCAGAATTCAAAAGATTCTTCTGGTACTGCTTTAGGGACAGACTGCTGAGAAAGATGAACTAGATCATCCTGGATCTAAGCAGTGCTCTCCAACAGCTTATTTTCAAATGAATTTAGACTTAACATGGGCCACATCAAACCAAAAATATGAGAAGCCAAGCAGGTCTTGCCTAACAATTAGCCATGAGTCACATTACAAGCCACTGAGCACTGAGGACCTTGAATTCAGGGCTCTTTTCTGAGGCACAGGATATGAAACCCAAGAGCCCACTCCAGCGTCTGCAGTACCAGCAGTGGTGGACACCGAGGCACTGGTGTTTAGGCAGGCACACTTCTCACCCACGCCCCCCCTAGCCCAGGAACACCCCACCCAGGCAGCCCTCTCCAGGTGTGGCTCTGGGCAGGAGTGGTCATCAGCAGCTCCCACCTCCTCCTACTCAGCAGGGACACACACAGGGTGGAAGGGCAGAAACCCAGAACTGTGCTGTCCACTGAAGGCCAGGAGGGCCTCGCTGTGGAGACCACATCCAAGTTCAGAGCTAAGGCTGAAAGATGCGGCAGGTGAAGAGCAGGAAGATTGAGGGAAAGGAATATGCCGGCAGAGAGCTCAGCAGAGAGGTGCAGGGCAGGATGCCTTGTGGCCAGAGGGGGTGACCCAGAGCCCTCACAGAACGGCTGGCCAGGACTCTGAACTCCTGGACTTGGAGTTGGAGGTGAGGCTCAGAGGGAGGGTGCTTGCCTACCACGCACAGGGGCTAGTTCTGATCCTAGAACCACAAGAAGAATCTGGATTTGACATTAATGGAGGGGTGTTCAGCAGTGTGGTGCCGACTGGTGTTTCCTAAGGGCTAGCTGCCTGTGTAAGTAGATGTGAAACAGGTACAAAAACCGATGGTCACCTGGACAAAGGGGGAGGTGATGGAAGCCAAGTGGACCGGTCTGGGGTCTACTCTGGATGAAGACCTGGCATGGACTGGACGTGGGGCAGTGGGAGAATAACCATGCAGGGCTCTGGCTCAAACAGGGTAGGTGGTGACTCATTTAGAGAGAAGCAAGCCAAGGAGCTGGGAAGCAGGTGCTCTGACTATGGAGCAGGCTGCTGGCTGGGAGCGGGTTGTCTGATATATATGGCATTTAGCCTCCCGCCACAGGAGGAGAGCAAGCGCTGGAGGCAGCAAGTGGAGACAGGCTCCACAATGTGCCAGCAGTAGGTAGAGGCCGCGCACAGGAGGCCAACTGGGCCAGCGAGGGGGAGAAAGGCCAGGAAGGGCAGGCTCTACAGCTTGAGAAGAGCAGGCTTCAAAGGGAGGATGAGCTACCGTGCTTATCAACCAGAAGGATAGCTCAGGAGCTGCTGCCTTCATTGGTAACTACCACCCCTCGCTAACAATACGGCAGAAACACACGCAGGGCTGGCTGGGCGTGGATACAGAGCGCTTAACTAGCACGTGTGACGCACTGGGTTCACTTCTCAGCTCCGCATAAAAATAAATAAAATAAAGGCCTAAAAAAAATATTCAGAATTCAACCAATTCTTCTGGTAATGCTTTAGGGACAGACTGCTGCGAGAGATGAACCAGGTCATCCTGGATCCAAGCAGCTTATCAGCACTCACACTTCCGTATCTGTTCAACCTATAGGAACTCCACTAGGTCAGTCCTTCCCGGAAGTACTGACCAGGAGAACAAGGGCTGAAGCGCCACTGTGAAGACGGACAGGTGCAGCTCCTGTCTGGACCTGCCCATCTGGACCTGGGCGGAGCTACCTGCAGAGCAGGGTCTGGCTGGACGCCCTAATTATTACTTGTCAAGCAGTGAGTCTCAGACTCTACCTTTCGGTCCTGCTCAGCCTGCACTTCGCTTCGGTGATGCTCTAATGCCTTTGCTACTGCAGAATCAAACGCCCGCTTTTCTTCCAGCTTCTGTTTCTCCAAGGCCAACGCGATATGCTGCTTCTCTGTGGCCTTCTGCTCTGCTAGCTCTCTGTTCAGCTGGTCAATGCGACGGTGTGCATGCGCAATCAGAGAGTTCAGGTCATCGGTAGACAGCTTGTCAGCTAAACAGATAACCACATCAAGGTGATGATTCCACCAACACTATACATCACTGCAAGGGCATTTGCTTCATTTGACTATGATTTTACAGCTGTAAGGAAAGATAAAATGTAGCTAGTGTGAAGAGATTTAAAGTCTCCTGATCAGAAACTGACAGCCAGCATCCAACAACTGGTGTCTGTCAATTGCAAAAAGAACTCAGGTGAGCCTTAGGTGTGCCTGACCAGCTCTTTTCCAGAACCCAGAGTAGCTCTTCAAACCTGAACCAACTTAAGTCAGCTTTCCAATTTACTATCATTTTGCTTCTAAACCTAAAGTTTGCCAGGTGTGATGGCAAATCCCTGCAAACCCCATGACTTGGGAAACTGAGACAGGAGGACGGCAAGTTTGAGACCAGCCTGGCAGCATAGCAAGACCCTGTCTCAAGATAAAAAATAAAAAGACATGGAGGGGGATGCTAAGCAGGGACAGCTAAGTGACAGAGTGCTCCTGGGTTCCATCCCCAGTACCAAGAAATAAAGCTCATACATACTAACACTTCTACACCTTCTTTCACACATAACTAGTACTGGTCCCAACAGCCATCCAAATAAAGACTGTGTTCTACAAAACCCAAATCAAACTGAAATTCTCTCACTCTTGCCTAACAACAGTTAGTTCCTTGTCCTCAACACAATTTATCTAAGACAATAATCTGCAACCAGAGCTGTTCACAGAAGCACTTGTGGAGTTTTTAAAAATATTCACACCTAAACATTCTCATTTGGACTTAAATCCATATAGTACTGGGATTTTTATAGTTTTTTTTGTTTGTTTGTTTTTCTTTTTCAATTTCACACTCCACGATGATGCCAAAATATGCCACAGGTCAAGAACTATGACTCCAACAATGAAATACAAAATGTAGGGGAGTCTCTATGACAAATGACCCAGTAATAGGTAAGCTGAGAAGCAACAGAGCCTAAGGGACCTACTGAGTGAATCCAGTGGGTGGCCCTCCTCTGGACAGAGACATGAATAAACTGTAAACATGCACCACATGAGGCCACTGGGCCAGTGGGGAGAGGTCTGATGACAGGATGGGATCAAGTGTCAGCAAGACAGTGTCACAGTGACTGTGCTTTCAGAAACATACTAGGAGCACTTACAAGTGCAAGGACGTGAGCTGGGGGAGATGTGGCACAGGAGACCAGGCTGGCCCGGGGCTGACGACTGCCAAGGGCGAGTCATGGGTCTGGGGAGTTCACGGTGCCTGTCTCCCTGCTTTCAAGCGTTTGGAATTCTCCAAAACAACAGCTAAACATAAGAAAACACACACACGCCCTCACATCTACAGCTCCCAATCATTTGGAACACGTTTGTTCCTGAGAAAAAATGGTTGCCAAAATTACCCAATTCAGACTTATCACATGTAACAATTCTACTTGATATTAATTAGATGGCTTAGAATAATAGTTACAATCAAAAGACGTGAGTTTTTAAGACTCAAAATAAATTCCTTTAAACATTGGGGCTGGGGTTGTGGCTCAGCGGTAGAGCGCTTGCCTAGCACGAGCAAGGCACTGGGTTTAATCCTCAGCACCACATAAAATGGTATAATAAATAAAAGTTTAAATAAACATAAAATACACATTATTACTCACCTAGGTCAGAAATACCTACAAAGAAAAAGAAGAACCATTTAAAAAAAAGAAATGTACATACTTTGCTTACTGATCATTGAACAAGAACATCCAAAAGGGACAAGAAAGAACAAGAAATTTACACAAGGAAAAGGTATTTTAACATTGGGATGCAAAATAATAGTTTATTTCATAAAATTTAAAGGGACTTTAAAACAACACATATCAAGGTAAACTGTAATATTTTAGAAACAAGAGAACCACTGATACTAAAATTAATCTTGGTTTTAAGGGGACTCATTTCTCTTTGACCAAAGTGATCAAGTTATCACAGAAATCCCAGCTTTCCTCCATCCCTCTCATTTGCATTAGTTCAGAGTAAGCCAATAGTCCTGCTTGTTCTCAGAACCAGGCCTGACATTCCAAATACTCAAGAATTGTTTTCTCTCTTTAGAAGTTCTTGAACACTTGCACATTTAACCTGTGCAAAAAAAAAAAAAAAAACTATGGCTGTCCAATTTGAGGGTAAGGAGAAAAAAGAACCTTGTAACCTTGTGAAGTTTGAATGCTGCTCCGCCAGAGGGTGAGCCCCAGGCCAGAGGAGAGCAGCAGAGCTCAGAAAGCCTCTCAGCAGGTGCTTCCTAAAGACCCTGCAGTCCTAAAGTCAACTGCCTCCTCTGTAGGTCAACAAAAGGAACAAGGATCTGCCCAACACTGCAGGAAAGACTGGAGAGGCTCCACAAGGTGAGGGCGAGGCCAGTCTTGAAGTGGCACATACACATGGCTACATGTTCTGTGGTCCACTGCCATGAAGGGGAGGTCCCCTGAATGCTGACAGTCCACCCGGCAACACCCAGCTGCCCCCTCAGTGGCTTCCTCTCCCTACCCCCATAACGTGAGCTCTGAGCCTGGAGCTCCTGGGGCAGGTGCTCTGGTATGAGCCTATCTAGAAGAGACTCAACTTTTTTTTTTTTAAATTTCTTACATATACTCGGCTTTGTTTTTCATGTACTTACAAACTCCATGTCAGCAAAGGACCCTGTCCTCAACGTCTGCACTGGAGAGGGTGCTGAGGCAGATCCGCAGTTCCTGCACAGGCCTGAATCCCCTGCAGCACATGCCGAGCTGAAGCGCTGGGCCAGGGCGTGCATGCCTCGCCTTCCCCAGATGCTGGGAGCCACAATGCAGCCCAAGCTGCTCCCTGTCGTTCCTACCCACTCCACTCAGGGCCTGGGTCACAGAGGAGATGCCTGTGCCACTCTGCCCATAGATCATGGCAGCATCTTTCACCAGGCCTCCTACCCTCATCTCCCTAGTGGTAAGCACATCACTCCTCTTCTCAAGGCCAAAAGGATGCCCCACACTGCCAATACGAATCACTCCAGCAAAGGACAGTGTGGCCAGCAGGCAGCAAAAAAAATCCTGCCTCCACCTCTAACCTGGGCCAGATTACTTGGCCTCCTAGAGTCTCCATTTTCTCCTCTGTAAAATGGAGGTCATAACAACACAGCTCACAGGGCTGCTGTGAGCCATAATGAGCCAATACAGGAGGAGTGCTCAGAACACAGGGCCAGGCACAGAACACTGCTCAACAGTGCTGGCTCCACATGTGTGGCACTGTCCAGTTACAGAGAGCCCAGAAAAAGGAGTGGACATAACGAACACCACCAGGACACTTAAGAACTCAGAGAAATGAGAACACTGAGGGCAAAACAATTGGTAACAAACGTATTGACAGTCATGGTGCAGGCCCTGAGGAGTCCCCGAGGGCCGGGCATGGGGAAGCCATGTACTCTGCAGGGTGCACAAGGATCAGTCACTGACTACCCTCAGAGGAGATGGCATGGCCATGGACAGAAGTGAAAAGCAAAGCACACCAAATGCCATGTGGATCTTTTAATTTTTGTGCCACACATGAATGTGTGTTTTAAAAATTAAAAAATTTTTAATCTTTGATTTACATGACCCAGAGACGGCACTGCAGGGGCCTGACTGTTCTTGAGCCCAGGGCTCCTCCACCCTACAGTACTGACATTCTGGGCCAGACAGCCCTCTAGAGCACCAATGGCCCTCTCCCACCAGAGGCCAGGAACACTCCCGCTGTGTCATCAAAATGTCTGCAGACACTGCCCAATGTCCTCTGGGTGAGGACCATACTTTAATGTCTTCGTGTTTTACTAGACCTTTTCCCCAGCAGCCTGAGCTCTCCAAGGAACAGCCAAATGGTTGGCTTCCTTCTCTAGAGGAACTGGGGCCCAGGGAAATTCTCAACATGGTGCTATTACACAAAGCAGTCACAGGTGTGCTTCAAGCAATTCTTTACAAATACCTTTAAAGGACTAGAGGACTGAATGATCCCAGGGATGCAAAGCATTTTAGTAGAGTCAAGGTTGTACCATCATGGAATTAAACACTGGCTGGCGCTGTTCGCCAGGGGGAAAGCTACAGGAGCAGTGTCAGAGTATGCCACCTGTCACGACTGGTTGAAACAGTGCGCTGTACCAATGACATGTTTCAGAGCAGCATGGAGTCCATGAATGGAGTTGAAGCAGGTGTAGCTGAGCAGTGCTAAAAGTCAAAGGGAGAAAGAAGCGTCCCAACGCATCAATGGTACTTACTCATCCCTTTCCACCCAGGAAGGACCTCTGGAGTGATACTCTCCAGTTCTCGTCTGAAGTCATCCCGGGCTTGGACCACCAACTCATGGTACTGCGACACCACCTTAGCCTCGGACTGAGCAGCCTGGACCTGAACAAGCACCAGGGGTATCACAGGTTAAACTGAGCAACAAGGACCACAGACGTCCCTCAGGCCTGGTTGGGAATGTGCAGGCAACACCCGCAAACCAAAGCTCAGCAAGAGGGAAACAAACCTCTTCTGTCTCCTTCCAATTCCTACTCCAATGCCAGGGATAGGCCCTTTTCCATCTTATTGTTCCCTCTGCCCCCTTTCTCTGGGTCTTGCAACTACTCACATAGATCACCTGAATGCAATCCTAGCCCAAGATCTGCCCCAAGATGGAAGTTTACCTAAGTGACAACAGCTGGAGACCAAAACCACTATTATTATAGAAAGTGTCAATAATACTGAATAATCTACTTCACATTCAAAACAGGTTTCTAAAAACAGTAACAACTAAATGGCACACACCCTGTAATCCCAGCTATCTGGGGTCTGAGGTCAGTCTGGACAATTTAGCATGACCCTGTCTCAAAATAAAAAGGGCCAGGGAGGGCTAGGGATGTGGCTCAAGCAGGCACACTTGCCTGGCATGCGTGCGGCCTGGGTTCGATCCTCAGCACCACATACAAATAAAGATGTTGTGTCCACCAAAAACTAAAAAATAAATTTTAAAAATTCTCTCTCTCTCTCTCAAAAAAAAAAAAAAAAAAAAGGGCCAGGGATATAGCTCAGTGGTAGAGAACGTGCCTAGCCTATTTAAGACCCTGGGTTCAACCCTAGTAACTGAAAAAATAAAATAAAATAGTAACAATAGTCTTTGCAGGGGAAGGGGAGGAGATGATAGAAATCTTTGTTTTCCTGAATTCTTAAAGTATTGATTGAATAACTATATTTAAAAACATAGAACACTGCAAAGACGTAGGAAACCGACCTTCTGGACCACATTGTCCAGACCGACGATCATGTCGCGGAGCTTCCCCTCTGCGGCTGTAATGTGAGGCTTGGCTCCAGCAACCTCTTTTCTCTTTGCATTTTCAATGACACTTTTCATCTTCTCTAACTCCTCTCTGGAAACCAATAAAATAAAACACAGTTTAGTACAACTCCTTATCAACTTTATCAAAGACAACACCATATACATTTGTTAAAAGTCCTAAGAAATATAATTCCAAAAAAAAAAAAAAAAATCACTTGATGCTTTTTATGGTCAATAGGCAGAGAAGCCTTTCTCACCTAGAGCTGAAACCCTCAGCCGAGGTCAGGGCGGCAGAAGACACACTCAGGGCTTTTGTGTTGCAGCAGATAGACTGTTACCCACCTTCTAAATTCTGATGGAACTTCCCAACCATTCCAGCAAAATTTTGAGATTATAGCAGAAGCTCAGGAAATGTGTAGACACACCCCCTAAGCAATAAGCCACAGCAAACCTGCTTTTATGAGATCCTTTGTATCAATTTCTGCCAAATTTATTTCAGCTTAATTATGTTTCATTTTCTCTCTTCTTGAACCTACGTGTTCCTGATTATGCCAGTTCAGATAAGAGCACAGAAGAAGGGAGAAAGATTTCTCTGCCTCCTCTTTATTCCATGCAGAGGGTAGAAAACCTCCAGGAGGCCCTAATTACTTGTCTAAATCCATGAGTAATTACTTGGCTTTGAGAAGGGCATCAGCAGCTTCATCCACGGCCTTCCTGCGCTCCTTCAGGGCGCCTTCCACCGTGCGCCACTGGGCAGACTTCTTTTCACCTGCAACCTGAATAGAAAATGCTGATCACAAAAACATGCCTACGTGCTGGGACCGCCACAGGACAAGCCAAAATGAGCAAATACAGAAGTGTGTGACATGAAATTCAACCGTAAATATTTATATGCCAAGTTTCACCACAGTAAGAGATCAATCTGAGTCTCCTGGTGAGGCATAAGAACTCCACAGCCGCCCACGTCAACTGTTCTTCACAAGATTATGTGTAAACAAACAAGGACACAAGAAGTGTGCAGCCCACTGCATACAACTATTTTCCAAAGAGAGATATTTGCTATTAAAATCTCAAAAGAAAATATGACCCAGACCTTTCCATGAATTGTTCGTGAATTCTAAAATCATTCTTCAATAAAGTGCCAACACTTAACATTCTCTTAACTGCGTAGGTCTGACTACCAGAATCATAGTCTAAGGCATTCTTTAATGTTTTGGAGTAGTGCTGACGGAACTCAGGGTCACTCCACCACTGAGCTGCATACCCAGCCCTTTTTATTTCTTATTTTGACACAGTGTCTTGCTAAGTTTCCCAAGTAGGCCTGGAATTTTTGATCCTCCCATCTCAATCTCCCAAGTAGCTGTGATTACAAGTGTGTGCCACCACACGTCTAGTGAACTGTTACAAGGAAGTGACAAAGCAAATTCAATGTTATGGCGTGAATAATGAAGCTGATGTCTTCAGTGAATCCCCACTTCAGTCATCCTCGAAGTATACCAAGAATGGGTGCGGGGGTGGGCACAGCACTGCTCAGTGATGGAGCACTCGGCCTTGGTTTCCACCCAGCACTAAGAACAAAAGATGCTATGGTGTGGACTGTGCGGCATCTCATAGGGAATAAATTTTCCAAGACTCTAGCATATGCTGTTACCAGGATCTGGTCTTCCTAACCACTAGACAGACTTGTCAAACAGGCCAACGTCCATGGCACGTCTGGGGGCCTCACTGTCTTTCTGACTGAAGGTACTTTTGCTACAGAGGTCCAAGGGGCAGCCACCCCACCACAGCCAGGCAAGTCCAAGTATTCCAAATACAGCTGAGAGAGAGAGAGTGATTTGGAATGTCGTATAGATCCTATGTGCACCTACAGCTTCTTTTACCAGAAGACTTAAATCCATCTTTAATATTTGAAAAAAGTGGTCATACGTTTTCCTAGTTATTTTCTAACATTAGCTAACACTCCCTAATCTTAGTTAAGTGCTATATTCATATGGTGTCCTTGAGTAGTAAAATCTTGATTGTAACAGATTTTTGTGCTGTTAAACATGCACTACACAGTGTCCGTTCACTGGGAAGAGGAAACACTACCCCACATGGCCTTACACCAAAGTGGAAACAGGCATTTAAAGGTCCCAGCTGTTTCTTCTGAAGCACATTCACCCCCTGGGCTGTAACCCAGCTCGACATCATGGAATGTCAAGCTTTCTCACATCTGTATAAACAGCACGTTAAACAACCTGGGCAGTCTCCACTGTGCTAACTGATCAAATTCTGATATTTATATTTTTCCTTGAACTTCAAATAAAATGCAACTTTCTCTTAAGTTTCAAAGGCTGTAGTTTCCAGCAATTATTGTCAGTAGTCTGATTTAACATGCTGGAGGTACATATCACTGAAACAGTGTACACCATGCTTCAGTGTTTAAACACCCACCCAGTCACAGTGCAGTGCAACTTTACATATCATGCATGACCTTTACCCAGGGGTGTTTCAGGAGTTTATTTTGTTTATTTATTTATTTTTTGGGGGGGAGGAGGCGGTGGTACTAGGACTTGAATGTAGAGGCATGTGACCACTGAGCTACAACCCATCCTTTTTTATTTTTTACTTTGAGACAGAGTTGCATTAAAATGCTGAGGCTGGCCTCAATCTTGTGACCCTCCTGCCTCAGTCTCCTGAGACACTAGGATTACAGGTATGTGCCACTGTGGGAGGCCGTTGTGCTATGTGACCGGCAATTTCCTTTCCTGATTGGTGAGGCTCTGTCGGTCACTTCCTGTGATCTGGTCACATCAAAGTGGCTGTAGACGGTGGCCTCGATCTTGAAAGTCGTAAAAATGTAACAAAATGTGTCTTCATGCATAGGTGTGCCTTCTTGTAGCCCCATGGGTCGAGTTACGCTCACCTGTTCCTTTGTGATATTACCCCTTTGCCCTGTTTGGGATAGAATGTTCCATGGAAACGCCCTTTGTGGGTCCCCTTCTCTTACTCTGCTTTTGGGTGTGGCCTTCCTAGATGTTGGTCAACCTGCTGACAGCAGACACCACAAAGCTACACTCAACTCCCTGAAACCTGACTCCTTGCCTCATTTGAATGGCTTCTCCTCAATAAAAAGGGGTCAGCATATGCTCACTCTCGTGCTCTCTCTGCGAACCCTTAAGGTCAGAGGAGCCATCACAGGACCCCAAAGAAAAAGGTATCTCTGTCTCTTGTGTGGTTATTTCATGCAGCCCAGTTCCTCTGGAGTGACCCTGAGTGTTTCATGCCAGGAATGTGACATGCCACCATGCCCAGCTAAGGTTCACAGCTTATTGCTTTATTTTTTGAAGTGTTTAGTGTAAGTTAAACAATCAGCATAAACATTTAAGTGGTGTTTCATGTACACATGTACATACTCTCTATTATTTTTTAAAATTGCATGTTGATCTAAAAGTATCCTGAAAAAAAAAAATTTATTTAAAGAGATGGTTGTCAATAAAAAAAAAAAAGGTAACAATATTCAAGAACTACTAAGATATAAAATCAAGCCAGGTGTGGTGGCATGCACTTGTAATCCCAGTGACCTCTGAGGCAAGTTTAAGGAGAGACCCCCATCTCAAAAAAAAAAAAAAAAAAAAATAGGACTGGGCTGGGGCAATGAGTAGAACACCCATGGGTTTAATTCCCAACACCAAAAAACAAACAAACAAATAAACAAAAAGAGTATCAGAGCAAATCTGAACTATACCATATTAGTATTATGAGATAAAAATAAAGCACCATACATAAAATTGACTAAAAAATTTAAAGGCTTTTCTTGGGATTTTTTTTTTTGGTTTGGGGGGGGCGGGGGGGGCGGGCGGGCGGTGGTACTAGGGATTGAACTCCGGGACACTCAACCACTGAGACACATCCCCAGCCCTATTATGTGTTTTATTTATAGACAGGGTCTCACTGAGCTGCTTAGCGCCTTGCTTTTGCTGAGGCTGACTTTGAACTCGTGATCCTCCTGCCTCAGCCTCCTGAGCTGTTGGGACTACAGGTGTGCACCACTGTGCCCAGCTCTCAGCTTGTTTTTTTAAAAGACAATTATTCTAGACCGTCTCTGCTCAGCAGGAGAAAGACAGAACACGAGGAAGAAGCCTGTATGGTAGATGTCAAGACACCTCAGCCTCCGGCTCACCTCGGCATCGTCCATGGCTGCCTTCAGGACGCTGGAGTGGGCATTCACGGCCTGGACGGCAGCGTTCTGGGCTGCAATAGCCTGCAGAGTGACGGAAGCAGTTTGGCTCAGAGCATCTTCTAAGCTCTTGGCTAGAGCTAGAGAAAAAAAGGATAGTTAAAAACAAGTCCTTCCCCCTAATGACTTTAAACACTCCTTCTTTCCTACAAAGTCTCCATTGCACTCCCCAAAACATGTAAAACAAAATAAAATCACAAGGGACCCAAACTGTAGGTTCAAAGTTCACTTTAAAAGTATGGCAAACTAGTCTTGCTGGTATAATCCCAGCTACTTGGCAGATTGAGGCAGGAAAATCACAAGTTTGAGGTCAACCAGAGCAATTCAGCGAGACACGGTCTCAAAATAAAAAAATGACAAGGGTTGGGATGTAGCTTAGAGGAGTAGCACCCCGGAGTTCAATCCCCAGTACCAATAAAAAAGTACAGTAAAATGTCGATAATAATTTAATCTGGATGATGGATCTATCAGATTTATTACCTTATTTCTACTTTTATGAACATGTGAGATTTTTCAAATAAAAACTAGGCATTTTAAAGGAAAAAATTGCTTAAACAAGGCTAACACATTTCAAATGGAAGGAACAAGGAAAGAACACATTTATAAAGGCTAAAAAAATCACCACCAGCTTTCCTCATTTTAAATAACAATTGTACAGACGGGCTGGGAAAAAGAGGTGCCCACTTTCAATCCCTTAGCAAGAAGGAAAACCCAAGAGAAAAAAATCATGTACTGCCAAGATTCAAGATGAAATAAATGGGGGGAAAATGTGTGTGTGTGTGCATGCACGCGCGCACACTCACACATAAAAAACAACAAAAAAGGAAAGGGAGCTTGCAATGGAAAGTGATTTTAGGCAAAAGGGCACAAGAAAGAGCAGACATCAACACTGGAGGGGTTGCCACCTACGTAAGATCACATCTGTATATGCTGCCTCAAAGTACCTCCAAAGAAACTTCAAGACTTATACTCCAAAAGTAAAGGGATGATTTTATACTAAATTGGAAACAGCTATTTAAAGAAAGAAGGCCATGATGAGAATACCAATTTAATAATAACTGCTATCAGAGATGACCCAAAACTACAGAAACACTGGGAAGATGATATAAAGAGAAATGGTGAGCATGCGCACGAGCAGCCGAGCCAGAGATGAGGGGCAAGTCTGCAGAGCACAGGGCACCTCTGTAACACAGGTGAAAGGAGGGGGCTGCAATGGGGCGGGCACAGTGCAAGGAGAGCAAGTTGGGGCAAGGGGCACGTTGGCCTCCAGGGTGGACATCCAGGCACAGCAGCAGGCTGCTGCCTCACAGAGGCACATGGCACCACGGCCTCCGCCATCTGTTCACCACCCTCTGCTCCATGGTGAGAATCACACACCCACAAGAGTAAGGTCAAGGAGGAGACCGAGGGTCAAAACCTGGCATTCCCACTTTGCTCAGAAAATGAAAGGCAGGAGAAGTGAACGAAAAAATAAAATAATAAAGGAGAAGATAAGGCAGAAGACATCGCATCTCAAATTTATAACTTAACTCAAGATGCCCATGTGATAAAGGGAGAAAACTGAACAGTGAAGAAACATACGAATTTAAAAATATTCAACGAAGTAGGGAAAAACATACTGAAATATTTCACTTATTGAAAATTAATTTATTTAACATCCTTAACTATCTGTAACATGGCCAAGATCTCAAAAGAATGCAAAAGAAACAAAAACTAAAGTTCAAATCTGAGGCAAAGTGATGCCCTCTACCCATGCTCACTCTTCCCTTTCCTAACATGGGGGCTCCACAGAGCCACGAAGAACCAACCAAAGAGTAGGGAAACAGGCAGAAGGCAAACAACAGGGACACTCTCTAGAGAAACAAAGAAGTCACAACAGCTGTCATCGCGATTTTAAACCAACACACGGTAGTACTGTACAGACAGGAAATTTGAGGTAGCTATTATCTTTCTAAAAACTCTTGAAAAATAACATAAAATTAAAACTTAAAAAGGCACATGTTTGTGAGCTGAAAATCAGAAATGTGCACAATGCCCCACATCTCACTAGTGACAGACATGAGTACTAACATGTCTGCAGAGGCACACACCTGCAATCAATCCCAGGGACTCAGGAGGCTGAGGCAGGAGGATCACAAGTTTGAAGCTATCCTTGGCAATTTACCAAAACCTCTCAAAATTTAAGGAACAATGAAGAGAGAACATTCAAGAAAGAAACTAAAGAAGATCTTAAAAGATTGAAAGACCTCCCATGTTCTTGGACAGGCAGAATTCATATTGTCAGAGTGGCTATACCACCTGTAAAAGAGTAATCAGATTCAGTGGAATCCCCCCATTAAAATACCAAATGTTCTTCACAGAAATAGGAAAAAAAAAAACAAACCTAAAACTCACTTGGAAGAATAGAAGACTCAGAACAGCCAAAGCAATACAGGCAAGAAGAGTAACACTGAAGGCATCACAATACCTGATTTCAAAGTACACGACAGAGCTACAGTAACAAACACAGCATGGTACTGGCACCAATACAGACAGGAAGATCAATGGAATAAAGAGACAGACACAACCCACAACCTTAAGCCATGTAAGCCTTGACAAAGGATCAAACACATATATTGAAGAAAAGATAGCCTTTTAAACAAATGTGCTGGAGAAATCAGATATCATATGTAGAAGCACAAAACCTCATTCCTACTTTTCATCCAGTACAGAAATCAAATCAAAGTGGGATCAAACACTGTAGTGGATTTAGATCAGAAACTTTGCAACTACCAGAAGAAAACATATGGCCAACAGTCCAATATACTGGCACTGGTACCAACTTCTTTACCAAGACCCCCAAAGATCAAGAAATGAAACCAAGAATCAATCAGTGGGACAGCATCAGATTAAAAAGCTTCTGCACAGCAAAGTAAATAAAAGCATGAAAGAAAACCTATAGAATGGGAAAAAATCTTTGCCAGCTACTCCTCCAACAGGGGACTGATTAACATTCAGAATATAAAAAGAACTCAAAAAACTTAACACCAAAAATAGCCAATAAAGAAATGGACAAAATAATTAAAAAGACATTTCTTAAAAGAAGAAATACAAATGTCTAACAAACAAAAAAGAACTGTTCAACATCTCTAGCAATCAGGGAAATGCAAATCAAATCTCACTCCAGTTAGAATGGCAATCATCAAGAATACAAATAATTATAAATGCCAGCAAGGACGTGTGGAAAAAGTCACTTATACATTACTGGTAGGACTACAAATTAATACAACCACTTTGGAAAGCAGTATGGAGATTCCTCAAAAAAACCAGGAATGGAACCACCATATGACCAAGCTATCCTGATTTTAGTTCTTCGGGATAAATACCTGGATACTCTAGTGACACAGTCACATCGATGTTTTTAGCAGTGCAATTAACAACAGCAAAAGGAACCAACCCAGGTGCCCATCAACAGATGATAAAGAAAATGTGGTATATATACACAAAGGAATTTTACTCAGTCTCAAAGAATGGAATTATGGCATTTGCTGGTAAGTGGATGAAACTGAAGAACATCATGCTGAGTGAAATAAGCCAGACTCAAAGTCAACAGTTGAATATTTTCTCTCATATGCGGAAGCTAGAGCAAAATAAGGGGGAAACAGGCAGTGAGGCAGATCCCAAGCAATAGAGGGAAGGTAAGTGGGGCAGAAGAAAACTGAGGAGGTCATGCTCTGTGCATGTCTGTGTGAATGTGCCACAGGGAATTCCACCTTTATGTGTCTCTGTAAAGCACCAAGTAAAAAAAAAACCCAAAACAACAATAAGTAGAAGGAGTAAGGAAGTAGAAGGAAGACCAGGAGAACAGAGAAAGGGGAGCAGGGGGACGGAGAGGAGAGAGAAGGCGATAGTACTAGGGCTGGGGCTGGGGCACAGGGTTCTACTATCCTCAACACCACATAAAAATAAATATGTACTATGTCCATCTACAACTTTAAAAAAAAAATAGTAGTAGTACTAGGGACTTAAGTAGAGCAAATTAAATTCCATGCATCTATGATGTCAAAATGAACCCCACTATGATGCACTAACAAAAATGTTAAAAAAAGATCAATGGTAAGCTGATATTTACCCTTGTGGTTATGACAGTCTATTAAAATAATTTATCCTCCTGTGAAAAACAGCTGGGAATGTAGTTCAGGGGTAGAGCACCCTTGAGTTCAATTCTTAGTATTCTCCTCCCCACACACAGGAAGAACAGAGAGTCCAGAGACTGGGTGACAAATAAATTTACCAGTTTAACATGCTAAAACATGAACAATCAACTTCTATTCCCCAGAGTATAAAGAATACAAAGAGTATAGAGAATCCTCACAATTGGATATGGAGGCACAGGCCTGTAATCCCTGCTGCCCAGGAGGCTGAAGCAGGGGGATCCCAAGTTCTAAGACAGCCTGGGCAACTTAGTGAGACCCTATCTCAAAATAAATAAAAAGGGCTGGGGATGCATCTCAGTGGTGAAGTGCCCCTGGGTTCAATCCCCGAACTCAGTGGAGGGGGGAAAAAAGGATCTTCAGCACTAACAATCATAAAACAAATGGAGAAAGTGCACGTATTATTTGGAGTGTTTGTCAACAGCACACAGCCCTTGTTGCCTGGGTGGAAGCAGTTTAGATGAAGAACACAAGTGATGAAGAGATGGTGGTGGAGAGCAATGACACTAAGGAGACAAACAGCACCACACTGTGAGTGACGACAACGAGCCTGTGCTGCTGGTGTGCGGCAGCAGGGAGGTGACCCGAGGTCCGAGGCTGCTGCTCTACATACACGCAATCTCAACTTGCTCGTGCTTTTCCTGCTGCGCCAGGCGAGCTGCGACTTCTTCAGGTGGCCGCTCCCTTACAGGGGATGAGGGTGCTTCCTCTTGCAGCAGAAGTAAATAAGAGGAGATCAAGTTTCAGACAGAATTACACACAAGAGCTAACAGGACATAACCACTTAGATCAGCCCGGGGCATTCTGTGGCTAAGAATTCCAAACCATGTCACCATCTTAGCAATTCCAAGATGAAAAAACAAGACTCCACCACTGACTTCTTTATTTTCAAAGATTTATTCAGACTTACAAACTCTGAAAATGTCCTAAGCAAGTCAGCAAACTTAAAAGCAATATAAATGTATGTTTACATAGTGTCTACGTGCTGCCTAGGCATTAAGTGGTTCAGATGAGCATACCATCTATGATAAAGAAATGTAAATAATTAAACTACCTGAGGTTACAGGTGTGGGTTTTCCTCCACCAATTTCAGGGCGATCAGTTTTTACAGATTCCTCATGCTGAACCGCAGGGGCTGGGACGGAAAGTGTATCACCTGCTGCAGAAATAATTTGAGCTGCCTCTGTAGGTGCTATAAATATATATTATTCAAGGTATTATAGAAATCCACTACCATGGACTGGGGATATAGTTCAGTTGGTAAAGTGCTTGCCCTGCATGCCCACTGCCCTGTTCAATCCCCAGCACCACCAAAAAAAAAAAAAAAAATCTACTACCATTACTGCCCACTTCACATCTGGCTTCTTAAAAACACAAATGCATCTACATGTCTGTGTGTGAGTAACACACAAACAGGGCACAGTCCACTGCATGCATAACACACACAATTGAGAAAGGGTGGGAAAACACGGAAGACAGAAGTCTTGTCAGCATCCATCTGCATTTTTACCCTCCTCAATCTGACACAAGACTTCTAGTAACAGTGTAAGCCCTGAAAACATAGTAAGTGTGCAGGAGACCTATGTACTGTGGAGAAGAGTAGCACATGAAAAGAAAGCCTGCAATGAAAAGGCACAGGAGAGCAATGAACCAAAGGATATTTTAAATTGCTCTGAAGAGTGTCAGAGATAAAAGAAGAGGTATGAGCAGGAACAAGATGACAGTTTTAAAAACAAAGAAGAAAATGTCACAATTGATAGTAGGTTTAGAAAGAAAAGAAATTAGTCCAAGAAAAAAAAAATCACATCAGAAATGATATTTTTAAAAAGGAAGGCTAAGAAATCAAGGGCGTGCAAATTTATAAACAAAGAGAAAAATATCATTCTAGAAATGAAATGAGAAAAAGCAATAAAATAGGACACAAATTGTTTTTTAGAAACCTGAAGGCTCCACTTGAGAGACATTACCTGGTCCCCATGCTTCTGCTTTGGGCCCCTCATCTGCTCCAACAACAGCGAGCCCCTATTCCAAGTCAGGTGTCACTCCCCAGCTGGGCACCCTCCAGTGTCCCCACCCCACTTGGCATGTGAAGCAAACTGTGTGGGATGGCCCCAGGCTGCCACACGGGCCTGCTGCTCTCCCTCCCACTCCACCCAGCTTCAGCAGCTCCTGGCACTAAGGAGCCTGCTCCTGGGATGTGTTTCCCCACCAGCCTCCCTTCTCTCCTTCTAACCTCTGTTCATGGACATCTCCAGGTCAGGTTTCCTTACCCACTCCATTTAAAATGGCAACACTCCCTCCCAGCATCCTGACACCCTATACATTCTGCCTGTTTCATTTCACATGATCTCCCTCCCTCACCCCACCAAGAGTATCAGCAGAGATTCTGAGCTGTTTTGTTCACTGCTATGTCCCTACTACCTAGAAGAATGTCTGACATGCAACTGATTCTCAGTGAATACTTGTGAATGGAGTTGGGTGATTAGTCATGGACAGGACTAACCAAACAGAAACAAGGAGTTGAGGAGTATACTGAACAGAGCTATCAGCCAGGTGCTGTAAATTAGGACAGGATTACTGGTAAACCCCAAAAGCAACCGGTACTGCAGGGATTATACAAAACACTTTCACTCCAGGCGCACTGGCACCTGCCTTTAATCCCAGTGGCTTGGGAGGCTGAAGCAGGAGGATTCCAAGTTCAAAGCCAGCCTCAGCAACTTATCGAGGTCCTAAGCAACTTAGTGAGTCCTTGTTCAAAATAAATAATAAAAAGGGCTGGGACGGGACATGGCTCAATGGTTGACTGCCCCTAGGTTCAATACCCTATATCAAAAACAAAAACAAACACATCATTAAGAAAGAAGACAGGATTTAAACTTATGAAGAAGCAGGGGGAAAAAAGGTGGGAAAAAGAGAATAAATCTTAAAATGCAAATGGGGGAGAGAAAAACAGAGAGGGTAGAGGGAAAAGGAAAAATAAAATCACTGTTGACAAGACAATTAGTGCTCAATAACTATTCACAGTAACACCCAATTCTGTGCCCCACTCAACCCCTAAGATAAGCAATGGTTCAGGTGAGACTCCTCCTTTCCAGGATGTGAGCTGGGTCCCTGAACCCTTACAGGCAGGGCCCTCCCGCTGACTCTGGGTCTAAATGCACTGAAATGACTCATGGCCTATGGTCTCAGAGGAATGGTTCTAACACGAGTACCTGTTGTCGAGGCTGGAGTGTCTCCCTTCTGCTTTTGGAGCTGTGACGCAGGCTGTTTGGATTCTTTCATTACCTCTGACACACTAGAGATTTTTAGTGGACCGGATTGAATCTTGGAAATGAAAACATTAAACATTTAAGATGTAATCCTGTTTTTAAAATTGGTAGCATAGAGTAATATTTAAAGTCAAATCTTTCAGGCTTTTAAAATAAAGTTATCAACATTTGCAACTTATGTTTTATTAACCAAACTGAGAGAAGTCATCATCCCTCGCCCACATTTCAGCAGCACCAAAGGCTTCTTTTCAGACAGCTGAGGGGTCCGCTTGGCCTCCCTTCCACATGCCACTATTTTCACAAGCACGACATCAAGGTATTTCCACTCCTTCCTGAATCACATCACGGTGTCTTCTGCACAAGGCTCAGAAGTAGATGACTGGTTAGAGGCATGGAGTCAAAATGAAAGCCAGCTGTTTCTTTGTTCTCCAGGATTCCTGTGACTACACACTAAGTTACATGACTGATTTGCAAGCAAGACCTGCTCTCCTCTTTCCCAGTTACCACCCACCTTCAGCGTAAGGCACTATTCATCAAGAGGACTGCAGGTGACTTGCTGGAGAACACTGTTGAGTGAGGAATGCTTACGCTGACCACCTATGCTGTTCCTACTTTTTCCCAGGACTTGGCAGTGGGTCTTGTGAATCCCTAAGATGACTGCTGAAAAGAAGGGGTTCTGAAATATACCACTAGAAATATGTCCATTTTCTCAACTAGAAATATAACCATTTTCTTTTTTATTAAAATGTTATTTTTCCCCAGCATTGCAAAGAAAAAAGTTATTTTTGAAATCAGGAAACACGCACTCACTGTAACAGGCAAACTAATGTCAACGAATGGTTGTTCCGTGCCTCGCCAGCTGGTCCTCTTCCCTCCCCCACGTCCCTGCCATAAGGTGAGCCACTTTGCCGTCACACACTCCTTCACCTCAGGCTCAGAAGCAACACATCCAACTGGTCATGGACTGGAACCTCCAAAACCAGTCTGGCTGACATCACTGTGAAGCCATCAGGACCTGGAGAGTCCTATGGCAATTCCTTCCCTCTCCAGAGATGGCTTCTCTCCATGGGCCTCTTTTCTGGCAGTTCTCTCTAGTGTTCCACCCTCTAAGCTGCAGTCACCCTGACCTCCCTAGACACAGCTCCACCTGCTCCACCCTGTAGACTCCCAGGTTTTGCTTGGGATTATCCTCCTATGCTACAGTCTAGAAAAACCCAGCAGGCACCAAGAGCAGGCAGTCCTAGGGATCACCTCCAATTCCCCTCTAGCACAACTATTCTATTGGTGGACAGAGTCTGAAAACATGTTTTACACAAAACACGAAAGTGCTTTATGCCGGGTGCAGTGGTCATGCCTGTGATCCCAGCAGCTCGGGAGGCTAAGGCAGGAGGATCAAGAGTTCAAAGCCAGCCTCAGCAATTTAGCAAGGCCCCAAGCAACTTAGCAAGACCCTGTCTCTAAATAAAACTTATTAAAGGGCTGTAGATGTACCCCCACCAAAAAAAAAAAAAAGCGTTTTACATGTTGTAATTAGTTTATTTGTATTTTGTCCAGTTTGATAGATTTTTCAAGCAGCAAAGTTAAATCAGGTCCCTTTGTTCCATCTTGATTAGATACAGAAGTTCCACGGTAGGGTTTTTTTTGTTTGTTTTTTTTTGTACCAGGGATTGAACTCAGGGACACTCAACCACTGACCCACATCCCCAGCCCTATTTTGTATTTTATTTAGAGACAGGGTCTCACTGAGTTGCTTAGTAACTAGTTTTTGCTGAGGCTGGCTTTGAACTCGCGATCCTCCTGCCTCAGCCTCCTATGCTGCTGGGATTACAGGCCTGTGCGACCATGCCCAGCTCCCACTGTAGCTTTTTAAAAATGGAAATGATAATCATTTTTTAATATAAATGTTAACTATATTTTATAATAATATTTTTTAAATGATGTGCTACTGAATGCAACCTGTGCCAGTTAAAATGTAAGAAAATTAAACATTTTGTCACCATTCAAAAATAGTTTGTGAGAACAAATGGCAAGATTGAAAACAAGTTGTGATATAATGCTAAATTTTGAAAAAACATTATGTTTAAATAAGTAAAAAAATGTTGATAAAACTTTATGTTTAGAAAAATAAAGAGTAGCAGAAACAACACAATATGCACTGCAGAGTAAAATCACAGGTAATCATATTTCTTGCAGATTTTCTGTATTTTCCAGCTTTTTGTTAGGTATTATTTTTATTATAAGAAAATAATGTTTTGAAAAAAAAAAAGTCTCAAAGGGCACTGGGTTAAAGTTTCAGAAATTCAGCAACAGACTCTGGGCCAAAAGTATGCATTGCATAATCACAGATAGTTAAAATTCTGAATTTAGGCAACTGTAGGTTTAAATGTTTTAATTTTTATGACTTTGTCAAATTTTAAATTTAGCTTTCTAAATGCATCAACAACTCTATGAAAACAATATTAAGCAAATGCCATATTTGCCAAGTAACAAAGCAAAATTATGTGTGTGTATAATATGTAATCTGATTTTTTTTCCACTCAACAATATATCACGAACATTCTCTTCCAAGTCAAGAAATGTTTGGTTGCGTACTATCCTCAAGTAAGGGTATCCCCAATTTAGTCAACTAGTTTACTTACAGACATTCAATTATTTCCTGTTTTGTTTTGGCTCTACAAACATCACAGCAATGAAAGTCCTTGTCTACATACCTGAAGAGCAGCCACTGCTGAGGGCTTGTTTGACTGACTGACTGACTGACTGACTGACTACCTTGTGGTGCTGGGGATCCAACCCCAGGCCTCATGCACTGCTTCTCTACCACAGTCCAGCTGTTACTCTTCTCCCCACCCCCCCTGCACTGGTATGGAACCCAGGGGTGCTCTACCACTGACCTACATTCCAACATTTTTATTTTTTATTTCTATTTTTTAAAATATTTTTAGTTGTAGACGGATACAACATCTTTATTTATTTATTTCTAGGTGGTGTGGAGGATCAAACCCAGTACCTCACATGTGCAAGGCAGGTGCTACCCCTGAGCTACAGCCCCAGAGCTTTATTTTATATTTTGAGACAAGGTCTTTCTAAGTGGCTCAGGCTGACCTCAAACTTGCAATCCTATGGCCTCAGCCTCCTGAGCAGCTGATTAGAGATGGGTGCCACTGCGTCTGACTCCTCATTTCTAGTCCTAGGCCAAACCCTGTTTCATTCAAGCAGCACTATAACAAAATCAACATCTGGAAAAGTGTCCTCTGACCCTCCCTACCTCAACACTTTTCCAGAATGTTCTTGGCTCGTCATTACTTTGTCCATATGAACTTTAACAAAATTTCTTTCTTATTTATTTATTTTTGGTAGTACTGGGGACCAAACTAAAATCATCTCATCTACTTCCTTACCAATTAGGAAAATCCATTAGAATTCTTACTAGAGCCGTGATAGTGATTATATGTGTGTATATATAATAAAAGGACTTCTCTCAAATATATTCATATTTAAGAAAAATTTGAATGAAATAGATATGAGAAATGACATTTTTTAATATTAAGTTCCACCAAAGGGGCTGGGGCTGTAGCTCAGTGGTAGAGCATTTGCCTCACAGGTGTGAGGCCCTGGGTTCCAACCCCAGCACCACATAAAAATAAATAAATAAATAGTATTAAAAAAAAAGTTTCACCAAAGAACATAACATGTATTCATTTAGATAAGTCCTATTCCACATCACCCAAAGATTCTGTTTTAGTAAATAATCATGCTGTTACTAAAAGGGTTAACATAAAAATGCATATGAAATGCATAGTTTTTGAAAGCAACAAGTTGGTAACAATGCACAATAGTAGAATAAATGTTTTAAAAATAAAAACACTAATACCATGAAAATTCAGCTGAAGAGCAGATGCACATAGGTCCACGCAGTGAAGGACAGAGACAAAGAAGTGAAGCCCCTGGGTGGAAGACGCCCTCAGGAAAGGGCGCAAATTCAAGGGACTTCTGTTTGCTTCTCTGCTGTAACCAGGGCTCTTAGAACAGGGCCTGGAACTAACTGCCACTTTACTAACGCAGAGGTGTGGAAAATACAAGGCCTTTTTGTAAGGCCAACTAGAATAAAGCTGAGGGTTTACACGAGAACCATTCAGACCTAGACTGCCGGGGTACCACATGGCAGCCCACGCACAAGCAAAGACCATTGACCCAGCAACAAAGGGCCCCATCGGCCAGGACTAGGCTGACCCGCAACCACTGCTGGCTGCGTGCTCCTTACTCAGAGTGCAACGACCTCTAAGGGCACTCTACCTTTCAGTCTGTGGTTAAAGAATAGAAAATGTGTGAACACTCCTAATAAGTGGCATCATGAATGTGATAATGCTGATTTTACAAGGCTCTCTGGCACTGACATGAGAACGGCCTAGATTGTTTCAGAAGGAGAATCTAGGGGTGGAGACTGGGAGGAAGATGGGAAAGACTGTGGAGAGAGCAACAGGTCTAGCTCAGAAGATAACTGGATATAAAGTGACAAAGGCCAGAATAGGGTGAAGACAGTGGTGACAAAAGAAAAGGAATATAAACAAGATAGGAGACTTAGGAGAACAAGGATAATGATGAAGAGAATTCTACACCAGCAACCTGACAGCCTGGGACTACCTTCAATTCAAAAAGCCAATCCGAGGACTGGGAGTGGAGTGCAGTGACACTCAAGGCCTGGAGCTAATCCTCAGGACCACCAAAAAAAAGCAAACCACGAGGAATGTGAATTTTGAGGTGGTGCAGTGTAGCCATCCCCAGCTATCCAAGTGGCAATACTCTGCGAGATACCTAAGCAGAATGGCAGGAGCCCACAGTCATCTAGAGAGAGGGCACTCATCTTCAAAGAAGGACACCTGAAGTCCTGCTGAGCAAACAGATCCCACTGCTCTCCACTGTTCAGTCTGACCCCAGAATTGTGTTCCCCCAGAACTGCTCCCAGTCATTTCTCTGGGGTGCTATAGCTTAAAATAGACCCAGGATTTTAGATCAAATCCACAGGATTCTGCTCTTTGCCCCTGTGCAACTGTCTCCCTCTGCCACAGATATTTTAAAGTTCCAACGAAAGTATAAATGATGCAAAAGACTAGCAAGGAATACTTGAAAAAGTGGAGTTGGGGTGGGAGTAGAGAGGAAATTTGAGAATATCTGTTTTTCCAAATATTATCTGTGTTACAGGCTTTGTCAAGACCATGTGAGATTCTGGAGAAAAGAAGACCACACAATTCCTAAGGAAGAACTGATAAGCCATATCCAGCTTCACTGCATAAAAAAATGCCTAATACCAACGCCAAAAATCCATGCTCGTGTGTGTGTGTGTGTGTGTGTGTGTGTGTTTAAAGAAGAAACTGTGTTTCAGTGAAGAAATATTTAAGATGATTTTTTTAAAAAGTTAAGCCTCACCAGGTGTGATGGTGCCTACTTATAATCCTTAGCAGCTCTGGAGGCTAAGGCAGGAGGATAGAAAGTTCAAAGCCAGCCTCAGCAAGAGCGAGGTACTAAGCAACTCAATGAGACCCTGTCTCTAAATAAAATACAAAATAGGGCTGGGGATGTGGCTCAGTGGGTGAGTGCCCCTGAGTTTAATTTACCCCCTACCCCCCGCCAAAATGTTAAGCATGGTGGGGGGCGGGGTAGTGGAACTCTAAAGAACATGGAAAATATTCCTGTCAACCAACCAGCATATAGCTGAAAATTCTGTGACTCTGTTTTAGAGTCTGAAAAGAACCCCTGCTGCCCACACCAGGGGGTTCGGTGTCATGGCCAGTCTCCACTATATTTTTAGTGTTCCAAGTAAGAGCCTGAGAGCTGCTCGGATACGGGCTGCCCTCAACCACACTGTACCCAGTTACCTCTGCCATGCACACCTCCTCCAGTCACCCATGTAGAATGCATAGTGATCATCCTTGTGGCACCCATTCATCCTTGTGGCACACATTCAGAGTATCTGTGAAACTCCCAAAGGCTAGAATTCACCTGTGCAGATTATTACCAGCTCAGTTTGAAGAGAACTAGCATGCACCTGGCAAGCTGCACTGAATTAGACATGTGTACTATTTTCAAGATAAAAACAGCTTGCTTTATAAAACTATTCCATAGGATACAATGAAATAATGTTTAAAACTCTTACCGGCTTCTTTGGCAATGGAACGTTATAAGGTGCAGAACCAAGAACCATCTCAAAGAGTCTGTCTGAGTAAGGAATGGTTTTCTCTACACTTTCTCGGAAGTGGGAGTCCCACTTGGCATATAAGATGGTACCTCCAATACCACCACCAACAAACAGCAGACCCGCTCCAGCGATCCTGCCTGCAGTCAACCTGGGTGGAAGGAATGGAAGCACATACAAATATTATTTCCTGGCTCTCCTGCATCTACTTGCCTCAGGGAAGGAATCTCAAAGACCTCTGACCTCTGCTTCTCTACCCCGATTCACCATCACAGCCAAGCATCACCTTTACCTGATTTTTTTTTTTTTTTTAATCCTGGGGATAGAACCTAAGGATGTTTTACCACTGAACTACATCCCCAATCCTTTTTATTTTTACTTTGAAACAGAGTTTCACTACGTAACTGAGACTAGTCTCAAACTTGATTATCCTGCCTCAGCCTCCCCAGTTGCTGGAATTACAGGCATGTGCCACCATATCCAGCTTCCTGATTTATTTATAACATGTTTGCAATAGAATAACATTTATTTATTGGTAACAAAAAACAATAATATCTAGGACAGAAGGAATGAAGCGATCTATCTTTAACACTTAAAACCCAAGATGTTCACATTATTTCCTCTGGCTCCCCTAAAAAGAACTATTAATAACGTTTAAAGCTCCTGTTCCTTAATTAAGCACTTGTATAAATACAATAAAGTAAACCCTTTACAAACATAAGATGAAAAAATATCAAACAGAATTAACAAACTTTTCCTATGTTATAACATGCTGCTTTCAGGATGGGAACCTACTGCTATAGCATGGAAGACCACCCTGGGAGGGCGGGGTGGGGTGGGGGTCTGCCTCAATGCCTTCCAACTACCACTATCCAAAAGGAACAGCATTAGCAAAGTTTCATCTACAATAAATAATGCTCCAGAAGGCATTCCAAAAATACTATAACCAAGTTTCAGTGTACGTACAGTAGTCTCCTTTATTCAGGGGAGACACATTTCAAAACCACCAGAAGATACCTGAAGTTTCAGACAGTAATGAATTTACATATGCTATTTTTTCTAAACATATATATCCATGATAAAGCTTAACTTATCAACTAGGCACAGTTAAGAGGGTAACAATAACTAAGAAAAAAATAGAAGAATTCTAACAATATACTATAAAGGAGGTTGTGTGAATATGGTCTCTTTCTCTCCGAGTATGATTCTACTGAGCTCAACCTTCTTGTAATCATGTGAGATGTTATCTCAGTTGACCACAGTTAACTGAAACCATGGGTAAGGGGAAAGACTGTGTTCCTTAATAAAAGGTTTTAAGTAGCGATTCCTATATTCAAAGAAAACACACATATACACCACTCAGTTGCATACAGTAAAAAGCTAGGTTTCAAGGAGGCACTGCATACCCAGAACTGCTAGAAGTTGAGTATCTTCGGCATGGTCGCAATGGACGGAGGACAAGCTTTCCACAGAGACAAGTCTAGAAGAGAAAACACCACAGTTTTAGCACAGTTAGAGGTGCTGGGAAGTTATCAGGGTTAGTAATACAAAAATAATACTTTCATTACTAATATCTTCACTGAACAAAATATTATTTTATTTTCAAAAATCAATTTTCTGCTAGGCACAGTGTGGTGCATGCCTATAATCCCAGCAACCTGGGATCCTGAGGTAGGAGGATCACAAATTCAAGTTCAGCCTCAGCAACTTAGCAAGATCCTGTCTCAAAATGAAAAATAAAAAGGTCTGGGGATGTAGCTCAGTAGTAGAGGGCCCCTGGGTTCAATTCCCCAGTACCACAAAAAAGGGGGGAAAAATCAATTTGCAATGAAACACATTTCCAGATTTTTTTTAAATATATTTTCAGATGTTGATGGAGCTTTTTTAAAAATTCATTTTTACTTATATGTGGTGCTAAGAATCGAACCCAGTGCCTCACACAAGGCGCGAGCGCTCTTCCACTGAGCCACAACCCTAGCCCTCCTGATTTGTTTTAATCAAAGTAAAACACAAACCCAAGTCAAAGTAAAACACAAACCCAGGGATGGGGTTGTAGCTCAGTAGTGGAGTGCTTGCCTCACATGTGTGAGGCACTAGGTTTGATCCTCGGCTACACATAAAAATAAATAAATAAAATGAAGGTACTGTGCCCATCTATAACTAAAAATAAAGTATTAAAAAAAAAACAACCCAAGTGTTTCTTCACGATCTGTGGATCCCTACAATCTGTGAATTCCTTACAATCAGCAAATGAATTAGCATCCAAATACTATTTGGGGAAGGTATTGATAAACTATTCACATACATCAATTTGAAATTTCAAACTAATTGCATTGATATATTTTTTTTAAAAAAATGGGTTTTTTTGGGTGCTGGGGACTGAATCCAGGGGCTCACATAGGCTGAGCAAACACTCTACCACCAAGCTACACCCTCCACCCTAAAATATATTTTTTTTTAATACCATGTGGAAAGATCAAATTGCAACAAGTCAGGAGGGAAATGCTTTCTCTAGGTTCCTTAATAAAATTGTGTCTAAGAGGTGGGCTTGAATGCATGCACCAGTCCCATCTACTTGGGGGTGGGGAGTGAGGCAAGAGAATTATATTCAATTAAAATCTGCTTGAGCCCACCAGTTAGAGACCATCCTGAACAACAGAGAAAGGCCCCATCTGTTAAAATATTAAAAGAAGAAAAAAAGAAATTATACCTAAGGAATACCAGAAAAACACAAATTTCCCTTTTGAAGTATTTTTAGTTATTAGAAAACAGATCACATGATCACAGAACACACATGAAATGACTGAATATAGTTGCAATTTACAACTGCCTAAACATAAACATCACAAACTTCTACTGTATTAATACATATTGAAACGAACAGATGATTTAAACATAAAGCATATATAATTGGTATTTAAAAGTATTTCTATTATTACCTAAAGTGTGTCATTCAAAACATTTCTGAACTGCTTTTAACAGAAAGGGGTGTTTTCCTTCTATTCTGCAAAGCAGGTAATAGGAAACTGAACAGCTCTATCATCTAAGTCAGTAACCCCACATGTGGCTTAGGAAGGAAACACCAGGAGACCACTGAAGCTGTTTGATGTAAGGCTGTATTTTTTAACCTCTGAGTACAAATAGGCACTGGGGTCAAAAGTTAAGGCGCTGTTGGCAGTGGCTAAGGGGCTACCTGGAATATCAAACAGGAGGCATCCTGATGGACACCAGACTCCAGGAAAGATGAGCTAAATTCAACGCTCAAGTCTGAGAACATCCTAACTTACGAGAACAGTTTGCAGCCTATTTTAAAATCCATCTTCCACATTCTTTTATCTTGACTGTCTACTTTCCCTTTTATTTGGCTGAAGTAGTTACTAGTATTAAATTAAAATATGAAATTTCAAATCAAAATTCAAAAGCTTTAAAGGTGACAAATCTCACTTATGCTTCTGTTCCAGTTCCCCTCGCCACAGGCAGCTGATGCTATGGCCTGTTATCCAGAAATACTTCCTGCACATTACCCCTGTGCTCTCCCAGCTTCCCACTTACATAAACAATCATGACCTCACAGTCCTGCACGAAGGTTCATTTGAGAAAATTTATGTTAGGTACAGAACAGGCAAAGGCAATCCTTGGTAGAAAGAAACACAAGCAGTGGCTTATGGGTATGGAGATTGAGAGTAACTGGGAAGGGGCCTGAGGAAACTTTTATGAGTGATGCTAATGTTTTACTAACTAAAGGGTCCTACAGCTTTTGGGTTGAATCGTGTCCCCAAAAGATACATGTTCATACAAGTATTTGCATTTATCAAACTTCAGAAAGTGAACATTTAAGATTTCTGCATTCTACCGTTAATTCTACATCAAGAGAAATACAATGCTAAAAATACATTATGTGTGCGTATATACATATGTGTATATATATATATGTATGTACACGTACACACACACACACACACTCTCTCTCTCTCTCTCTCTCTCTCTCTCTAATTTTTATTGGGTTACCATCAAGAATTTAAAATTAGCCAGGCACAGTGGTGCCTGCCTATAAATCCCAGAAGCTTGGGAGGCTGAGGTAGGAGGATGGCGCATCCAAAGCCAAGCTCAGCAACTTAGTGGGGCCCTAAGCAACTCAGTGAGATCCTGTCTCGGAATAAAATATAAAAAGGATACATTCAGGGCTGGGGTTGTAGCTCAGTGGTAGAGCACGTGCGAGGCCCTGGGTTTGATTCTCAGAAACACATAAAAATAAATATATAAGATAAAGTTATTATATCCATCCACAACTGGGAAAAAAAAAAAAGATGCAGTTCAGTGGTTAAGTGCCCCTGGGTTCAATCCCCACACCAAAAACAACAACAACAAAATTTAAATTAAACTGGGTGGAATGTAACTATAGTCCCAGCTACTCAAGAGGCTGACTGGGAGGATCACTTGAGCCCAGAAGTTTTGAGTTCAGCCTGGGCAATGCAATCAGATCTCATTTTTAAAAAAAATTATGTAAGAATTTTTAACAATGTGATAGAGGTTGACGACAATTTTTACTAGTACAAATGTGTTGTATAAATTTGTAGTTGGCAAATATAATATGTACACAACATATAAAGTCAATAAATACAATAGTTATCTTTTTATTTAGGTCTATCTTACATCCCTGCTTTCTTTCAGAGATTGAAAAAAGAAACCCTAACATAGGAACTCATGAGCCAAAGAAACTAAGGTGCTCCTATTGGCTACTACCTATTTCTGGTACTTGTCACAGAAGGACAGATGCTCCTCCACTCACAACACAGCTCCTTCCTCACCACTGTAGAAGCCCCTGCTCTGGTCATAGGTCCACCAAGGCCCAGTCCTCTAGTTCCACATTCAGGTCCCTCTACCCTCCGCCCACTCCTCCAAGATAGGTGTTCTAGTGGATTCACTGATGTGAATCAACCTTCTGCTAGAGTAGACATTACTATTCAACCTCCTCCTTCCCCCAGGGTCAGAAGTACTTTTCAAGGCAAAGTCATCAATCGGAACCAACATCCTGAATATTCAGGGGATATTCCCTCATGCCACATTCTCCCTCGGCTTGCACTCCGCATCTTAAAGTACTTTATATAAGAGGGCTGGGATGGGGCTCAGTGGCAAAGCACTTGCCTAGTAGGTGCAAGGCCCTGGGTTCAATCCCCAGCCACCACCACCCCCACTCACACAAAAGTATTGTATGTGACAATTTACACAAACTGCATAACACAAAAAAAAGTGCTTTTCAGTAATAATCCTAAGCTCTGGACACCGACCTTAACGGGGCTTCTACCAGGACCACACAGAGAGGACAGAAACTCTTCAGAACATTTGCCTACAGAAGTAACTGAGACAGGGATTTTTTTCCTCTCTCTATGAAATAAAAAGAATTGTTGGGCAATTCCAGATGCTAGCCAGAAAGAGAAAAGGACCAGGTCCTAGAACTAGTGTCTCTAACTACGTACAGCAAGGTTAGGTAGCCATTGGAAAAGTGTCCAGACATGGGATTTTTACATTGGTAATTTAGAATATACAATCCACTGTTCTTTATTTGAACAAGTTTAACAGGGCAATGACCACCCCCCCCCCCCAAAAAAAAAAAAAGCTGGACTCAATAAGCTATTTACCAGACCACCCCTTCCCTATGCTGCTGCTGTTCCATCCACAGGTCACTTCATTTCAAGTCACATTTTCTGAGATCCCTTTAACAATAACATCGTCTTTCTACTTCAAGTTGCTCAGTCAAAATAATCTGTTTCTCCAAAGGGGAATGGCCTCTCTTTGAGATCTTGCCTCTTGTCAGTCTGCCCTGAAGCCTCTGCTGGCCCTGCATGGCAGTCACCATGGCTGGGGTCAGCAGCACCAGGAGGCCTAGCACTGCCTTTGAGCTCTTCCATGTCCCATGATGGTGGCCCCCAGTGCCTAGTTCAGGCTGGTGTCCACCTAAATTCTTCTACAACCTTGACTTCCTATTCTGTCCCACTGATCTACCTATTCATAACTAAAAGCAAACTTTTAACAAGTAAATCTTAGAATTAAGTTTATAATCTGGTAAGGTTAGTCCTCTCACACTATTTTTTTGGAATATTTGTGGATACTGTTGCTTTTTTAAAGGTTACCTTAAATTTTAACTTTTTTCATAAAACATTGATAAGAAATTTATTTTATGTACCACCATGAAAGAAAAAATGATTTCTATTAAATGACACACCATAAATTATAAAATGAACCCTGATTTAAAAAAAATAAAATGTGAAAAAATTATCTTTTCTGGCCAAAAGAAACCCAAAATGGTGACAAAAGGAGTTTCACTTCTATTTGAAAAAAATAAAAAAGAATAGAAATCACTTTATCATAATATTTTTTTTTCCCTTGATACTGAGGACTGAGCCCAGGGGCACTTTACCACTGAGCTATATTCCCCAGCCCTTTTTAATTTTTATTTTGACTCAGGGACTTACTAAGTTG